CCCTAACCCTAACCCTAACCCTAACCCTAACCCTAACCCTAGACGATACGAATGAAATGCCCTTGACAACAGAGTTGGTGAAGCAGTGGTATCCAAGCCCAGCACATTTAATCGATCTGGTGGAGGCTAAGAGAGTCGCAGCATAACGCTTCAGAATTCAGAACAGGGAACGTGCATCTCCATCCCTGCTGTTGGTTTGGAAGCTTGCTGCAACAGTGGTTGCTGCCCTCGACATTGGGCTCGCCCAGTTTGAAAGTCAAAAGCTGATGTGCCAAGCTGGCAACCCTTCGATGAATTAGTTCGGTGCTTCTGAAAGAGGAAGCCTCGGGTATGGCTGTGCATGAGTACCTTGACTTGCAGCGGAATGCCAAGCTTCAATGGTTTGCCTCGACCTAGGTATCTCACCAAATGCCCCCACTCGAGAACTTGGCCGTCGATACTAGCAATCTGAGTCTAGAAGAAGTGCTCTCTTGATATTCATGTATTATTTTAGTGACTTGTTGTGGTCCAGCTTCAGATTCGACAACTGTACACGTGGGGGGCCCATCACGAGGTTCTGCAAGAGCTAATCGCTTGGACAGGGCTTGTGTTGCTTTCGGTAGTGCACGAATCCTGATGGAAGCAAGGTCCGTGGCTCTTTGACCGTTGCAACTCTGATATACAGACCATGCCAGCACGCCAGCGGCACCATGCGGCCAGGTTGTGGGTGCTTCTAGTATCAGTGCAATTGATAACAGAGGTTGAGATACATGAGATGGGCCGGCGACTGTCTGATTGACTGCTTACATCCAAACTACCTACATCAAATGACTAGAGCGAATGCGCTTCTCTATCGCAAATGCAAAATGAGAACTGTTTGTGATGCTCGCGTAGGTTTCAAGTTGACCAGAGCTACGTCTGGACGGTTAATGAAAGGTGTAATATGCAAGTACTCGACAAAGGAGGGCTGCATTGGACTTCGCTGCTCAAGTCCGCAAATTCAATGCTTCCAAGGTTGAGATATATTTGACTTCAAAGTTTCTCTCATCCTCAACCTTTCCTTTTCGCTTGACCACTCCACTACCTTCTTTCCTCCTTGGACGATCAGAGTATATCCTTACAACTGTCAAACGTACCTCTGTCTTCTGTTCTCAGCACTTACCTCGAGAACCGCCATGGACCATTCTCCAAGAGACCCCTCGAGTCTCCATGGAAGTTTCCTGCATCGCCTCCAACACCTGCAAGTCCACATCCACCTCCTTCAGATGTCACCACTCCGAGCCGACTTGAGTACGAGCTCATACTTGCCGTCCTGTGTCCCGATAACATTGCCAGGGGAGACAAGTGCCGCCATTTTGCCGACTGCCTTGCCAGCCGGAATAACTTTACCTGCCTCGGATTTCGACATGGCTGTCCTCTGCCCTTCCGACACAAAAGAACCTTCCGCACTTACTGAAGGTGCAAAGCGAGACAATACGAATTACGCACTTTGGAAGGCTGCCAGCAGACGGTCGACGTCTACCACATTCTGCCGGACTGCAAAGAGATGAATCTACATGTGGCTGCGCGAGAGCATTTGGTGCAAGGGGACATGACGCCGTGAGTTTGTGACCATGCGTTTGAAGTACTTTGAGGAGACGGTTGCCGCTCAAGGAGCCGATTTCAGCGGGCATGCGTGTCCTCCCCAGAAGCAGGCACAGACAAACACAGAACGCGTATCGGAATCGGAGACATCGCTGAGGAGCACGGCCGGCTACAGCCCAATGAACGGGCGAGGCGGATTTAACCCACAGCCCTTTTCATGTCCTTTACTCAGACTTTCTCTAGTTCGAATCCGTTTGCCAGAATCATCCAGACCAGGTAAATGATCCCTCGCAACCTTCCGCTAGTTGAGCCGCCGTCGATTTACACTGAGCAACCAACTCGCCCAACCCCAACTGCCTACCACTCTGCAGTCCCGCTACCACTCCCAAGACAGTGTTCAAGCGGAGAACAACAAACGCGTAACCAGAAATATTGGCCAGGCATCATGAATCGTCATGTTTCTGGAACACGCAACGGCGGTCTCGCAACACAGTCCACCATGCTTTAATCTCCCGAGCTGGGCTGCTTCGGCGGCTACATCCGCCGACGGGATTCGTCCTGAGCCACCTTGCGGCACAAAGCCCTTCCACGGCATTTCTGAGCAAGGAACGCTGTTGTTCTGATGCACGAATACCCAGATCCTTCTTCAGAAAGGCAGCAATATCAATGAGAAAGGAGCACAGTCTATTTCCCAGTTATCACGTTCTTGTCCCGGTGGTCGGGAAGTACTGATGGCCTGTACCCGGTCGGTACGCGACAGATCGCCAGACAACATTCCCCCAGATCATGTCAAATGATGACTCGTTGTCTCTGACCCTCAGTGGTATCGTAAGTCGAAGGAAGACCCCATAACAAGAAGAGACATCCAAATGTTCCGGTGAGCAATCACTGGGCAATCACCATCTCCACGTTGGCGTCTTGGTAAACTCTCGAAGCGATGACAAACGATGTAAAAGGGATGCAACAAGACACGCCGAGCACAGCGCAATTGCGGAAAGTCTGGTTGGTGATACTGATACAGCAATCGAAGCTTCATGAATGACATCGTGTGATTGCGGACCAGGCACAGCCGTCGAAATGTACGGAGTAGAGGACAAAACAAGGTTTGATTCCGCCTCGTGATTCTGGGTAAACAAGCCGATGAGTGGCAGGACACGAGCGTTAATCTGGCTCCGGATCTCGGTTCACATATCCGTCCTTGTTTGCTTGGACGACCTTGAACCTTCAATCAACTGTAGCGGCGGTTATTCCGCAGTCTCCATTCACCTTCCAATACCCATGGGGCTCCAGAAGGGACTTGTTTCCACATCGCGTGGCGCTATGGGATTCTCGATGCTCTCCGCCGCCTTCCCACTCCATGCGTCCCCCAGCTTTTCTCCACATTACCCCGAAGATACCGGCCTATCTCGCTAATATAAATACCAGCGGTCTGGATGGCGGCTTGGCAATAGCTCCATATCCAGCGGCACGGGACAACATCTAAAATCGAGCCAATGGAGCCTCAAGAATCGCAGCAGAAGCTCGCTAGCCAAGGTTTGGAGAAATGCCACTGCCACGCCGCCAAGCACGGCAGATACAAGCGAGTCCATTGTGGTGAGAGGCTGGCATCCGCAAAAGGAGATGCAGTTCTCTCCACATGTATTGCAGATAAAGCCCTGAGCTCCCGGGAGCTTGCTGACAGGGGAGACATTGCAGCTCCTCTGTACACAGTACATCTCACGCAGCTACCGCAACCATGGACCCCATCGACGTCGAAGGAAATGTCAACATCGCAGGCAAAGAGGAGGTCGTTGCGACACACACGGAGCGGATCGTGGACGATGAGAAGAAACATCAAGAGCCTACCTTGACACGCGCCGAGATCCGTCGCTTCATGTGGAAAGTCGACGCCCATGTCTTGCCGATGCTTGGACTCATCTATGCCATCTCTATCCTCGACCGAATCAACATCGGGAGTGCCAAAGTCCTTGGCATGCAAGAAGACCTCAACCTTGGGACCCAGAGGTATTCCATTGTCCTCATGATCTATTTCCCCGGCTACGCTCTTTCCGATGTGCCATCCAACTGGATCCTCACCAAGGTTGAGCCTCGATGGTGGCTGCCTTTTCTCACAGTCGCATGGGGAGCTGTCCTGACTGGCATGGGTTTCGTCCACAACTGGGGAATTCTAGCCTTCCTTCGTCTCCTTCTCGGTACGCTCGAAGGTGGCATCCTCCCCGGCATTACTTTCACCATCGCTTGTTGGTATTCCCGCCATGAATTGCACAAGAGGATATCCTTCGCTTACGGTATCGGCGTCGTGGCTTCCGGATTGGCGGGCATTCTCTCTTTTGGGCTTGGATCGATGAGTGGTCTTCGGGACATGAATGGTTGGCGCTGGATCTTCTCTATCGAAGGTGGAGCCACAATGGCCGTCGGCTGCATTGCGCCTTTCTTTGTTCCCAAATTCCCTGATCACACCAAATGGATCAAGCCAGATGAGAGAGTCTACCTTTACAACAAGCTCGAAAAGGACCGAGGAGACTACAAGACTGGAAAAGTGGGCTGGTCATCTTTTGTCCACACCGCGAAGGATTGGACCCTGTGGGCGCAGGGTACGATCTACTGCTTCAACGTCGGAACGGCCAACGCTGTTGGTTTCTTTACTCCAACCATCATCAAGGTACGTGACATCCTCGTCTGTGTCAATCCACTGCTGACCAGAAAATAGGGTTTAGGATATTCCGGCTTGCAGGCAAGCTTGCGCTCAGGTTATCCTTTCTTCGCAGCTCTTGGGCTCCTCGGCATTACTTCCTACTTGTCGGACAAGTACCAGAAGCGGGCGATCATCTGCATCTTCAATTCCTTCGTCATGATCACGGGATTTTCGAGTAAGTCACACCTGGGTTTTAGGTCTGATCTGCCAGTACTCACAACTTGTCAGTCATGCGAGAAGGCTTCTCGAACCACGTCCGATACTTCGGCATCTTCCTTGCCACGATGGGTGTCCACTCGAACACTCCGGCGCTGCTTGCTTTCAATCAATCCAACATTGTCGACTCGGCGGGAAGAGCAGTGTCTTCGGGTATCCTGATCGCCTGTGGTGCCATCGGAGGCATTATTGGCAGTCTCATCTTCAGAGGCCAAGATGCTCCATCATACGGGCCCGGAATATACACGACTATCGGGCTTACCGCGTACATGGTCTTGGCCTTGTCTTTCATGGTGTACATCTATCACTCACGGAACAAGAAGGCTGATCGGGACGGCACCCATATCGCAGGCGTGCCAGGCTTCAGGTACGCGTTGTAGTAACCTCCTAGATAGTGGTAAACAACAAGGCAAACATAGTTTTGCTGTTCACGTGCTGCTTCTTCGGAAATATCCCACCATCTTCGAAGTATGTGGTCGTCGACATGCCGCGTCTTCAAGCGCTGCATGCATGCGGTGCTTACCGAACACGAGCATTGACCTTGGCCCTAGATGGTGGTCCCGCTCCTGCCACGGATACCTTGCTGTCACTGGTGAAACGCTGTTCACAACTTACGTACCGGTCCGTCTTAACCTGATGGAGCAGCAAAGGTCTGCTCGTATTTCATTACAAATGTTATGGATGTCCTACGCTACGAGGCATGCAATATATCCATCGACACACTCGGTGGCCTGAGTATTTTTAGGAACTGACGGAGTCGCTTTTATCCTCTTTGGAGAACAAGGAGCCCAGCTGTTATGACCGAAGAGCGGGGAGTGCAGCCAGTTCATATACAAACTGCTTGCAGGAATGTAAATGACCAGTGCTCTCGACTCTCCCTGCTCATCTCACAGCTCGACAAAAGTAGTTTAGACGACTGAGATGGTTCCCCGCGATGTGGACAACATGTCTGCCTTTGTTCCCGGTCGTAGACGTGCTCAAAATGGCTCGAACTCTGCCAAGCTGCGTTAATGTCCAGCAATCTTGAAGACCAGTCTCTCTCCTTCCTGAAGAGTACGCCAGTCAGCCAGATTGCAATCACCAGCTTGGTAACATCACCCCGGACTGCCTTTTCTTCCCGGTCAGGGCTGTGGATTAGCCAACGTTATTTTGAGCGGAGCTGGTTGTTGCGCCGATGACTGGCACGGAGAACACCGGTTGAACCATTTTATTTGTTCGCATTGAATGCGACAACCTGCGAAGCTTGCGGCTAGGTTCTGCAAGAGGTATGTCGGGATTCTGTAGGATGTTACAGTCTGAGCGAGCTCTGCGGGTCTGCAACACAACGTCTAGAGCGTCGTGCTCTGCGCAAAAGAAGTAAAGGACGGTTACGGATAGCCAAGGAGATAACTGCGGCTGGCAAACGTGTAGATAAAGGTCGATGCCTCATCGTGCGTCTGTCTGTAGAGCAGGGGGATCTGACTGATATGACAGTGTGGCACGAGGAGCAGCCAAGTATTCGGGGAGAGCCGGTCCTTGGGATAGAAAGAAGTCCAATACCTGGTATCCGGCACCAGCCAAGTTGAAACGGCATGATCGTACTCAGGAGGCTATAGTGTCGAAGATCCAACGGAACCTGGTTTCGTACTGGGCCGCAGCTTCGCTCCAAGCTCGGCTTGCATCTTCGCTGCGACGGACGCGGCAGCTTCTTTCCCTGCCGAGTTCATGCGATATTGGGGCGCGTCCAAAAATGTCCTGGTGGTAAGACGACGATGAGCGATGGGTGGAGGCTCTGCACCGTTGCGAGCCACGCTGTTCCTCAAGAATGCTTAACTATTGTTATTCAGCAATCTTGCGCAAGCCAGTTTCAAGGCAACTCACTCTCCGAAGAATGGCATGACGATTGTGGGGCGAGCGTTCAGCAGGCCGCAAGCTGTGGTTGTAGAGACTCCATGATGTACCACGACAGGGATGCTCTGGAAGAGCCATTCTGAAGCCACTGTCGATTACTGTGCAAAGTCTGGGATAGATCGACAACTTGCCGTGCAAGTAGTCACCTAGCCGGAAGATACCTCCACCACAGTCTATGCTTGCCAGACGGCCCGAAGCATTCGAGATGATAGCCGCTAGATCACATTCCTGGATGGCCTTGAGACTGCAGTAACCAGCTCGTTCGAGCTATCAACAGCATTGTTGCTGGATCGTATGTAGATGGGCGGCAGCCCAGCTCCCAGAAACACGCTTCAAGCTCTGGTGCCGGGTCGTAGTGTGGTGGATTTCGAAGCAGGAAACCACGGACTCCTGCAGTCCGATTAGAGGGCTTCGATTCATGGCAGGGGAAAGATATACGCACGAATGTGATTAACCTTCCATCCAGAATGAACGCAGCTTCTGGGGATGGCCCGACTCGCCTACATTGCCATCGCGCTTACTGCTGACTGGAGCGGGAATGCCCAGCGCAAGCTACGGGCCAAGGAGTGCATTGACGGGACTTATGTCGCTTCTAGAGTACGACATGCTGCACTGTGTGCCTCAAGGACCTCGGGTATGGTCACTATATCATGAAGAAGGCAAGAAATCCACGGTGCTTGATATTCAAGGGTGATATTCTCAGATGGTCAGAGTGCGAGGTGATACGACACAGTAGGCATGGTGACAAGAACGCGTTCTTGGCTGAAGTTCAGATCGTATCAGGAGCTTTTGGTAGGACCGGATTGCAGTGGAACAGGCGGTTGTACTCGTGCTGGTGAAGAGAGGCCTCCCAGTTATTGTTATCAGATGACTTCCATGGAAACATGATCAATTTAGGAGTGGGTAGGGTTCCCTGTGCCGAGATACCATCAATGCTATCACTGGCGCGGCGCGCCATGAAGAGTTCTATGATATCGAAGACGCAGCCTTTCGTGAAGAGAAGGTGTGGATGTATTGCAAGATGCCAAGGCCGCCCCAGACTCCTGGGGTGGAGAAACCTGCACGCCTCAACTTTGCGTGGCTTGACACTGACATGGTCCAGAAAATGTTTCTCCGATAAACGTTTTGTACTCGACGGACGAACAACCCGCCACTATGGCGCCCTCCAGGCTCATTGACGAGGATAAGCTTGGATTTCGGTCAGATAGCCACAGCGAAGACCTCTCCGACGACGGCGCATTCCACCACCCTCCACCGAAACGCAGGCGAATATCCACAGAAGAGGAAAATGCAACAGTTCCTCAGACATCGCTGTCCAGAGTGAAAAAGATAGATCATGCACCAAAGACCGGCTCGACACCGGCGGCTCACCCAGAAATTCCAACGACGTCCGCCACGTTCAAATCGCTCAATGTAGCCCTGTGGCTTGTCCATTCTCTCGCCGCGATGGCAATCCAGAACCCGACGGAAATCCAGAAGGCTTGTATTCCGGAGATATTGAAGGGCAGAGACTGCATAGGAGGCTCGAGAACAGGCACAGGCAAGACAGTGGCTTTCGCGGTTCCAATATTGCAGAAATGGGCAGAAGATCCTTTTGGCATCTATGCTGTGGTTCTGACACCCACTCGAGAACTGGCTCTCCAGATTTTCGAGCAATTCCAAGCGCTGGGAGCACCACAGAATCTCAAGACGGTTCTGATCACTGGGGGGAGTGATATGAGACCTCAAGCATTGGCGCTGGCAAAACGACCACATATCGTCGTGGCTACTCCTGGGAGACTTGCGGACCACGTCCTCAACTCCGGCAAAGAAACCACAGTTGGCTTGAGCCGTACAAAAGTTGTCGTCCTCGATGAAGCGGATCGCCTTCTCGCTCCCGGGCAGGGTTCGATGCTTCCGGATCTCAACACCTGCCTAGGTGCGCTTCCTCCGTCTACATACCGGCTAACGCTCCTCTTCACCGCGACGGTGACACCAGAAGTCCGAGCGTTGAAAGAGCTTCCTCGCCCCAAGGAGCGGCCTCCCATTTTTATCTCTGAAACCACGGACCTATCTGATGGTGCTCCCCAGTCCAGCCTCATTCCGGCGACTCTCTCGCAGACATACCTGCAAATACCCATGACCCACAAAGATGCTTTCCTACATGTCCTCCTCCAGGTCCCTTCCTTGACAAAATCGCCGGAGCCTAGTATTATGATTTTCGTCAACCGTACAAACACTGCTGATCTCCTCCATCGCACACTGCTTCAGCTCGGTCACCCAGTCACGGCGCTCCACTCGGAGTTAGCACAGAGTCAGCGGAACAGGAATCTGTCTGACTTCCGCTCGCAAAAAGCCCGCATTTTAATCGCAACGGATGTGGCGTCAAGAGGTCTGGATATTCCTCAAGTCAACTTGGTGATCAACTTCGACGTCCCGCGAAATCCGACAGACTACGTTCATCGAGTAGGTCGTACGGCGAGAGCGGGAAGACAAGGTACCAGCATCACCTTAGTTGGTCAGCGGGACGTGGAGCTGATTCTCGCGATCGAGGCATATGTGGGCAGCAAATTGGTGAAATGGACAGAAGAAGGAGTCAATGTTGAAACACGTGTTCTCAAGGGCCGGACGTTGAAGGATGTAGCCGAGGCGAGGATGGAGGCGCTCCGAGATGTCGAAGGTGGGAAAGATGTACACGGCTGGCGCAGAAAGCTCAAAAAGGACAAAAAGAGGTCGGTAGCGGAAGCGTCCGCGTCATGACTGCAGGAATGACTGATGATGCCTTATGATGTTTCGTGCCTTTGATGGTACAATCGCGGAGATTACCCATGCAGAGATTGTTGACATGGATCCTACTACCGCTCCCGAAACCAATTTCTTCTTGCCCTGTGCCACCTCATGCGAACGATCCTGCGAACTCGTGCAACCATTGACGTGTCGAAGCAGACTGAGTGCCCATCTACCTCATCCAATCAATATCGAGTTCCGCCTTGTATTCGCCTTCGTCATCAATCCGGCTGAGAACCGTCTCTTCTCCAGTCCACGTAGTTGGAGTCCCGTGTCGCATGCTTGACAGACTTTGTGGTTTGTCGGTTCCGTTCACGCTACCTTCTCTCAACCTTGCAGCGTTCTCTTGCGCCTGGTGCTCCTTCCACCATTTTCCACTCTCCTCAACGACGGACTCCTCCCAGTCACTGACAGGTCCGATCACCTCCACATCCTTCTGACCATGCTTCAGCACCTCTCGGCACGGCAGCGACATTGTCATGTTCTCCTCATTGTTTCCGCCAGTTAGATCTTTGAGCTTTTCCTCACTAGCAGCATACACCAGGCGTCCAATGTTGCTCCAGTATATTGTCCCTGCACACATTGCACATGGCTCCCATGTTGACACCAAGGTGCAGGAGGCGAGATATTTCTGCGAGAAGTGAATAGTGGCCAGCCGAGCAAGTTCGGTCTCTGCGTGCTGGACGTGTGAGATGGAGTAGTGGGAGAGAAGAATTGTGTTGTTGTCAGGACCAAGAAGTAAGGCTGCGAATGGCCGTTTGTCGTGTAAGCTTGTGGCAGTTTTCTGTAGCTCCAAACATGTCCCCACTGCAACATCGATCTGCTCCTTTGTCAACGGCGCACGAGCAGGGTCATGGTGTGCAGTGCCCGAGACTGTTGATGGCAGTGGTGTGGAGGCAGCTGGTCTTGCAGGAGAACTGGTGGAAGATGCAGGCGTGAAGGGAACGGTGACGGCGGAAGTTGGGGTATCATTTCTTGTGACACTGCTGTGAATTGACGAGCCCGAGGGCGTGATGGACGGAGCTGATGCAGGAGGAGGTTTTCGGTGGATAGAGCCTGGTGAAGGAGTATTGTTCTTAGTCGTCGCCGTCGACCGTAGGAAGGACTGGTAGCTCATCTTGACTCGATTTAGTCGGTCGGGAGAATCGTACACTGAGGGTCGATCTAGGAAGATTGAGGGTGGCCAGGTTTCCTGAGATCCGACTGCAACGTCGGAGGGGCTGAGCTCAATATAAATCAGCAGCTCGTTCAACTCGGGACACGAAGCCTGACAGAACGGTTAAGATAGCGTGCATCAATGATGGGGAGTGGGCAACGACACAGATGGACTCAATACAAAATATCGCAGTTCGGAAAGTGGTGGCTTTTTTTGATTTTTGGCAGGAACAACCACTCACCATGCTCAAAAACGGGGCCATACACCATGTGGCTGGGTCTCGCCTCGGTGCGGAGAAACAGCCCACGAGCCAACAGTCCAACTCGGAACATCAGCTCCAGCACTAGTTGCCTAAACCAGCGCTCGATTGGTCCACTAAGGGCCCGGAAGTTTCGCTTAACAAGCCTGTTCCTGACGCAAGTGTTTTGACCGCCACAGTCCAGCGCAAAAATGGGTTCTCAGTATGCCTGAGGGTTGTACCACCTTGGAGGGCTCGCTGCATGTGTAAGAGATGGCATTTCTTCAATCTTAGAACACCAGAATGTCGATGTTGCCTTTCCCTTCACCGTATCGCTGGCGAATGGTTTTCTCGTTGAGTAAGACTACTAGCGGGTTGAAAGTCTGAGGCATCGTAAAGATCGTGTTGTTCTTCTCGTCGCGAAATGAACCGTCAACCACAATGCGGCGCAGCTTTCCGGTCTTCAGGGCATCTGCATCCACCAACTGCTTGAATCTGAACGGGGTTGAAATAGCGATGCCAATCTTGTTTCCCAGCATGTATTCGATGTTGTCCCGCAGTTTCATGTGCTTCGCAATCAGCTTCCCAACTTTGGACTCCTCGTTCTGGAAGACTCGAAGTTCTCGATAGAGGTCTGCCGTGCGGATACCGGAGGATGTAACGACCAGTGTATGAGGAGAAGCTTTATCATCGCAGTTCGACAGACCAACCTTGCCTTCGGGTGAGAAGCGCTCGATGAACTGCGGAAGATTAGCAGCGACACGGTCTCTGTCGTAAACAGTCGTGTCGAGGAAGGCTTTTGTTGGCAGGTATTGTTCTTCTAGTTCGATAGGGCTGCTATTTGGAGAGTACTTTTGAATATATTTCGCAAAGCGATCGGCAAGCAGAGCTGGATCGGCGACAGCGTCCTGAGCTGAAGGAAGTTCTCGTGGGGTCTTGGCTGCTTTCGCGCTCGTAAGCTTGGAAGGTTGTTTCGCAGTCTTGCCATCTTGTGCAGACTGATGTTCAGATTTCGGGCTGGAGGCAGGCTGTTCTGCAGGTTGCGGAGAGTGTCGTAGGCGTTTCGCAGACTTGCCGTCGACGTCACCAGATCCCTCCAGCTCACGCTTCCGCTTGAGCTGCGCCCTGAGACCGGGCTTCTTGTTCTTAGTTCTCGACATTGCGGCGACGGTCTTGTTGGTGACTGATTCATTCAAAATGCGGATTCAATTTTCATCGTGGTTCAAATGGAGGACTCCCCAGAAAATCATTCACTGAACTTGCGCCGATCTTCTCCAAATCTTGGCAAACCGTCGATAAAGCTTCACTTCAAGTTCACCACGATTTGACTTGATTGCTTCATCACTTTCGGCACTCTCATGTGCGGCTGCCATCTTCCTGCCCGCCGCTCAGCTACGAGTGTATTTGCAAACAGGTCTTTTGGTACCCGCGCTTGCTATCTATGAATGGGTAAGGTGGCAATGAGCTCGAAATCGCCGTGCTTATTGCCAAAGGCTCGACAAGGCACAACGAGTTCCATGGCGGACCGAGAACTTGTATCTGCTTCGATATCCTCTAACTCCTCCTCGCACGCTTGGTGTTCAATCTATACTGTGGCCGTCTCCGTCACCAGCAAACAGTATTTCGAGACTGTGCGTGTCCGCATACTCCACCCGTCGTGAAGAACTCCATCGTCTGTTTTTGGCCCCCAGGGTAACCACCCATGGCCGACACAAGAGCAACTTGGAGCTCAAGATATCCTCGTCAGAGTCTCGATGTACCCGTTTCTCAACTCTTGCCGCTTCTCTGAAAATAGCCCTCATTGTGACTCACGGATTATCGATTAATCCAGCCTAATGGACATGTGGCAACTCGCATGGGAAGGAAAATGGCATTTCTGCATGTGCAAGAAGTGTGAGGACATCTGCCATGGATTGGACTGCTACATTGACGCAAAGCGTCTCCCAGGTTGAGCCACGAGAACAAGCCGCTTGCAATGTGACGGTCACGATCTTGACCAAAAGAATTCAAATTTACTCATTCTACATTTGTGTCCTGTTTCAGACCCATCTGGTACTTTCGACTAAACAGATTCAATGCAATCAAAGATGTCTCGGATTAGTTGATTGAGCTACCTTGACGCATCCTTCGCTGTCTGTTATGACTTGCTGAAGCCCTTAGGTCTACGCCGGTCGTTCTTCGTAGCTCAAGAACTTGCAACTCGCACTGCTTTCAACACCTACTCAGTATGAGGACCACCACCTTCGTCGTTGCTTTGGCTCTCTGCATCTCCGCCACTGCGCTCACTGTCACAGATAGACCTCCGCCCATTCACGAGAAACGTGGACCTCATCCATTTCCCTTACCAAGTTGTCCTGCTGGGGCAAGGCTCTGCGACTTCTTCAATGGAGCATACTGTTTCAATGCTACAGCCGGCGACAGTTGTTGTGAAGACGGGAGTGGTAAGCTATTGACCGGGCATTCTTCTAAGATATGATACTGATCCTTCAGGGATTTGCTCAGGAGGTTTCGTCTGTGGCACAGGAATTGCGCAAAACCGTTGCTGTGAACCAGTAAGTCAGTAACTCGAAGGCTCACCTTCGACATCTGATAAGCCTTCAGGGAAGGGAACCTGCACAATGTGCACAAGATGCCGTTGCAGGGACCGTGATGACGATACCGACCGCCCCAGCCACTTCGCGTGCATCTGCTCTGAATATTTTGCGGTTGACTTGGTTCACCTTGTGGATACTATTCGAGTTCTTCATGGTGCGGTTGTACAGTCCGACCTTCTGCTAAGAGCCAGATCCTGGCCCATGCCTCTCCCGGGTACCACACCAGGTAGCAGGGCATTGATAGTGCCTGGTGCTCCCAGAATGGGTTCTTAAAATGGTGGCATGCTGGAACCGTCGTTGGTTCCGAGGTATGCTTGAGTTTTGGTGCGTTCATGGCATTTAAGCTCTGTCGGAATGGCAGGTCCAGGGCCCCAGCTGAAGTTGACGAAAAGGCGGTCGCTCTGAGCTAACGGAATTTGATGGACGGCTCAGTCGTAACTTTGTGAACATATATTCACTCCGGTCCGCAGTTACAGTAGGAATCTGTCGCGGCTGCGTCCACCAATGAGAGGGGCATTAAAACATTGCTGCGGCTTCTTTTCGGCGCTCCGGTATTAGCTACCGTCGGCTGCGGGGGAGATAAACATGAGCGTGGGGTTCTTTCTCAGTAGAAACGCCGTGAAGCAGTTTGACCGACAGATAAAATTCTCGACCGAGGCCCGTAACCGCCATAGAGTCTCTCTAGCCTGAACTTCCAGGGACGACGACTCCCTCCGTATATAGTCTTGTACATATTTTCTTGTGTGGCTTCGGCGACCGGACCGGGAGATAGTCAAGCACATATTGTCAAATTCCCTAGCATGATCGGTGTCCGATAATCGCAGGCAAGTCTCCTACGTCGCCGAAAGTCACACGACAGCGCTAGAACTCTGGTTCCATGGGCTGAATGCGGATCCTGGTACTTTGCTCCTACGATGCCGGCCTCAGAAAAGGAGGGGACGAACGAAGATGACAGGCGGGGGTCTTCTGCAATTGTAGAGGACGACGCGGCCGCCCGGCCACCGCGCGCCCCTCCCAACCCAGCGTCGGTGAAGATCAACGTCGAGGGCGCGTTTATTGTCGACGACGAGATGAATGCTAAGAATGGTACAGCAAATGAACATGTACATTGGGAACATAAGGATATTCGGCTGCCACATCACACTGACGTGGTGAGCCATGTTGCCGTGGATGTACGTTGTCAGGCCACCAGGCCCAACCATTGCGAACCTGCACTGACTGAAGTCTAGATTGGCGGCTCATTGGCCAAGCTGGTATACTTTTCGCGTGAAACTGGTTCAATGCATGGCGGCGGACGCTTGAACTTCCTGAACTTCGAGACGGACCGGATCGACCTCTGCATTGACTTCATTCAAGAGCTGAAGAAAACGCAGTTGAAGCTCAATGGCTCCACCCCACAAGAGTTATGTGTAATGGCAACTGGAGGTGGAGCATATAAATTCTACAACCGAATGAAGGAGGTCCTGCATGTGGATGTGGTTCAAGAAGACGAGATGGAGTGCCTAATTATTGGTAAGGGAAAGGTATATTGATTAATGCGTGGCTGATGTTCAGTAGGACTGGACTTCTTCATCACGGAAATCCCACGAGAGGTCTTTACATACAGCGAGGAAGAACCGATGCAGTTCGCCGATACGCGCGCTGACATCTACCCGTATCTCCTGGTGAATATTGGATCTGGCGTCTCAATGGTCAAGGTATCCGGGCCTCGAGAATTCCAGCGTGTGGGCGGTACGTCATTAGGAGGGGGCACCTTTTGGGGTATCCTTTCGCTGCTCACTGGAGCTCGTACATTTGACGAGATGCTTCGGCTGGCAGAGAAGGGCGACAATGCCGGTGTCGACATGCTTGTTGGCGACATATATGGCGGTGGGTACAGCAAGATTGGGCTCAAGAGCACCACAATTGCCAGCACCTTCGGCAAAGTGTTTCGCATGAAGAGACTGGCAGAGAGGCATGCCGAGGACGGGGAAGGGCTATTCAATGGCGATGATCTTAGCGATGACCATGAGATGCACGGGCACTTCAAGATCGAAGACATGGCCCGAAGCCTGCTGTACGCCATCTCGAACAACATTGGTCAGATTGCGTACCTCCAATCTGAGAAACACAATCTTCGGCATATATACTTCGGAGGGTCTTTCATTCGGGGCCATACCCAGACCATGAACACTCTCTCCTACGCTATCAAGTTCTGGTCCAAGGGTGAGAAGCAAGCGTACTTCCTCCGGCATGAAGGCTACCTCGGGGCTGTTGGGGCATTTCTTAAGCGACAACCGAAGAACTGGGGAAGACGCAACAGTTTTGATGATATCAGACTCACGAAGGTCCTGTCAAAAGAATGAGATTGTTTTCGACTAATGGGAAGGTCGTAGGGAGATTGCGCTTTCGCGCTGGACAACGTCTGCCTCGTGCGCGGTACGGCCGACCCTGACCCAGGCAGCCTTCAAGGTGATCACCACTGCAAATCCGACCCCTTCCTCGGAGCAACGTGGGCGCAACTCAGGCAAATCCACGCAGCCGGCGACCGTCCGGTCCCATGGTCAACAGCTTCTCGTTGGGTTCTGTGAACTCCGTTCGCGAAAGAGCGTCGGAGCGTTGAGTCTTGCTCGCGAACCATACGGTTCAAGCATCGATTCTTACGCGGAACATCTTCGACCGCCAAAGGGTGTCCAACTGGATATATTCCAACCACATCTCGATAAACTACAGAGAAGTCATGTGGAGCAGCGTGTCTGAAATGCTTCCCACAAGCGTCCGGCATTGTGGTCCGGCTGCTCCAGCTAGTTAGGTAGGCACCGCACCACTTCATGCACAAAATACATTGACGATTATGCTTGACGATCCGTCCAGCGTGGAATCAGGCTCGTAGTTGCAAGTTCTCTGGCATACAGATTTGGTGCACGTCATTAGATCCGGTCCTATCCGAGTGTTTGCATTTGAGGCTGGAAATTGAGTTAGACACGAACTCAGGATCAGCTAGCCGAGGCATATCCCGGATTACGTGTGGAAAACGACGTGGACGGCCCAGAGAAAGGCCCAAGGGGATTGCTCCCCAGCAGATCAGCAGAGGTTGACAGCTCGGGGCCTGTCCAGGGCTTGCATGCCTGACGTCACCTCAGTTTCTCGATTACCAGCGATCTTGCATCTTTCATCCGGGCATTCGCATTGGAGCGCCAGTCAACATTGCTCGGCCTTCAGCTTCTTGGAACTTCATATCACTCTTTTGGATCATGTTCTAGTTGCTGCGCAGATTGTCGCATCTATACGCGACACAAGCTGCTCTATTCTATCTCCCATTGACCGGCGCCTCTCGTTCTTTGAAACCGCGTCCCTGACCCCCGATTCGGTCATCCTCCGTGAAGCGCTTGCTGTTGCGGCTTTTCGGCCCATTGCGAACAAGCGTCAGCCGGATAACAGAAAACGCACTGTTTGTCCACGTCGCAAACGCTTCAGCTCTGAAGAGTCTCGTCCAGGAGCACATATCCCTACAATATGGTATGTGGCTGCTGGCCATGAAGCTAGGTTTCTATACTTACAGGTTCGCAGGCGCCTCTAGCGACTCTCGCATCTGAGTTTCTGCCGGTAACGCCTGCTCTTGTCCCTCGTCAAGCAACAACAACCATCGTAACACAACCGACGACGTCGTGCTCTGGGCAGTATTCCGGGGGCACACTTGCAGGCGCAATCATCGGTACCTTCTTCGGAACGATTCTGTTACTCTGGCTCTTCAATTCACTTCAAAACAATAACGCTGGTAACAGGCGCGAAGAGGTTATTGTCGAGCGCAAGAGAAGGAGACGCAGTCGCAGCGGCAGCTCTTCGGGAGTGCGGCGCCCGAGCAGAGTATACTCGGGATGACAGCTCTTTGGGATACTTATTTGAAATGCACATGGGAGAGGAAGGACGGCTTGTACATGATCAACTATGACATTGTGATGGTTTGAAGGCTGGAGGCTTCTGCATTTGGCAATTTGATTTTACGACAATATTTGGGGATCTGATTATGAACATTTGAACTAGGATGACTGAGTAAGAAAATGTTTCGCTGCGTATGCTGGTGGATGGGCGTGTGCTGCTACGGCCTGTAACTACTTGGCGCAGCGCTCTTGAAGGACGGGTTGTTTACTGACTGTATACATCGAAAGGGAGCGGAGGCACTTCTATAGCACGAGGCTAGCCTCCCTAGGAGAACTGATCTTCAACGTGTAACCATCTGTCAGGAATCTGAGCCTTACGTTCAGCGTCATTCCCTATGTTTAGGCTTTGTTTACTTTGCGAGGCTGCAGATGCCGCGCCCGCTCGACTCGACAGTGTCTCCACTATGCATCAAGGCTGCGTTCTCCCGAACCACCGATCCGAGCGTCGCTTCCGCCTTTCGCACTGCTTGAGGTGCACCTGATCACTGTCAACTCGATCATTCCCCTCCGCCTTTGTGCTTCGACCCTCACCAGCAACCAGCCATACTGCAGCTACCTGACGGTCACTCCCCGAGAGTCTCCAGAATCGCCGTTTCCCTAGAACATCGCTGTGGCCTTGCCCGTAGGCACACGAGCCCGCTATTATGGCCGTCAAAGCAGTGATCCCATTCCTGGTGGGAATGATGCTGTTGACCGGATGTTCTAATACGCTGCTCACCAAGTATCAAGACCAACAATGCGTACGAAACTGTGATAGCAACAACCCGAAGAACCACAGGACCTTTGAACAGCCGGTCATCCAAACGTAAGCTAAGCATAAACCAACGTCAGGGTTACACGCTGACAACCACAGCGTACAAATGTTTATAGGGGAGTCGGGTTGTTGGCTCGTCATACTGGGTTTCTACCTGTACCGCTATTTTGTCCTGCGATCCAAAGATGCTCCATTACTCTACCAGCCAGTCAGCACAGAGGATGTGGACGACCACGATACCGGCCGGCCCAGCTCTCACGGTGCCGCTGTCGACCCTGCGCTGAAACCCCTTGTCCCGAATGCAGACAACAGGGCTTCTCTGAAAGGTTGGAAACTGGTCTTGTTGGGCCTTCCTGCATGTTGCGATATCACGGGCACGACCTTGATGAACGTTGGCCTCTTGTTTGTGGCAGCTTCTATATACCAGATGACAAGAGGTGCATTGGTGCTATTTGTTGGACTGTTCAGTGTCCTGTTCTTGAAGAGAAAGCTCTATCTATACCATTGGTTCTCGTTGGTAATTGTCGTTTTGGGCGTTGCATTGGTGGGACTTGCTGGAGCGATTTATACGGGGGACAGAAACTCTCCGGCGCCTAAGGAAACCAATCTTGAGCTGGTGCGCACCATGGTGTTGGCTGCTCGACAGGTGGCGGTCGAAGCAGCGGATCCCGCCGTCGTGCGCACTATCGTCGGCATCTTCCTCATCGCCTTCGCGCAAATCTTCACGGCTACGCAGTTCTGCCTGGAAGAATGGATTCTGGAAAATTATGCTTTGGAACCTTTAAAAGTTGTTGCATGGGAAGGTTTGTTCGGCTTGATCGTCACTGTCTTGCTGCAGGTCATCCTCCATTTCACAGTTGGCGTTTCCAAAGCGGGCAAGTACGGGTATTTCGACGCCGCGGAGGGCTACCATCAAGTCTTTACCAACCGTGCAATCGGCATTTCAAGTCTTGCAATTATGGTCTCAATTGGTGGCTTCAACTTTTTTGGACTCTCGGTAACCCGAAGCATCTCAGCTACGTCTCGGTCGATTATCGATACTTGTCGTACTCTGTTCATCTGGATTGTATCCTTGGGCCTCGGCTGGGAAACCTTCAAATGGCTCCAAGTGGTGGGCTTTGCATTGGTGAGCTCCATTTCAGATGACTCTTGACCCAAGTGCTAACTTTACTCATAGCTCGTATACGGCACCTTCATGTTCAACGACCTCGTTCGACCACCGATCAAAGCTCTCCTCCCTGCGAGGGACGAAGCCGAACGAGAGGAACTTCTGCCAGAAGAGCCAATTGAGCATATGTAGACTTTTAACAAACGCCGGTTACCCCCCCGAGATGTATGAGTATGTCACGACACTCTGATGATTTGAATCTAGAGTGCGGCAATCCATGCAAGCATGGGCAATCGGGCTAGTTCACCTTATTCGAGGGAACTGGCGGATAATTTTCGTTGAATTCAATGCGAGGAGCATCAAGCCCAAGCATTTTGTCCAACCCTGATACAGCAGCAGAAAGACACGCCTTGATTTGTTCAAGTTGTTGCTCCTAACTTTGCTTGACCTTCTTTCTGTGCATCCGATATAGCAACTCCGTCTGGAGGCTGGCAATTTCAGAGTGTCAGCTCTTGGGCACACAGCGTCGGGACTTTGTACCCCCTGCAATGTAAGGCATGACAATTAGAAGGCTGCATCTGGTCTGTCAAATCTAATTGTTCCGCTACACAGCCTGACAATCGGGGCATCTTCTCGGCGTTCTTACACTTGTGGTGTGCTATCGAAGCTGGGGTTGATGCAAGGGATGAATTTTCCACCGCGCACATCTTCACGGCGCTTCACACCTTGAGAGGTGGCTGGCAGACATTCTGCAGGAGAGCGGGATGACTTTGTACGACACAAAATCTGACACTCGAGAACATGCAAGAGCACGATTCGAAAGTCAGCCGCTTTCACTTCAAGAGAGGGTCTGATGCCGTGGCAGTTCAGTCTGCAACACGCGCAGGAGTAAGTACTGGGATATATGTCTCACCTCGCCCTTCGTTGAAAGGCCTCTTTTACTACGTACTTATCCCAACCCGCGCAGACACAATGGAACAATTGACTCCTCCGCACGACTTCGGTATGGCAGATGCTCACCACCAGGGCTGGCCGACTTCATTCCGTCTCACCCATTGTTCCAAGGAAGGACGAATGACGCCGCCTTCTTCCCCCACCCAGCCCTCACGGAACGGGTCCAAATTGCAACTGTCGGAGCTGCTTCGTCGGTCAAAACTTATCAAATCGAAGCAAAGTGGATTGCCCCAAGACGAGATTCGAACACGCCCATCAGCGAACAACATGAAGGGCCCTTTCCCGCTAACTCTTCCCGCGCTTTCCTCGATCGTCGCGGACAGCTCTTCGAATGTTGGCCCTCCTTATGCGGAACTTCGCAGAATGTCCGCCAGCTACAACAACCTCCGTGTTCTGGCCCAGCATCGACCAGTTTCGAGTCCAGTCATCCCTTTGTTTCCAAGCCCTATCGCACGAGACTCTCCTCGTGAATCTGAATCGTACTTTAAATTTCACAATCCTCGTCATCGACCTCATACCGCGAGCTCTAACGACAGCTCTGTAGATAGTTTCAACATTCTGTCGTACTATTGCGACGACCCCACTGATAGTCTCTGGCAGCCGGAAGACGAATCTCCAATGGAGCATTCCTCCTGCAGGGAAGCACTCGAGGACGACAACCAGAGTACGGCATCAGAGTCTATGCCGGCAACGCCGCTTCAGCAAGAATATCAGCCCACCTTCTGCACGGACGAATCTGACTGGCTTGCTAACACCACTTCGCGCGACCAGAGGATGCGTCGGTTCAAGTCCCGATACTACCAAATTGTCCAGCAACCCTGGAAAGAGATCCACTCGGAATGCGGCGAGAACAAAGTAGTGAGTTGTCCACAGAGGCGCAGACAGCAGTGCTAATCAACGTCCAGATGATCGCTACGGTCCTAGTAGGGCCTGGCAAACCAAAGTTGGTCCATATCCACCGTCCCCCCTCGAAGTCTGGGACGGATTCGTCTGTGGAAAGTCTCCATACTCCTTCGACCCCGAAGAGAGTACCCTTGGAGGTGTCTGCCTTCAGTCCGTTCGACACACCTTCCGAACTTCCTCCTCGCGTTGACTCCATTATCTCCCGTGGCACGTCCACCGCGATTCAAGAACTGGCAACTAGTTTCCTGCCACAACCGCTCGCTCTCCTCCGGCGCAGCCGGTCCAGCCGTTCTGAAAACATTTTCGGTACCTGGCAGCGGTTTCAAGATCTCGCGGATCCCTTCGAGACCTCACCGAGGAGAACCCGAAGCAATCAATCTTTCCGCGCAACTGAAAAGAGATGGGCAATCCGAGGCACAGCAAACATTGACACGCAGGTTCTTCGAGAACCGTCACCCATAACCAGAAGTGCAACGTGGTCACGCTGCAGGAAATCGGAGAGGACGTTGAACGCAGTCACCAGAGCCATTGATCAATTTCCGGACAACATGCTTCAGCTGGATTCGCCCGCTGTCCTTGAGCTCAGGAATCCTCAGATTTCCGACCGGACGTACACCATGGCCTTGCAGCGGGTATTTCCTGCCGCAGCGCCGGTCCTCATTTCAGCCCTCACCGCCTGGATCATCGTCGACTTGTACTTTTCTCGGTTGAGGGATCAGCCTTTGCCAATGGAGCGATATTTAGGCCAAGCGGCTGCGCCACAGGAAAGTCTTCATCGGATTCCGAACAAGGCGAGGGAGATGTTGGGCATTGGTCTTCCTGATGCAGCCTCGATATATCTTAATGATTATGCCCTGAGAAGGAGAGCATCGGCAATAGAAGCGAGTATTCGGGTCGTTGGACAGCGACTAGTGGAGGCGCTTCGAGGCTCGTGGGATGAAGATATCTGGCGGTCGCTGAGGGTTTTGGTGGAGGTGATAGAATGCAGCCCGCAGCGGTGGGCGTGAACCGGTCGTGGTTCTGAGCAATACTCTCTTGCCATTGTACCAGTATTGCGTCGTTCGGGGTAGTAGTCAGTCTTTCACCGCAATGCCAGCCGCACATTCAAGCCGGTCTGATTTAGCACCCAAGCATTACTGACCTTCCATTCCCTGCTCGGATCAGCGAGCTCAATCCGGAACTTCAAGAGCAGTGCGGGGACTATCTTGTGCAGTTCCAACAAGGCGATGTTCTTTCCTAAGCACGATCTTTTCCCTGCTCCGAAGGAGAGCATACTGTGCTCCATATGCTTGGTCTCCTTTTCCTTCGCGCTCAGCCAGCGAGTTGGATTCCACGATTCCGCGTCGTGGCCAAAGACGTGAGCACTGCGGTGGAGGACCCACGGATTAATACCCACAATTGTGCCCTGAGGAAGGAACGTCCTTGTCCCGTCGGCATGTTGGAGACTGAGACCTTCCCTTGGGACGACGCGTTCAAGTGGCAGAGACAGGGCTGGATTCATCCTCAACCCTTCCTTGATGACGGCACAGAGATAAGGGAGATTCTGTTGAGACTCGTTCCAGGTCGGGGACGGGCTGAAGATGCGGCCTTCTGCCACAGCCGAGTCGAGCTCGTTCTGAAGCTGAGAGAGGGACCCGGGATTCTTCAGAAGGTGATAAAATACTGCTCGCAGGGTCGAGGCTATCGTGTCGCTTCCTGCATTAATGTTCATCTGCGGACTCACAGTCAGTCTCTCGTACTGGACGTAGCCGAGTTGGCAACCCACGAATAGATTAGACAGAATCTGTGCATCCGTCAGTGTCTCTTCTCCGGCTTCGGCTTTCCTTATCTTCAGAAACCGGCTCAAGAAATCGGGCCTGTCCAGCTTGTTCTGTTTTTCGTCCACGCCAGCCTCGTCCAGATCACGCAACCGCTCCTTCAACAAGCGTTGAGCAAATAGCAGGATCGGCGAGCTGACACTCTTGCGGAAGTACTTGACGTAGAGTGGATTCTTGCCTAGAAATGCCTCATCCAGCCACGGTATCTGGCCGAGGACACTGAAGTAATTGAAATTCGCTCCAATCGCTTCGATAATGTTGTTGATGTCGATTCCCTGCTCAATGAATCCCAACCGCCGGCTAAAGGTAAGCTCGCCGATGATATCAAAGGCGAAGAACTGCAGGTACCGGCCTAGATCCAACTCCTTGACGCCAGTAGCAAACCGTTCCTCCAGCGTCTTCAGAAACACATCCGTTGTCCGATCTACTAGTTCCTCGTACTCCACCAGAGTGCTCAAAGAATATGCATGCGCAATCAGCCGCTTCGACTTCGCGTGTTGGGTCTCGTCCGTCATGGCCACGAGGCTTGCCGCTCTCCTGCCATTGACGATGTTCTGGAAACAGCTGTAAAAGTCGGACTTGACCAACCCTTTACCGATGCCATAAATTTGTGACACGTAGTCCGCCGAACCGGTGACGGAGACACATTCCGGGCCAAGGCGCACGAGGTTTCCATACTGTTTGTGCAGGTTGAGATGGACTTCGTGGGCGGACCCGTTGTATACGAGGAGCGCACGGTAGATGTTGGTGAAGCGAGCGATGAAAGGGCCAGGTACTGAGGAGAGTGCCAAATAATTCTTAAGGAGGTAGAAGAACAGGACAGCTGGAAGGGCATATGTCAAAAGAAGCAGCAGCATTGTTGCAAAGCGATGAAATAGGTTGAAGAACAAGCGAATTGAGGATGGTTGAGGTGGTGGTCACTGTCACATTCCACGGTGCCGCGCAAAGTGCCAGCATAATTGAGGGCGGTTGAAATGATTCTACCAGGGGGCGACATGCTCGGTTATTTTCCGCGCAAATCTATCTCGGAGTCGAACCGATACAAGTTGACGAAAATAGCACATGAGTTTGGAGAAGATTGTGTGGAAGTAGGGACTAGATAGAGTCTTTGTGCGGGAAGCTGTGGCAGCGGAAAGTTTCCGTGTGTCTCGGTTGGCCGCGGGGCCCTGTACAAGAGAAACAAATGTCCTCTTTTACCGTCACAGCCGCATGCTTTCAGCATTGAAGGTGACTGTCCAGATGAAACTCTGCGAGCTGAACAGATGCCGTAACAACCACACAATGCGTGCCGCCGCCATCTCGATCGTAGAGAGTGGTGTCGAAGCTGTCAGATCGACTGGTCGAATACGGAAGAGTCGCTGACGACTCTTGCTTGCCAGGATCCGCACCCCCACGAAGCAAACACATATAGTCCATCTACCATATTGACATCATGGTTCGGTCCAGTCGACCTGCTCTGTGACGGGTCCACCATCATCTTTGGTGTATGATATTTTAAGACGAAGGCGAAGCTTTGGCGGTAGAGACTAGAAATCCGGTTAGAAATGGGAACAGGATCAAGAGGTGGAATGGACTTACCCCGGTAGCTGCCACAATCCTCATGCCCTGGGTAGCCTCATCGCCGCCGTCCAGCGTGCTCTTGTTGATGGCCTGCAGCGTCAACTTCTGACTCTTCGGCACAGCCGCTTGCAGGCCTACGTCTGTCATTCGCACGAAAGTCGAAGTGTTCTTGAATTTCGCCATGGCTTGAATGCCAGCTCCAGTCCTGGAAACCTGAAGCGCGACCGACAGGCCATTCTTATTGTAAACTGGGTGTGCCACATGTCCGCTTGGGGCAGGACTTGCGGGTTTCGGCGTCCCGTTCCCGAACAGATCCATGATCGAGTCAGTATTGGATGCTGGCGGCGGGCTTTTCGCCTGCGTCGGCGGACTCGAGACGGAAGTTCCACCGAGGATGTCGGCAAGCAAATCCGCTGTCTGCTGTTGATTGCCATTCAAAGTAGCGCTGGCATTTACAGCAGGAACATCGGAGCTACCCATGAGATCGAGAAGCATATCAGACTCTGTTGTCTTTGCGACTTTGGTGTTGGTCTTGGCTTTCAACGACTTCCGCTTGTCCTTCGCCGGCACCGCGGCCTGGCCGAGAACTCTTTGTTCTTCTTTAATTTCTGGCGGTGGCATCTTCTCCAAAACTCCTCTTCGGATAGAGTCGTACCCGAACATGTTGCCATACTCGACCGCCCTCTGTTGGATTTCGACACTTAGATCTGCCGTCCGCGATTGCATCAGCCGCCGTATTCGCTCGACTTGTGACTGGTCTGACATTCTGGTCGTCAACTTCATTGCTGAAGTGATGATGAATTCGGTGGTGATCTGATTTGCGTATGTCGAGTTCAGGATGGTCGTGTATAAATCAACAATATCGCTCTCCTTAACTTCCTTCACCAACTCTTCCTCTTCGTAAGTTCCGCCACGGAGCAGAGCATCACCATACTCACCAATAACCCACACAGCGGCCAAAGTCAGTGCCTCCTGTGTGATATCAGCTTTCAAGGCGGCATATAGCTTTTGAACCGCATAGGTTTGCTGGTCCGGCGAAGTGGCGATAAGCCGAATGAACGATGATAGAATTTGTTCCTTGACGTGGTTCCCAGCTAGCTTGACAACCCTCAGTAGAGTGTCAATGTGCCAGCGCTTGTTAGGAGCGTGGCGATCGGCCGCAATTCCGATCTGCGTCGTCATGATGGGCTTAAACTCGGTGTCTGCAACCTCCAAGAACGCCAGCAGCTCTCTTATCAACACCCGCACGTTGTCTTCGCGGATCAAGGTAAAGCTGAGATCGAGTGCTCGCCGACGAATCGAGATGTCAGGGTCTCGCAAACATTCAAGGATGGTGTTTCGGTGCCTTTGTACTGCGTTCGGCTCGATGGCCACTACCTTGATCAATGTGTTGAGCGCAACGTATCGGATGTTGTTGTCTTTGTTGGCCAAGAATTTTCCCAGGATGTTTACGCCCAGTACGCGCAGACCGGAGTCGGCCTCGATGTCGAGGATGGTAAGGACTGCTTCATACAAGATAGCATTCCCGACATTCTTCGTAGATTCGGTGTTGGTAGCAACTTGTGCAAGGATGTCGTTGATTTGTTCGCTGATACCCGTGTCTCCTCGCCCAAGCACTCGGAATAGCCGCAGAATCTTGACTTGCAGGAAAGGGTCTGTGATGCCCGAGACATCGTGCTCTGGTGTATAACCAGAGCTTGTCAGGCTCTTCAACGTCCGTACCAGATGCGGGACGACTGGCCGGAACATGTCCACGACTCCTTCTTCGCCGCCTTCTGCCTCGTCGGCCTCGCACATACTAGTGATCAAGGTCAAGCCACACAACAGAACTCCGTGATTCCTGTCCTGGAGCAGGGCTTTGGCCTTCTCAAAGAAATGTTCCTGCAGATCGGGGACTTTCCGGCATATTCGCATGGCACATAGAGCGGCTTTCCGACGGATGTAAGGGTTGGCGGTAGATATGAGGGATTCGACTTCGGGGAAAAGATCTCTTGACATTTCGATAGAGGCAATGTTGCCCAGCGTGCAGAGTGCGAGGCCGACCACATATTGATTTGAGTGGTTGAGATCGCTATGCGAGAATTAGTACTTTCCCTTGAATGGGCCGATATGTCACCCACTTCTTCAAGGAGTTCGTGACCAGCGTGAGGACTTCCTGATTCTCGTCCAGCAAGAGCATAGTACCCAGGTAGCCCAGTCGCTTGTCCGCAAACCGAGGAGAAGCCAGCAGTTTGAGGCATTCTATCTGGCCGAAGTGCGTCCGTTCGCCGAGGGTAAAGAGGTATAGGAGCTTCGCAACATTGTTCCTCCTACTGACAGTCAGACGCTTGCTCCTCTGGAACCATTTGTGACGATTGACCTGATGTTGGAGTCTCCGCTCTCTTCCCGAAAGCTGGCCCGAATCGCCGCACTTTCTTTCTGGACCACGGCCCGCTCGTCGGCGATTGTCTTGGAGGCTCGCACATTACGGATAAACTGCTTTACTGGCAGTATGTCAGTAGGTCAGGCGACGCAGACCAGGCGTAAGGGGAAGGCATACGAGATGTCATGGCTGCGCACGCTGACCCGAGGAGGGGTCGTTCGCTCTCCGATCACTCGTTCATCGATATGAGGTCGTCAGGTCCGGTGTCGGCGTGACTATGAAGAATGGAGATCTCGCAAACCCTTGATCGCGAGCAGATACAAGTTGTGGTATTTCTGGTTATTGGTGATCCGAAAGCCAGTGTCAATTGTTGATTCAGGAACATTTCACGTTCGGCGCAGAAGTGGCCTCCGACGTCAGCCAATCGGGGGGAGAACATGTCAAGGGAACTAGTCTTGTCCAGGCCATCGACGCCTCATCCTCGACTCACATGTTCTTCTTCTTCCCACTATCGCTTCGCCCGAAATGTGATCTACGCCGATCGTCCTATTGCCATGTCTGGATATGTCAAAGTACTCCCATAGAGGGTGTGTCACCTGCAGGAAGTCCCACGTGAAATGTGACGAGAAGCGACCTGCGTGCTCAAGATGTATGCTCCTGGATCCAAGAACATGCAGACCCTGGCTGATCTGGTCAGGCATGAATCGAGGAATGCTATGCCCCGGCTACCAACGCCCACTCCGCTGGTCACAGAAATACGAGAAACCGGCACAAGTGACTTCATCGCCTTGCATCTCGGCGACTCTGGACACGTCCACGCCTACCTCACTATACCTATCGTTGTCTGAGTGTTCGGGGAGGCTAGCATCTCCGAGAACTGGTCCTGCATTCCTCGATGGCAGCGGATTCGAGACGTCAAAGGAATTTGCGCAGCCCTCTGGCGCTGCGGCTGAACAAGCAGCGGAAAGTGTGCCATGGGCGTCGCCGTCCATGAACCTCCAGATAGCAGCCGCTCTGCCCCCGTCGCCGTTAGCCTTTGCAGAATCTGTTCATTTTGTCCAGTGCTATTCTGGCGTTCTTGCTAGGGTATTGTCGATTTACGATGGCCTATCCAGCCCCTTTCGCGCGGCAGCACTGTCCACCTGGAGGCGGTCGTCCCTCCTCTTCTCCGCCTTCAAATTCTTCGTCGGGATATATCGCGTAGGCTGCGGTTCAAATTCGCGACTCCGTCTCGCCATGGACGAAGCGCGTCTCGAAACCCTCAATCAGCTCTCTGCTAACCTTTCATCAGTCACCAGCCACCTCACCGCACAAAACCTCGATGTCCTCCTAGTCATCAATTCGTTTGGCCTCAGTAGCAGCTGGTATGACTTGAGTGATCTTGGTTTAGAGCACTACACCGTTGCTGCCACAATTGTGCGAGTGGGCCATGGTATCACGCCTAGACATTGCAGATTCTTCAAAGAGTTTCTGGTCTACTGGTGGATGATGCTGTCATTTGCCTGCGGTTCAGGCTCGCACCGCACCCCGGAGCCGCCGACCCTAAGCCCCAGAAGCTCTACTGAACCGCGAATGCCACATCCATTGACAGGTGTTTCGCCCGAGTCTCAACTCTTGCTCGGAATGGTCGCCCGGCTGGTTTTTAGCCACCGCCGGATGGTCTTAGAGCAGGATACGACCTCCGCGGAGGCAGCTGTAAGATCATTGGCGAACGTTAAGATGGCCAGGCATCTGGAACATGAACTTGTTTCTCTGCAGTTTCCATCAGCTGACCTGATCCTTGACCCGGGAGATCCTCATACCTCTGTGCAGGATTTGCTGAACATCGCTCGGGCATACAGGGTAAGCGGCCTGTTACTTCTTTACCATGCTCATCCGGACCTTCTCACCGACAGGTCATACCGCGATGCTTCATTGCACGCTGTTAAGCCCGCTCTCAGCGGTCTTGAGCAGAGAAGGTGCCTCAGGTCTCTCGCGTTTGACGTTTTGCAGTTGCTGCAACAGATCTCTCCAACCTCTGGCACTCGGACTATCGAAGCTATACTGCTGGTAATAGTGTCTGGGGAGCTCTCTCTCAAAAAGGACGGTGCTCTACTGCCGACAGACCTCGCGACCATTAATGTGATCTCGCATGGGCAGTCAAGTGCAAAATCCGGCGATATATCGGAAGCAGGTATACGGCGAGCTGTACTGCAAGCGAGGGCCCTTGTCATCGCTCGATTCGAAAGAATACAGGCGATGTTGCCCTTCAACACTATTCGCCGCATGATGTCTCTTGTATTTGAGACATGGCAGTTGATGGACAGTGGCTTCAATGTTTCCTGGGTCGATTTAATGATCAAGAACAAGTGGGAATTTTTAATGATCTGAAGACGAGAATTAGACGGAGCACCAAGATGGCGGATAACTCCGGTTAGAGCGCGATCGAACATATCGACCGTGCAGGAAAAAATCTCTTGGGCGATTGATCTATACGATACATATCTACCCCCAGTCTGACTTGCCTTCGTTCCTTCAGCCACGCTTGCACGCCTGCCGGGTCTACGCCGTTCAGCTTTTCACTATGCACGTTCTGGTGGTCATCTGTCACCTAAACCAAGGCTCCTTCACGCACGCCGTCGCCGAGGAGGTCGTTAAGGGAGTGCAGAGCGAGGGCCATTCTACGAAAGTCGTTGACCTATACAAAGATGGCTTCCAGCCGGTCTTCACACCTCGGGACTGGGAGCAGTTTGATGGCGTTCCGATGACGGAGGATGTACTCGAGCAACAACGTTTCGTGGAAGAGTCGGATGCTATCTTTATCGTGTTTCCGATTTGGTGGTACGGGATGCCAGCCATGCTCAAGGGCTGGCTCGACAGGGTCTGGTCGGCTGGATGGTGCTACAAATCCGAACGAAACCCTGAGGGCACTCTACTACCTCACCGGCCATGCACGGTCTTCGCCTTGGCAGGAGCAAGTTCGAATCAGTTACACCGATGGGGTTACGACAATCACATGCTTCATCTTTGGCGATACGGCGTTTTCGGCTATTGTGGGTTCGAGCCTCTCAGAATCTCAATTCTGGATGATTGTTCCTACGCTGAGTTTGGGAAGCACGCCGGACACTTGCGGACAGCGTATGAAGCGGGACAGAAAATCGGCCGTGATCCTGAAGCCCTGCCGGGTATCAAGCCGTTTCTAGACAAAGGCCTCAACATCAAAGGCGAAAGGCATGTCGAAGAATGAGCATCGGCGTCTGCGAACTGCATTGCTTGAATAGGCTGTGTGTCATCTGGGAAGCTCTCAATCTGGAGACTGTTTCTTGTTTCCGACATCCTCCACGCCGCACCGTCCATAGTCGGGTACAAAGGCAAGGTATACTCAGCACTCCATCTGGCGTCCGGATAACGCCGTTCCAGATTGGCGGCTGAAAGAAATGAAACTCCGCCGTGTCGGGATAATCACGTTATTGTTCATTGGCTACGAGCTCGGCACCTTTCCAGATTCGACCGAAAATTGCGAACATCCTTGTCTGCGCAGCTGCTCCAAGACTGCGACCTCGAACGTGGCTCGAATCGAGAAGTCCTAATGGACATATCCGCCTATCAACGGGACTGATAGCGATTTCGTGACTGAAGTAGGTAAGAGAGCCAGCGTTGTTCGACAAAGCTTCAGAACTCCATCAACCCGTCTTCTGGCGTTTGCAACTCCATGTGTTGTGGGGTATGCGGGATGTGAGTTTCGTATCACTTCATCAAAAGCCTTTCGCAAGCGCTTCCAAACTCGCAGCTGCCCTGACGGATCCCACACTGCTTCAACACTGAGATCACCCCAATATGGGCAGCATCGACGCGAACTGTGCAAGTGGAGGTGGTCATGGCCCGACCGTGAACACCCTTCCTGCCTCGTGGTATCGAGAGGAGGGTTTGTACGAACTTGAGAAGCGAGCGATCTTCTCGAAACGCTGGCTGTGCGTCTCTCATGCGTTGCGATTCAAAGAGGTTGGAGAGTTCGTCAATTTCGAGATTGCCGGTTTCAAGTTTTTCGTCATTCGCGACCGGCAAAAGGAACTCAAGGCATTTTTGAATGTTTGTCGGCACAGAGCGTATCCCATCATCGAGAAAGAGAGCGGAGAAGGGGGAAAAGTCAGCATCTTGGCTTGCAAGTATCACGGTAAGACCCGACGCTGCACGGAGACAGGTCCTTGACTGAAGTTGATCATTAGGCTGGTCTTATGGATTGTCTGGGAACCTCGCGAAAGCACCTCGCTTTGAGACAGTGGACAACTTTGATAAAACCATGTATTCTCTATATCCTGTGCACTTACGTCTAGACAGACTCGGGTTCGTCTGGGTCAACCTCGACTCGGCCAATTCACCGACTATCCCCTGGGAAGACCATTTCGATGGCGTTGATATGCAGCCACGGCAGAAAGATTTCAGCATGGATGACTTTGAGTTTGACCACGCATGGGAGCTACAAGGCGAGTACAACTGGAAAGCCATGGTGGACAACTACAATGAGGTGTGGGAGTCTCCTTCTGACGATAATTGTCGCGACTGACATTCTCAGTGTTATCATTGCACGACGGCGCATCCTGGCATTCTGGCAACGACCAAACTGGATACCTACGACGTCAAGGGTATCAAGGGGTTCATTGAACATTATTCCGAGCCCCTCGACAGCGTTGAACACAAGTACGGGGTGCAGCCGACATATTTCTTCCCCAGCGCGGCGATTTTGATATCGTATGTCTGAGAAATCATATCATTTGCGAGGCTCTGCTAACCCTCTCCAGTGACGGGATAACCTATCTTACACGTTTTGCGCCCAAGTCAGCCACATCCCTGAAGCTCGAGTACGAGGTCTATCGGCACAAGGACTGCACTCAGGAAGACTTCGACACCATGAATCCCTTCTTCAAGCAGGTCGAAACTGAAGACGTGGGTCTCTGCAATGCGGTGCAGCAGAACCTCAACATGGACACCTACATCAAGGGGCCACTCCATCCGCACAACGAAAAGGGAGTCATCTACTTCAAAAACCTTCTCAAGGATGTGCTGTATAAACACATGGCGGAGGAGCAGAAGGCTGGGCGGAAGATCTTCCCTGCTCGAAGGACCGATGGCAAGAGTGACGAGATAGCGGAAGAAGAGGCCTTTTGTCGACTTGCATGTGATGGAAACAGTGGTCCGAAAGCGGTCCCCCAGTGGTGATGGTGCTCCGAACCGAGAGGGCGCACTTCAAGCATCAGATCAGATCAACCGCTTTCGCCAGATCCGAGAGTCTCTACTGTAGTTGCCATAGACTCGTACGCCTGTAGAGTCCTGAGGCCACGATTGATAGTCATGAGGGCAAATCCAGACCAGTTGCAAGAACAGATGCTTGCGCTTTTCTGATCCAATCGGCGGCGAGGTCGTATCGGACGCCGAGGCTGATGTCGACATTGCTGGGATGAGTCGTGCTGATTACTCCCATTTTCGGTAGACACGCGCATTCGGGTTCAGCGAGTCCGAAAATCATTCCTCTAGTAGCCAGGCTATCGGGTCTCCTGGATTTCTTGGTTCTGCGGAATCATGGCAGCCTTTTGTGTCGCCCGGCTTCGTAGCTGCACTCTTCTGTAACATACATCTCCATCTACCACTTCGCACGATGGCCCGCTCTAGTAGTGAAGAACGAAATATCTTACGCCCTCGACCGAGGAAACCGTTGCCAGAGGCCTTACGAGCTTCGGGCAATGGGTTGACTGCGAACGGATACGTTGATGTCCCGTCAGGCATATCGAGGTACGTTTTTGTCATTTTGCGAACTTGGGCCTTCCTGACAATCACTCGCAGTGGTCGCTCGACGCCGGTTCCTCACGATGCGCCGCCTTCGGTGCAATCTCTTTCCACGGCACGAAAGGCCGCGCGAGCGCAAGCAAAGCACAGGCTGTTCCACACCATCAACTACGTTCCGCGCGTCTCTCACTTCGATCCTCAGAGCGAGTACCGTGACTTCCGAGGATTCTTCGTGCTGTTCTGGATCAGCTTGACTATTATGGTCATCACCACGGGGTTGCGCAATCTGAAAGAGACAGGCCATCCACTGAGGATTGAGGTCTATGAGCTGTTATCCAGAAATGTCATCTCTTTAGGGTTGAGCGATGCCGCAATGGTGTGCAGCTCTGCTTTGAGCCTACCACTCCAAAAGCTGGCTCGGGGGACGAACGGCATATTGCGATGGCGAAGAGCTGGAATCTGGATCCAGAGCATATATCAAGCGTTGTGGCTGACGCTGTGGGTGAGCTGGCCGTTCTTGCTGGATTGGACGTGGACGGCGCAGGTCTTCTTTGCTCTCCACACCCTGACCTTCCTCATGAAGATGCACTCGTATGCATTCTACAACGGTCATCTGGCCGAGACTGAGAGACGGCTGCAAGATCTCGACAGGCCCGATACTGCGGACCGTGGCAAAGCTGTGAAATACCCAGGCTCTCCGTCACGTTTGCGGCAATTGGATCCGGACAGCTCGCCAGAGGAGAAGGAGGCCGAGGAAGAGTTGTCTCAGCTTCGGCAAGACCTGGCCAAAGAGCTCACGTCTCCCCTTGGCTCAGTCACATATCCGCAGAACCTCACCTGGTACAACTACGCCGACTACGTTCTATGTCCGACGCTTTGCTACGAACTCGAGTACCCCAGGACTGAGAAGATCAGATGGGACGAGCTCTTTTACAAGACCCTTGCCGTCTTTGGTTGTATCTTTCTGATGATCACAATCAGTGAAGAGTTCATCACGCCTGTTCTGGCCGAATCAGCAGCTCGCCTGAAGCTTGTGCAGACAATCCCGGACAAAGCGCTGATACTGGCCGAGACCACCAGCATGATGCTGTTCCCGTTCATGATCACCTTCTTGCTGGTCTTCTTGGTCATCTGGGAGTATATCCTGGGTGCTTTCGCAGAGATCACCTGCTTCGCCGACCGACACTTCTACTCCGATTGGTGGAATTCAAGTGACTGGCTCGAGTTCAGCCGGGAATGGAACATGCCTGTGTACCACTTCCTTCGACGACACGTGTTCTTCTCCTCCAAGACATACTTTTCAACACCAGTTGCTATGACAATCACCTTTCTGGTGAGTTCGCTGGGTCATGAGCTTATTATGGGCTGTATCACGAAGAAACTGCGTGGGTACGGCTTCTTCGCAATGATGCTACAGCTGCCGATAGTGGCGTTGCAGCGGAGCAAGCTGGTTCGGGGTCGATGGGTGCTCAACAATGCAGCGTTCTGGAGCAGCATGATCTTGGGACTGAGCATGATGTGCAGCTTGTACGTTCTCGTTTAGCTTAGGACAACTTGGGTTTGTGTGAATAGTGCATAATGCATAAAGAATTGTACACTGTAGCTAGGCGTGCCGATGGCTGTGATTGGCTGTTTTTTCGTGTCTTGGCGCAGCACACAGGTATATCTGTCTCCCACGCCGCTTTAAAGAGTCTCTCCCTCCCTGCGCCGCTTCCAGCCGAGATACCCGCTTGTGTCCACGACAGCGACTTTCAGAAACACACGCCGCTTTAATCTCTCTGGCCTGTCAACATGGATGCACCTTCTGTGTAAGTCTCCTCTCTAATTCGTCCGCACCACTTGCCCTGTCTTCCACGACACCTTCCTGTCACAGAGGCAACCGACAACAACTTTCATTCTGTCCATGACTGTCCTCATCCAGCCATGCTCAACCCCTCGGCTACGGTTTTGAGGCGGCAGAAGGCCTCAGGCACCCATGTCCCTTCTTTGTGGATGACGTCTCATGAGGAGCGACGATGCTTCCTACAACACATTGGCTCATTCTGCAAAATGAGCTCCTACACGCATGCCAGAGACAAGATGATGACAAGAAGGGTACCTGCAAGAGGACGATGTGACATAATCCTGACGCCGTCCACTGCCATCGCATAGATTGCTGTCAGTATCAAGGACACGACGTGGACGCTGTGGATAAGAAGAATCTTGTCGATGTTGCTGACGCCATTTCCGCTCTCTTCTTTCCTTACTCACTTCCGTGTTATTACCGCAGAGCATTGTTGCTAACGCGATTGTCATTGCCAGTCCTGACAGCGCCAGCACCTGGAAGTTCTCCCACATGGCAACGTGGGGCTTCTTTGTCGCGCCGGGCGACGAGCTGTTCTACGACTCGGACGTCATCACCGACGGCGACCAGAAGCCAATTCTGGTCAACAACAGGGCGCCCCTTGTTGTTGACCGCCTGCGTGTCAAGCGCGACGCGGCCGCCCACCCTATCCGGGGCAGGAACGAGCATTTCCTCTGGGAGTGGTGGGACCCAGACCAGGAGGAGTAGTTGGAGCTCGGGTTCGCCTCGGGTTCCAAGGAGCTCGAGGACAAGATCTTCGACTTCTTCGTGCGGGCTTTTGGCGGCTGGGACGTCACCGGTCCAGACAGCTCCCTCAAGCGGGGCATTGGCAGTTGGGATCGTTTCTCGTGGGTTCGTGCTGGTGTCTTTGGGCCTCAGACGCTGGGGAGCTGTCGGGCCGAGTACTGGGAACAGCAGCGCGCCCTCCAGCAACAGCAGCAACAGCAACAGCAGCAGTAACATCAACAGCAACACTGAACGCCCCTTCCCCTCCCTGCCTCTTCTTCCCCTCTGTCTTCCCCTTTCGACTCGCTCCGTTTTCACTGTGGCAGGAATGCCGTTGGATGTGGTTTGTGCTCGGTTGAGCTGGGCTGGGTGGGCTTTGTGCATGGTTGTAATGCAGTGGAGGAACGTCCTTTTATCCCCCGAGAGTATCGTAGGCGCGGTTTTCACCGGCCCTCTGAGGGGACACCCTCGCCATCTTCATCCTCGCGGGTGAGATGGGGGGTGGTGAGGACCATCAGTCTAGGTTGGTTTAATCATACACCTGACTAAGACTGACGTTCTTCCGCTCTGTTCCCTCGCAGTTGTCGCCAGCTTATCTGCTTGTCATAATTCCCCAGCAATAGAATTTGCGTGAAGAGGAGACTGTCATTATTGACGTAGATGAGACATCTATTGGCCGACTATGGACAAGCTACAAAACGATGGTAGATGAGCTGACGTCCGACATAGCAAGATATTCCCAGCTCTTGCAAAAGACGATCCAGCAAGCTCTTGGACAATGGAGGCTTGCGACCTTCCCGCCGTGCTCATGACAACCGCTAAATCCAGTCCCATATGTTCAAGATGTGAGTGTGACAGGCCCGGTCCTTGACTCGTTACCACCAGCCTCGAAACTCCAGAATTTTGCTTGAAAGCCAAAATTCGCCATGACAAGTGCCGCAAGCTCCATCCAACCCGGCCACTATGCAGGAAAACAACCCAACAAGAGACATCAGTGATTCGGACCGGCGGTATTCACATGACCACGCAGCCACCACTTCGCGCTCGTCTTCGTCCTCCTCTCGGTATACGTCCGGCCACGAACTCTCCTTCGCTGATGCCTTCATCTCCAGTGGCTGCCTCCTGAGCCGCACCATCTTCGTCGTCTCGGACACGGTATTCGGCTTCACGAGCTCGCCTGCGCCTCCGCCGCGAACTCCACCCGTGGCCAACCACACCGACCTCTTCGCTGGCCACCATCCACTCGGCCCATTTCTGTTCAAGCCGGGCAGCTGCGCCCCAGCGACCAGTGACACATCGCTTATAGTGCTCCTCGACGGTTTGCTGCCAGCCATAGAAGGCCTTGAGGTGGATGATCTCCGTGGGATACAGCAGAGTCTGGATTTCAACAACTTTGCGGAGTTCTTTCGTCTCGCCGTACTCGTCCTCGACGCCGTATGTCTGGACAACGGATTTCTTCCGACCTTGCATGACACGGCCATTGCCCTGCAAAATCTCCCTTACACCAGCCCAGGTGACGTTAGCACAATCAAAGGCAACCAGTTCTAAGCCCTTCTTAGGTCGTTGCGACCTTTTTGTCGTATTCCCGCGTTTCCGGACTTGTTCAGAAGCCTCCATAAGCACCAGATCCGAGATTCTCGTATTGTCTAGGCACAAGGACTTGAGCTCAGTGCACGCTTTGAGAAGAGGCAACACTCCGATGTCCCCAACCTGCTCACAGTAAGAAATGCTCAGGTGTTCGAGTGTTTTTGCTGCTTTGGATTTCGATAGGTTGATCAGAGTCGCGTTTGTCAGTTGCTCAACCTCTTCCACCTCGAGGTGCGTTAGGCGGTTCACTGACTGCAGGAGATCTTCCAGCGCATCGTCGGTCAAAGCCGTGTTTTGACACGTCCGGAAGCCTTCCAAATATGGCACGTTGTAGGCAAGTGCTTTCACCCCTCGATCGGTCAAGCTTCGGCATCTTGAAATATCCAAATGCCGTAGCCGTCGTGGAGGCACAAGAGGTCGGTCTGTCAGGACATCTCGTTCGGGGTCAATACCGTGAATCATGATCTCCAGCGCTTCGTCGGTCAGGCTATCGCAGTTTTGGAGGACTAAACGCTCCAGAGTATTCCGCTGGAACAGCTCAAGCATGAAATCATTATCATCCACGCCTCGAACCTCGCTGGCACGCAGGTCGGTCAGATTCGGACACGACTGGACGACCTTCCTGAGCCCTTTGGAATCGATCTGGGAGCACCAATCGATGTTCAGCAGCTCGAGTTGCGGACAATGGCAGGCGATGATCTTCATAGTCGCATTGTTGATGTTCTGCATACTGGGCATGTTGATATGCAGCAGTCTTGGATTGCGAAGCAAGAAGAAGTGAATGGACGACCGTTCGATCTTGCAGCCTTCAATGCTGAAGTGCTCCAGATTCCTGCACTCTTGGTTGGTCATTCTCGTTCCCAGACTGAGCCACTGATCCCGCAGCTGCACGCATCCTCTCAAGTTGAGGTTCTTGACGAATGCTCCGGCCTTCAGCATGATCTTTATCAGAGCGTCCGAGGTGATTTGCTGGTAGTATGTCTGGCAGTCCAAACTCGTCCACAATTGTCCATCGAAGCACATGTCATGGAATTCCTTCGACACGGAGGAGGCTCGAATGACGTCTTTCGGGGAGAGGAAGCTCAGAATGTATATCCTCAGCTCGTGCGGCATGTCTTGCCAGAAATTGAAGTTCGGCCGGCGGGGAAATGGCTTCTCGGAAATTTCGGGGAGAGGAGTGGAAAGCGGTTTCGACGTTCGGACGTCGATGGGTACGGAAACGGAGGTTATTTCGTTTGGACCCAAAGGTCGGAATCTGGCATTGGTTTCAAAGTAGGACTGCTGGCTGCCAGGCGAACCGGGCGTGGTCGGTGCCGTAGAGAAGCCATTGGAAAGAGCATATGAATTGAGAGGTGATAGAGAATACGTCGACGGAGGTGAATTGAGCGAAACACAGGAAATGGAGGCCTTCTGCTTGGATTGATAGACTTTGTCGCTCGAGCGGGTCCTCCCTAACTTCGCGAGCGACGGAGAGGAGGACATGCGCTGCAGACCTTGGAGTAATCTGTGACGGCCTTTCAGCTTCGCCGGAGGATCGAACGGTGTCTGAGCCTCCATCATAGGGCTTGCGGGAGTTACAGGGCGAGAGGAAGGTTGGGGAGCTGCAAAGGAGTTGGTGCTCGCCATATTTGGCGGAACTGCTTGTTCCATGATGTAAGTCAATTGGACCTTGGACCCGGACACTCAGAAGTAGACGACGCAAACGTGCACGATCAGAGTCAGATGCTTGTTGCGCGTGTCAAACGGATTGAGTAGGCCAAGCGAGGGTAGAGTGGTCCCCTCGCTCCCCTCAGCGAGAGAGTGGTTCTTGTCGAGGTGGGTTTGTCAAGAATATCCCGGGCATCGAATAGAGAATAAAGACACAACGTGGAGGTATAAACTGGAGAGTCAGTCGCCAGACGAACCGACGACAATATGGTCAGACGACATGGGTGGTAAGAGAACGCCGGCAAGATGAGGCCGGGAGCATGGCAACACACAGTCAATCAAATCAGGATGGCCAAGCTTGGGCGGACGCGCAGGGAAGGCTAGAGATGGACGCAGACAGGCAGCTGATGGCCGTTATGGATACCGCGACCTCTTAGTGGTAGCGAAGTGGGTGTCATTCAAGTCCGCCGAAGATGTGGCGGAGCCAGCCATCAAACGACCAAGATGGCATGGATCAACCGCTCACTGCGTGGTGGTTACTGTGTACAGTAACGGCATCTCTTCGAGAGCCTTCACAGGGGAGCAAACGGCTAAAGCTGGAGAGACGGGACCTCCGATAAGAACGGCAAGGCGGGGCTGGAGGGGTAACTTCGCACTGGCTTATCGGCGTATCGATAGCCAACGCCGGGCGCTAGTGACAGTGGCGTCGAGGCGCGCCCACTTCCAACCATAGCCCACTACTGGCATGGTACACCTCGTACGGAGTACTGAGTTACCCAGTCCCGTGCCCTCGCAAAAGTCCTTTGTTCTGCTGTTTCTTCTCTGAACGTGGTCATCGGGGTATGGCCTCATCAGATCTCATGCACCTGTCCGTCTGACTGTCCTCCAGAAAGGAAATGAAGGGCGGGACACAGGCCGAGATAAAGAATCATATGCGGTATGGCAAGCCAGGCAAGCTCAGCTCCACCCGGCTGGCTGAGAGTAACCGGCAAAACGATGAACGGAAAGGATCTCAGGCATTGCCTCGAGGCGTGTCTGTCTCGATTTACCATGCTTTTTCCCAATCGCCGAGGTGCCATCGCGTGCTTTGGGACCGTTCCTCGTCTTGCTCATCTGCCATCCAGGGGGCCCTATCATCGAAAGGCCTACTCTAAAATGCAGCCATACCTCGGCGGACTACGCCCGCGAAGCCCGCTTTCAGCGCTTGATTTAGTACTGTGTAAAGGTGCTACTGTGTACTTCGATACCTGCCGGGTTTCTGCTCCCCACCCAGATCTTCTGGTGACTTACCCGTAAAGTGGGATAGCTGTGGTAGGCTGCACCCATGCCCAGGAGCTAGAAACGAGACCGCGGATCCCACCCACTAACACCTAACCGAAGAACAGCCAAACTCATGGCCTGCACTGCTCGCCTCGTGGCCACCGGGACCCGGCTCTGGCTTTCTACTGGCATACCGTACACAGTATGGCTCCAGGTTCGGTGGAACTCGACTTGGGCTCGGGTGTCATGCCCATAACCCGCCTCTAGTGGGAGACATGCAGCGAGCTTCACCCCTGGCGAGAGCAGGGTCCAGGCTCTAATGCTTCGGGGTATCTGCGAGTTTCCAACCAGCTTTGGCCGAGCGGCAGCATGGCATCGTATACTCCGTGCGAAGTCGCCACGTCGAGCATACGGGACCGGATCCGGCTACGGGAAATGCAGCCGTGCTGCACCGCAATGCAGGGGCAAGCGTTTCCTGAGCTGGACGATTTCTTGTCCATCAGCCACTGCGGGATGAGCCTGTCCAATAATGCACCTGTTGTTCTCTGCGTCTCACAAGAGGTTTTGCCAGGGACGAGTACCAGGGGTAAAGATCTGTAAATCCGGGCTGCTTTTCCGCATCCAGCTGGTCGACCTCTTATTGCAACACTTGTGTCCCGAGGGAGCGTGAATCTTGCTTTCAACGGCATGCTCTAGCCTCGGGAACCCACCAAGGTAATTTCTTGGCTCGGAGTAAAGCCGAACATACCTGGGTAGAACAGAGAATGGCTGGACACTGAAAACATGACCTTGGCGACCCCCTGGCCGGGAGAAATCCCAGACGGCTTGACAGTAAGCGAGGGACCGAGGCTCAGCCAGAATGCGAGTTGCATCCTGGGCCTCCAGCCTCAAAAGACACTGCCTTCACTTCAGCACTGTACTAGCCGGCTGAATCGATGTGCAAAGGCGAAGGACAAGCCATCTGGCTGGCCTGGGACATAACATTGTTTGATCTCCAGCTACAGACCTTGTTTGTCTTGACCGAGACATCAGAGTCTTCGTCGGGCGAGCACCTCAAGATGGAGCGGCTACTTAGAACATGATGTTCTAGCCTTGGTCGAGAAAACGAGGTACATGGGGCACAGCCGCTAGTGCACTTCACAGGCCCTTCCCCAGCTTGGTGGGGTTGTTGTTGCTGCGTCTCTCATACCTTTGCGGAGGGACGCCGTTCCGTGGCTGGTCCCATCCTCCCGTACCTGAAGTGCGGAATCGACCTTCGTAAAAAGTCCCCTTTCACAACCTCGGGTGTGCAGAAACCTACCTCTATGTGGGATGTGAGGCACATCATCCACCCTCTATCCAACGCGGTGTCAGCGCTCCTCCTGCAACGTCGCTTCGAACACCCTGGCATTGATTCGGCTGCAACGTTTGCACGCGCAACTGATGCTTCCCTGCTCTGGAACCCGTTTCGTGCCCATCATATGTTGAGGATGCATCTCTGGCAATCCGCTAACACACCCAATATTGCACATCTACCGTTATAATGAAATCTGGTCAGCCACCTTATCCGCTTTTGTGAAATAGCAATGTATCGTAAAGCTAATGGCCGTTGCAATCATCCGTTCAGCTCCATACTTCGTAAAGCACATCTCAAAAATCCACAAACCAAAAATAGTGTTAGCAGCTCAATCACCATCGTCGTCTTGGAGCCAGGGATCGTCTACCACCTCTTCGATGGTATAGCGCGTGTGCAGGTCTCGGTCTAGCATCTTGCGAATAAGTTCTAGGCACTCCTCCGAGAAGGGCAGGAACGGAACCCGTAATGGATGGTCGAGAATTTCATCTGGAACGGTTAGCCTGATGCAAGCCGCTGTATGCAGCACTGGGCTCTATACCTAAATTGTAGAAGGGATTTTCCTTGTACGCGATTGTGTATAATAGGATGCCCAAGGCCCATACGTCTTGTTCCTTCCCGCCATATGGTCTGCCTTGGAGAACTTCTGGCGCAGCATAGTCTGTTCAAGTCAGAGAGAGTATCACGGCACGGAAGACCTTCCCACTTACCTATGGTTCCCACAAACACATCGAAAGGTCCATTCTTGATGTACGCCGCGCTTCCGAAATCGATCAATTTGATTCTTCCCTCTCCATCCAAAACGACGTTCTCGTCTTTGATATCTCGATGCACCACAAAAGCCTTGGTGTGGAGATGGTGAATGGCGTCAACTACCTGGCGGAAGATGTTTCGACTTTCAGCCTCGGTCATGTTAGTTCGAAGCTCAATATAATCAAACAAGTCCATGCCAGGAATGCCGTGAGGCAGCATTTCGATGTAATAGTTGACGTCGTCCTCGAAGAAGTCGATCATCTCGACGATGTTCGGATGTCGAAGACCATCCCGGCGAAGAAAATCGAGGACGTGAATCTCCAACGGTACCGTTCCCAGCTTCCGGTCTCTCGTCCAGGTATCCACGAGGATGCGTTTCTTGGTGACATACTTCAACACCATCTTCCTGGAATGACCCTTCTTGTACCTAACAAGCTTGACCTGACCGTAGGCTCCAGAGCCCATCTCCTCCAAAACCGTGAAATCTTCGATTGTCTTCTTCTTGTGAGGTATGTATGTCAGATGCGGAGGAGGGTGCTCAAGGGGCTCATCCATGATGACGGAGTCCAACGCATCATCCGATTGTTCTGCTGGAAGTGACAGTTGCGAGCCATTTGCAGGCTGGTCTGAGGGTAAGGGCGGTGGTGAAGGAAGGGACGGCGGCGGCTCTGGTTGAGATGGGGGCGACATTGGGCGATCATGGGCGTGCTCGCCCTCGATTGAACCCAGCCCGGCACCATGGATGTTGCGCGAGTATATGATCCAGAGCGCGTATACGAGCTCGGCGACCGCAAGGTTTGACCCTGCTTGAGATTCATCCCTCTCCTCAATGATGGCCTCGTCTGACACAGGGAAGACAGTCTCACTGCGAATAACCCTCATCTGAATGTCGACCATAATGTCGGATCCGTCCCTGTGTTTGGCTGGAACACCGCACGGCCGCAAAAATATGTGAGCGGGATTCTCCTTGCCCTCTCGAAGCGACAAGATGGTGCGAGCCCTGCGGAAGCTATGCTCGGGGACGACAATTCCGTCGACAAGATCAACGTTATCGTCGTCTCGCAAAATGGTCAAAACATCCTCAAAGCTGGGTATCAGGTTCGCAATGGGCAAGCCTTCCAGCTTTTGATATCCGAAAAGCGCGGCTGAGAATATGCTGTTGGAGCTTGTGACTTTGAGGGACTGTGGATCCAACACCATGACGCCGGCGATGTGAGGAAGACTGGATACACGGATCTGGTCGCCTGTCGGCGACACTTCTACCGTGGTCGGAACGTGGACATGTTCGGCTGTCTCAGCCGCGAAGTAACCTATGTAATGCTTGTCATGCGAGTCAAGTGCCTCCAAGGGGAACTTGGGAAGAAGGGATTTGAGGGATGAACCCTCGAGGTTAGACCGACCCCAGATGGCGTCTATACCACCGTGGGCACTTTTGACCTCACCGCCGTCGTCAATATCGAGGTAAGCGACATCTTCGGTAATCTCTTCGATAACCCAGATCAAGCCGCCGCGCTTTTCCATGACCCAGAAACTGGCTGCACCTCTGGTGCCGTCTCGTCTTTGAATGGGTACGATGTCTCCGCAAAGCAGGACGCCCCTCGATTTCGTTGACGGATGATTCTTGGGCTTGGGACTGTAGTGGCTACCAGAGCCATCATCCGTCTTTGCTCTTTCTGAAGGTTTGTTAGCTCTAGAGGGAGCTTTACTAAGCAGCCGAGCTGTAATACCGCTTCTTGAGCCTACCAACGACAGGCTAGGACTTCTCACTTCATTCTTGGATGGTGGCCGAGGATGCTCTCCCACGTCTTCTTGGGGACGTGCCAGCCTCGTTTCCAACCACTGTCTTCGTTCCTCTTGAATGACACCAAGAATGCTCAAGGACCGCACTTCAGCTCGCGTAACGCCGAAGATCAGGCAGGCAATATCATTGGCTGCCAGAATTGTCCAAGGAGCATCAGCTTGAGTACGAAAGACCGCCTGGTGAGTCGGTGACCATTTGCTGCTATGGCTATGCACCACTGAAGCGTTGCCAGTGACAGGAGTCATGGGAACTTTGGTGGCCACAGATGTAGGCACAACGTCTGGCACGACAAGGGGATCATCAGCGGAATATGGCTGGGCGAGGGCTTCGATCAACTTCTGCTGCAGGGATGCAGAATGTACATCGGTGTAGGTCCTTTTGAGTCCTGCTCGGGGTGCAACGTGGCGCTGTGCCTGTTCCTGCGCATCGATGGACTCTGACCTGGTGGGCGGTATTCGCATCTCGAGGTCTGCTTCCCTGGCAATCTCTTCGTCGTCTTCCAGGGAATATTTCCGCCTTTGCTCACTTTCGTAGCCAGTGAAACTTCGCAGCTGTGCGGTCGCGTTGTCCAACTCCACGCTGAAGCTCTTCTCGAAGACATTGCGTCCATCCACGTGAGCAGGTCCTGTAAGTGGTCCTGTCCCGACCGTCCTATATCCAGCAACGCTCGTGTCGATTGGAATAATGTTGGCTTTTTTCAGCAAGTCCATCATGCCCTGCAGCTCTGGATCGCCACTCACTCGTGCCTGTGCATCGACCAACGCTGGATTGGCAGCCCATGAAGACCGGCCCCGCACAAAGTCGATGGATTTTTGAAGTATGTTTTGCCGGACGTGCAGTATTTGTTCTGACTGTTTGGCAAACGAGAACGAGTGGAGAGACTCTGACGGAAAGCGGTGCAGGTCCTCAATGGCGGGAGAGGAAGGGCCACTAATCAAGTAACCACCAGTGGAGACAGACCTGCTGGACGAGCCAGATATTGGCATGGTCTTTGAATGATAGAGTGAAGGGGCAACGAATTCCCCGCCTTCCAAGATCAGTGTAGGCGTCCGCAAAGGAGGTCCTTGCCGCCTAATCCTTCGAAGGCCGGATCTTCCCAGTCCATCATGGTCGAGGCGAGCAGCCCTATAGCCGTGTCAAATCCAGACGCACAGAAGCATGTGTCAAACCCACCTTTTCAGATTGCTCATCTCTTGGGCCGTCCCGGCGTCGAAGGAGAACCTTGTTCTTTGAGATAGCGGCGACCCCTCGTGCCTGGAAGGTTGAGCCAGATTTCCAGTGCTCTTGTTCTTGGGTATTCGTATAGTCTGGTCTCCGGACATGCTTGGTGAGGGTACGGTGAGAAGAGGTGAGAGAGGAGGGGTGATATCTCCTGCACAACCACAGGTCAGTGCGTATTCCACCTTATCGTAATCCAAGAGTAAAAGGTCCTCATCGCCGCATTCCTGCGGATTCAGTAACCTACCATGAATCTGTAGTCCATTGCGAGTCATGCTGGACTCCAGCTCGCTCAATATCTTTCGTAGTGCCGCCCGTCCGGCCGCTACAATGCCACTGTCACGAGCCCAGGCACAAGAAACACATCGTTCGCTTTAGATCATATAAAATCTGACAAAGACGAAGGTGGACTCGAAGAACAGCTGAAGTATTCTCAGCAAATGGTTCCAGAACGTCGATGTGGGTTGAAGCGTTTGGTAGGGCAACAAAATCCGGAGGGAAGGGACAGCAGCAACGTGCAGAGAATGTTCGGCCGTCACAGGTGAGGTTGGTTATCCCAGGGAGGAAGCAAGAATTGTCGATCAGTCAGTCATCGGCAATCATCCAAGCAGCGGCGGAGCGGGAGAGGTCGTTGGAACGTGGACACGAAGTGAGTTGTGTCTAAGCTATGATTGCCTGTGAGTGGGCTGTTTGTGTGAAGCAGCCCGTGGCGATTGGCCTAGGTCTGCGGTTGCATGTGCCTGTTAGGCTTGCGACATTGGGCGGCCAGGCGCAGTATGCCCTACCACCAAACTACTTTAGGCGCAAAGATCTAGAAGATCCGCCTGGGGTCCACCCTTGTTCAGATCTCAGCAGAGGTGGTGCTCGTACGAATGGGCTGCAACACCGGATACATCACGACTTGTCTAGCGAGATCGACTTTTGAACTCTCACAATTCTGCCCACACAGCGCCTGACCTACCATACCCGAGACGAGAATTGCCCGCCATGGTCGATTGGGGCAGATGGTAATGTCCACTATCTGATGAAGATCATTTTTGGCACGCCAGGGGTCATCTGCAGTTCGATGACTAGGTATGGCTCGAGGGCCAAGAGACTTCGGCTCCAAGACAGCCTATTTTCATGATCGATGAACAGAAACTCGCCTGAGGCAAGGACCGCGGTTCCAACTGATGACCCATTGGATGAAGGCGCTGTAAAGAGTGTCCTTGTGAAAGCTAGGTACGAGGTCGTGTGTAACGCTGCTTGAAGACGATGGGTGCGTGTATTGGTTGGCAACAGCCTTATGTTGGAAAGAGTCCAAGATAATTGATGGAAGGGATATACCGCCATACACGTTCCTGGCCGCTATGGATAATATGCAACCCTGCCTAGAGTTGGTTCGAGATTACCGGCTTGCAAAGGACTCGCTCAAGTTACACAGCAGAATCGACCATCGTGGATCAGGCCTCGTTCTTTAAGCCTTGTTAACCTTGAATCTTATTCAAGCTAAAGCCCTCCTTCTCGCTATCCGAATGTTTGCGCTCTGCATGAGGCGTGATTTCAGCCGCCTTCTTTTTGGGTCTGCTTCTTGACTCACTTTCCCTGCTATCTTCTGGCAAGTCTGCCACAGAACTGACGAAGCTCGAACGATGCCGGTTCTCTCCGAGCATGAAGGAGAATGATGATTCCATCAACGACGGCCGCTGCGGCGACACGTGCGTCTCTCTGCCTCGCTGTTCAGGCCCTTGAGTTTGAATACCCGGTTCGGGGTGCTTCTCGTGCTTGGTACCTGGTTCAGTCTGGGCGGGAGCTGCTGATTGCTTCTCAAATGAGTCGAGGTTATCCCTTGGTGGCTTTGGAGCTTGGGCTGTCTCCTCGTCCGGGATCGGGATATCTGGATCGGATAAATACACGGAAACAAATTGGATCTTAGCAAGGCAAATGTTCAGGTTGTCTTCAGCATCGCCTGCAGCCGCCGGATTCGCCAGCTTGATTTCCCTGAGAGACTGCAAAGCATCATCTAGCATCTTCGCCAATACGGTGTTGCGCTCTTGAAGCCTTTGAAACTTGTGTTGCAAATCTCGCGTCGCCTCCTCCTGTGGCTTCTGCTCTAATCTTTTCCGCTCTGGCACGACCAGCTTAGGACCATCGCTGCTAGGTTGCCTTGAGTGTGCCGACTGATAATTGTTCACATTACGTCGAACCTCGCCCACCGCACTCCGGACAGCTTTTGACACGTCCCAGCCTTCAGTGCGCTTCTGCAGATTGCCAGTGACCTCCCGGAATAGACCTTCCAGCTGTCTTTGTTGCGATGAAAACCTGCCTGGTGAGGCGCTGAGGGACGGTCTGTGCTGGGAAGTCTTTGCTGCTCTTGTGGTGGATGCACCCCGACTTGGTAGAGTCTCAGTCCTCTTTGGCCGTCTGCCAGAATATCGATGGATCAGGAGTGCGCCGGCCTCGCTATCTCGGTTTCTGTCGAGGAAAACTGCATCCCGTACAAGCGATCGTGGATCCTCCGAGGGATCGGGAAGGCTGTAATGAGTCAGTGCGGTGATGCCGGATGTGTAATCTGCTTCGATCAACGTCCAGCGATTTCTAAGGAGCATTGCCACGCAAGTGAAGTCCACGATATCGGAGCGCAAGTGCTCTGCAAACAGGACATCCCAGACCTTTAGCACGTCCTTGAATTCAAACTCCCGTCCAAAAAGTAATCGAATCCAGCGACTGCAATCTGTCAGGAGTAGTCCCTAGGACCTCGTGATTGAGATTAACTCACATGGAATAAATCTGGGGGAGAATGCCCACAACGGTCAAGTGGACAGCTAGCTCTGGATCAACCGCGGTAAGGATCTCATCATGGATTCGCATGCTTCTTGCAACAATAGGTGAGGAATCTCGGTTTTCCCCCAATTCGTAGAAAGCCTTCGCCGTCTGCATCACCGCGCAGAAGAGGTTGAAAGCGTCATGCTCGACAAACCTCTCGTTCAGCACCTCGATCATGAAATCAGTGCCTTCTGCCTTCTTGTCCACGGCCGGGACTCCTATCAAGTCCACAGCGTCTTGGTGGACAACCCAAAGGATAGGCGCCAGCAGTTCGTGCATTCCCTGTCGATACCCTATGTCGGGATTGAGTTTGGCGTAGATGAAGAGTATGTCCAGCAGTTTCTTCTGCGTCGCAGGCTCGCGAAAGAAGAAGTTATCCTGCATGCATCGTGTGACATCTTTGAATATTTCTTCTCTGCTCATCTCGTCCTGCCGTAGGGTTGACCATGGAGACTTCACTTTTGTCAGAGGTCAGGACATGGCAAACGATGCTGGGAAACGTAACCACATACGTTTTCATCATCGTCCGCCAACGGGTCACCAGAGGAATGGAGGTCGTTCGGATGTTCTATATAGCGAAGAAAGTGATCTCGTAGAGAAACATAGGCGGATCGAGATTCTGCAAGTTTCTTGGGCCATGAGCCTTGGCTGAGAGGCCCGTAAAGAAGGAATGCCTGAGGTGGTTGAGCTGGAGAGTCAGCACTTTTGAGAGCCTGGCTCAGCAACACACCTTCCAGCAAACCGATCGCAGCCCATCCTCGCAAGGATCAAAGCCTTCACCGCTTCTCAGGGCTTGTCGTAAGTCAACTCCGATCGAGGTACTGAAGAGCGAGGCCCAGCGCCGCCTAGATCCCCTTAGCCGACGCGGTGTTAGAAGAATCAGGTTTCCTTTACTGTATGTCCGAGAAGGTGCGCATTGTTTATCAGCGTCGGAGAATGGAGAACCTAGAGATTGGTAATGAGCTTCGAAGGTGAAGGCAAGAGAACGAAGTGATGCTTGGCGAGTAGAGTTGTTGTGCCCAACCCCGCCTCACTCTAACACCCAACCTTCACCCTTGCAATCTATCTCAATCATCTGATGAGCGTCCGTGTTTCGATCGCGGTGTAGGCAAATATGCAATCCAGAGAGTTATGTCCGCCGATCTTCTCTCTGCCTTTATGCTAGAGGGAGTAACGCCGCAGGACGCGCTTGGATCTCTCGCTCAGCATGCGGCGGTCCCTCTGGAGGACCACGTTCATTCCAGGCCGTCAACTCCTACAAGGCGTACCGCAGAGCATGCGCAGCAGCTGACTGAGCCTTCGCTATCATGGAAGCGAAGCAATACTGGCGACGACATCCTCTTCGATGCAGACGAGGTAGCCCTCGATGACGACTTTGGTGACTTTGAAACCGCAGGAAAGCCGTTAATTGATGGGGCAGACGTCAGAAGTCGCCGGGATGCATCTCAACTAGCCCAAGATGGAGCTGTGACGGCGTCCATCTCGCCTCTTGTCCTTGATCTTCTGGATACGGATGATGGGATCCCGGAAGCGGCCAGTGCGAACAAGAAGGTCTCCCGGCCTCAGTCGGCCTCTCATGGTCAATCTGCAATTCCAAGCAGCAATAACGACAATACGAATGCTACGGAAAACGATACTTGGGGGGCTTTCCAACCGTGGGAGTCACAGGAGCCGGCCGCCATGAATGATCTGGTTCTTGGGCCGAGCCAACAACCACAGGTTACGGAGGAAGAAATAGTTGGCGATTTAACTGAAGAGGAATGGGCGCCATTCGATGAGGAGCCATGCTCTGATGGAACTGTGCCCACTGGTGCCTCCACGTTACCTGGATCTTTACCTGAGGAAACTGTACGAGCCACCTCAGGGCAACCCCGTTCTTTGACTGTGTTTGACAGGCCGAGCAACGTCCCGCCCCCATCGTCGCTTCTGCAGCTACTCCCGGCGGTCTTCCAATCCATCCGCAAGGGTAACGCTGATATTACTGCGACAAAATCAGAATCGGCAGCCCGAGTGCTGCTTGCCTACAGAACTGCAAGTCGAATAATTGCTGGGAGGACGCTGCGATGGAAAAGAGACTCGCTTCTAGCACAAAGTATGCGGATTGGACAAGCTGGCAAAAGTGGCGGCATGAAGTTGGTGGCGGTGAACAAGAGCGAAACCAACAAAGAAGAAAGAGAAGTGGAAGATATGATTCAAGACTGGTCCAACTACATTCATGAATTTAACAGCATTATTTCACGGGCCGGTTTGCCGCCATCTCGTCTGAGGCTCTCCCCGCAGATCCCCTTGAAGACTTCAAAACACACAAACAACTCCGCGTCTTCTAAACAATGCGCGATATGTGGCCTGAGGAGGACTGAGAGACTGACTGATGTTGATGTCGACGTCGAAGACCTGTTCGGCGAATTCTGGGTCGAGCATTGGGGCCACAGGGACTGCTGTGATTTCTGGTATTCATACAAGGCTATGCTAGCACAACGCTGAGGTGGGATACGGTTACGGAAGAGGCTGTCTCACTGGTTTTCTGACGGTTGCGGAGACTGTAGTCATGCCATCAACAGCAAATACTTCGCCGGATCCGGCGCGTTCACAAATCGAGTCAAACACGACAACCAAGAGGTTCGGCAGGCTGGAGCGGTGGCGGGTAAGTGGAGGCAGGTGGAGGCCCCCCTTGCAGTTGATGCGGTCGACCATGAGGTCGAGGACGCATCATGGAAGCCACTTGAAGGAGCGACAGCACAATCCTACCTGATGCTTTTCTAGAGTTCCGACATACGGAGTACCATTGATGTCATCTCCACGGAGCCCAAGGGCGTATATTGATGACTATAGGTGGCAAAGGAATCTTCGCTGAACCCGCGCACCTACCGCGTTCGACATGTTTCGTCTGTCTTGCCTGCCGACACTGACAAACAACTGTGGCGTTCGAGGATTCCTGCTGCGTTCCCCTCCGAGATCGCTTTTACCGCCATCTTCACCGTCAGCTGGATCAAATATGCGTGCCTCCACCAGTTATTCGCCCGGTATCGATCTCCGAAACTCCAAGCCTGGGTAGGAGAATCTTACCAGTGTATGCATTGGCTACCTTTGTTGAAAAGCATTGAAACCCTAGAGGCTCATTTTACATGCATGACAGTGTTGATAAAGATAGGCTTTAATTGACTGAGCTCACGTTTTTGCGTTCGGTCCAGAAGCACTCCCAATTGTGTAGCTGGCCGACCGTACGATTCTTTAGGCCTTCAAGGCTGCGATGTAGTTTACATGAGATGGTGGGGTTGGGGTCCCGGCGATTCAAGAGTCCTGGTACTCCGTACTCGTAGGGACCATTCACCGTCGACCCTCGCGGCTGTGCAACTTCCTTCACAATTCCCTTCACCGGTTCTACCGAGTCCTTGTGCGTCTCCCTTCTCTGAACACGCATCTCCCTTCTCTGAACACGCATCTCCGGTGGAACGAAGCTGCCATCTGACCTGGACATTCCACTCTCTGGTCACACGACGGGTTTAACGTCGGCTTGACAGCGTCACAAGCCGCCCTGCCTCTAACCGTTTCCCATCACCGCGGCTGTGTTGTCTATCCCACGACGTCCTGTTTGGCTTCTTACAACTCTTCGACGGCGGCTCGCACGCAGGGTGTTTCAGCTGTAGCAGAAGATCAGGTAAACCTTGAGTCAAGAGTGGTAGCCAGGACAACTGTCCCTACAGGAAGCGAGTCTGCAACCCCGCCGCGAACAGGACACCGCGGCCACCACGGCCTGCCCTTATACAGGGGTTTCGACTGCTGTGCGTTACCATCAACGTGCTTGGAATTCTAGCCGGAAAGTTCTCGTGTCAGGATGGGTCTAGCATACAACGTCTACCTAAACTCAGCCAAAATCTTCGGCTGCAAGGTACAGCACTAGCCTATAGACCTTCCCACTGCTGCAGAGAGCCCTACGTATATATGTCGGCCAGCCTGCTAATCAGCCGATCACACCAGAACTGCAAAACACATCTTGCCGACTTCGACGACATCATTTCACGTAACTTCCGTGGCCAGCATGGCAAAGCCTTCCTCTTCTCCACGGTAGTGAACATCAAACAGGGTGAAGCGATGGAACGAAATATGACCACCGGCCGGCACATCGTGAGAGATATCAAGTGCAAACAGTGTGAAGAGACAGTTGGCTGGAAATATGACAAGGCTTACGAGAGTTCGGAGAAATATAAAGAAGGGAAATTTATACTGGAGAGCGAGCTGCTTTGTGTGGTGAATTGAGTAGAGCTGTCAAGGTGGGAAGATCCACAGCAAAACTCCGTCTCTAACATGACGAGAGTCATTTTGAGGTCTCATGTCTCTTGTTGGTCTGTTTGGCGTCCTGGATATGGCATGGACGGCTTGGAATTGGAGGCATCGCAGCATTCGAGCGGGCGTTTAGACTCGGTACACCAACCTCATCAACAATGTGAGCAGGAGACTCAAGCTCAAGAAGCGCATTTATGGCCATTCACGATACGTCGGTCTGATCGGGCCTTCTACCGCTTTCTCCTCATCTATGTGTATTGCCGATTGAACTCGAGGAGTCAAGTTGCTAAGCATCTGCAACAGGAGGCACAATGGCGTCCTCTCCGTTGCACTGGAATCAACTCAGTGCGCCCAGGGGCAGGTTTTGCCCTGAACCCTGTCGGCAGTACAGCATTGCCAACCTTCCTTTCGAGTTTCGACCTTATCATGAGATTTCCGAGGAGCAAATATAGTCCATTCATACTCTGCGATCGGTGCCTCCAACCCACTACCAACATCAGCCCACGTATGGGACCTCCCTGCAATGACTGGCGTACCACCGAGACTGGAGAATGCGAGCAGAAGGTGAATAATCACACATGGCACGTAACCTTTATTGGGCATGTGGCCGCACGAGATATGAAGCTGCGGGCTTCCTGCTTGTGAGTGTGATTGACTCGCTCGAAGCAGTCCCAAGCTCCTCTGGCACAGGCAACCTCCTCACGGCTTGCCATACAACAGACGGGTAGAGACCTACATAGGTATGGCAACAAAGGCACGTCGCAACGAGGGTTTCGCGGCCACAATGAAAGCAGTGGTCGTCAGGGGCAAGTGGAAGTCGCGGTCGAGTGGAGACGAGGGTCAGAAGTCAGAGCCGCACACGACAAGAAGACGGTCACATCCTTCACAACTGGTTGTGGGAAGTGCTTCTGCTGCAAACAAGGGGTCCGATCACGCCGTGAGAAGTGTCAAACGTTGGGAACAGTAGTTCTCGATGGCGACCAAGCGGAGTATTGTCGATTTCCGCTCGCGGATGGCACCATTGTCACGCCTCCGGTCAATATTGAGGAGTATCAACTGGGTCTGATGGCCGATATCTCCCCCATGGCTTGCTTCGCCGCCGCAAAATGCGTCACGCGGGGTTGTCAGGGATGTCATCGACCAAAATGTGGTCTTGCGGATCAGCTGTGGTCTTGTTGGACTATGTTCGTAGCTTGTGCTCTGGATTACTGACCCAAGGCCGGTTTGCCTCTCGATGGCGCGGAAGCCCGTTTGCTCCCTCTGCAAAGATTGTATTTTTGGAGCATGGTTGTTCCCGTGCCAACATTGGCGCTGGCCAACGGTACTCTGTAGTTCCAAGTATCGCTTTCCATAATACGGAGGTCGCTTGGGCGAAAAAGCAGATAGATATAAACACTTTGAAGGTTGAATAAGCAAATGTCCATTTCAGAGTTGTTTGAAGAAGCGTTGCATCTACTGGCGAAGGGACAGGACCAGCTGGACTCCATGCCCCATAACATCAAGTCTCTGTCGGGAGCCGTCGAACGTACGATGAGACCGGGTACGAAGAGTTCGACAATGAGGGTACTCGAGGTTGGCGGTGCGTACCACGTCCCGGCCTCACGATCTGCAGGATCTTTTCGCCTACTTAATATGTGCACATATGTAGCTGTGGCGTTCTGCAGACAAGATCTCAATTTTCGAGGTTCCAGCAGCCCCATGCTGGAACAGGTCAGGAGTCCAGGTAGAGCATGTATTGACATCGCACCTGCATGCAACCCGATAGCTTGAAACGGTCTAGTCCCGGCCGTATGTTTTCGTCCAATGCGCTGGAGGACTCAAAGCATGTCAGGGTAGGTAGTGTCCTGTTTGTAGCTGTACTGTCTACTTCGACTCCACAAGGCCAGAGAAAATCGTGAAAGCCAGATAATCGCAGCCCAGTCGAGGAATCAGACACAGGGAGCAAGGACGCTGTGCGCTGCGTATATAGTTGGGTGCGAATGCGATGCCATATCTTAAGATCAAAGGAAGCCGACCTCATTCGGCGAAGCTCGAATTGCTCTGAGCTACCCCGTACAGGAGGAAAGTTGAACCAGAGCCTGGGGAGTAAAAGCTGTGAAGCTCGAAGAGAACATCAGCCAGTGGGAATCCGACAGTGCGATGCCGAAGAGCTGGAGGCTGTTTGTTGATGGCTGGTGGCCAACGATGCTCCCCCACTCTCGCTCACTACTGTACAATATGACCGCGCATGTCCTGCCAGCCACGTTCACTGCCGGAGAGTTTTCATGCTGTGCCCGTGATTCAAACGCATTTTCAACTTCGTTTGTTTCCCAAACTGCTGCACCTCAACTAACACTCGAATCACCCTGTTGCTCTCTTTCTACACCTCACCCCTCGTCCTCCCCTCGACCCTCATCCATTCCTCCATACTCACACCGTCGCGTTCCCCTCCTCTTCCTTATTGCCTGCATCGCCCTTGCCTTCAGCATCCCCTCACTCAGCGGTCAGACCGGACCGACGTCTCATCTGCTCGGGTTGACCTTGCTCTCATATCCGCGCCGATCACCTTCGCCCCACCTCCGCCATTGAGTCGACCACGTTCCCACGCTCCTCATAATGGCATCCACGGAGTCTCCGTCTGGTGCGAACCACATTGACGACCAAGGCCTCAGCGAGTCCTTGAATCAGCTCAATGTCGGTGATCCTCAAAACGACGGCCCGAAGACCGAAGAGGAATATGCGCAATCCATACTGACCCTCCGTGCTATCGTCTCAACCAAAGAAGCTGGTGTCATCATCGGCAAAGCTGGGAAGAACGTTGCCGATCTCCGCGAAGAGACTGGAGTCAAGGCGGGAGTTAGCAAGGTCGTTCAAGGTGTCCACGATCGTGTCTTGACCGTTACTGGTCCACTATCCGGCATCTCAAAGGCATATTCACTCGTGGCCAAGGGTCTGCTCGAGGGTGCACCTCAGATGGGCATGGGTGGCGTGGTTCAAAACAATGGCACTCATCGTAAGCAACCTCAGAACACGATCTTGAATCATACTAATTCGATGTAGCCATCCGTCTTTTGATCTCCCACAACCAAATGGGCACTATCATCGGCCGCCAAGGACTCAAGATCAAGCACATTCAGGATGTGTCTGGAGTTCGCATGGTTGCCCAGAAGGAGATGCTCCCGCAATCCACCGAGCGCATTGTCGAAGTTCAAGGTACACCCGAAAGCATTGACAAAGCCGTGTGGGAAATCGGAAAGTGCTTGGTCGACGACTGGCAGCGTGGCACTGGTACCGTGCTCTACAATCCTGCTGTTCGCGTTCAAGTCGGTTCTGGTCCTCTCCCTCCTGCAGTCGCCACTGCTGGAATTACAGCCAGCAACTACGGTGGCGGGGGTGGTGGTCGATCCTACAACCGTACTGGCAACGGTGCAGATTTTAGTGAAACGCGCACCTACAACCGCAACAACGACATGCCACGTGGAGGGGGTATTCCTGTGGTTACTGAGGATGGCGAAGAAGTCCAGACCCAGAACATCAGTATTCCCGCCGATATGGTCGGCTGCATCATTGGAAGAGGTGGTTCCAAGATTAGTGAGATCCGCAAGAGCTCCGGCGCTCGCATCTCGATCGCCAAAGCTCCTCACGACGACACCGGCGAGAGGATGTTCACCATCATGGGGAGTGCCAGCGCCAACGAACGAGCCTTGTATCTTCTCTACGAGAATCTTGAGGCCGAAAAAGGACGTCGGCAGCAGGTCTCCTCCGAGTGAAGTTTCAGCCAGCGACCCCCTCCCACCCAACTACTCTTCGACACGCTCCCTAACACCTTCCGTCCACCATTGTCTGCCTCCAACCTTGACGAATGACAGGTCCGCGAAAAGCATATGGCATTGTTTTCTTCTTTCTTGGCGTCCGATAGATGGTGTCTTGCGCAAAGCGAACATTGACGAAGCTATGATACCTTACCTCTCGCCAGGAGCGCGAGTTCTTTTCACGAATGATGATGACCTGACCTCGAGCTTTGTACACGACGACCTCGAAACCGCAATCCTTTCTAATGTGTTCGGCGACCTTCATAACACACCTCTTTTCTGCTCGAAACCTCGGCAGGTGGACTCGCCTCCTCAGCCTTGTCCTCGTGTCGGTCTGCAGCCTTAGTTCGCACTCTTCGGGGGTGGCCTTCGAACCGGAGGACGAGGATGCATCAGACGGAAGATAGCAGCGGGAGACATGCTCTTGTTTGGTGGGTCAGCCGTGCTTTTATGTAGTGCATGACCCGAGATCAGCGCTCGGCGGCCGTAGGGGCGGGCCATGTCCGAGCACATGCCAAAGTATCAAGCCCAAGGCAGAACGGACCTCTCCCAGTCAAATGTCAAAAGAAATGAAGAAAGGCCTTGCACGCTTCGCTTGTGTCAATCAAAGGATTTTTCAGTCGTAGAGCAGCCATCCTGCAACTGCCAGTGCTCCGACAGCGTAGAAGCACCAGCACTGATTTGTAGTTTGTCACCGCATGTTGGCAGACTCTGACAGGCCGGAGCGGGCCAAGTCATCATCCGAGGGGCGGTATGTAAATCAACCGCCAACGCAGCTGTGCTTGTCATAGGCTCTCGTTGAGCTCCTGCTGATGCCCGAGAGCTGCAGCTACTCTCAGGCGTCACGAGTCTGCTGCACCTCGAAGGGAGGAGAGGGCCGACCACCAATCCGGTCGGGGCATTTGGAGTAATTTGCCGTGCCCTACAACGAGACTAAGCACGAGAGACGGTCAAGCGAGAGGACCAGACCGTGGCCCAGCTGCAGTTTGTCAGATAGAGTTCAATTACATAGCCCAAGAGGGACGAGCTGAAAATCATACTGCCTACGGAGTACAATTAATCGCTCTTGCATCTGTCGCTCGTCGTCATCTTCTTCTCCGTGAATGCATGGTGATGGTCACCTCGATCTCCCTGCACGAGGCGACATTAAATTGACTTGCCAGACTGGCTCTGTCCGAGCCGTGCTTCCTCGGCCTCTGGTGTCTTGTCGTTTGGCGTTTCAGGTAGCCGCCCGTTGCAGATCAACAATTCACCATCGCCAAAGCGGGTTGAATTGGCCCTCACGCGGCACACCACGCCCGACGTCGACCCCAATCAACCTCGTGGCCTCAAGCGTTCGCTCTTGGTCAGCGGCTCAGGGTCGAAACCATCTTCTTTTGAATTTCCATGCGTTCATTTACTCTACACTTTGTATACAGCCCGAGAACAACCCAGCCTCTCACAGCGTAGACAACTGCAGTACATTCGCCCCGAACGCCAAATACGAGCGGAGGTTTGGTCAGCAAGGCGAACTATCTACCTGCGTCGGCCTCTCAAGCACGCCTGCACTCTCGTGCAACAGGCAACAAGAACGAACAATTTGCCTCCGCCGTCCGCTGCAAGACTTCGCCGCGAGACTACGATATCCCTCTTTCTACTCGAACTGAGCCCGGTTGCACTCGAACCTCAACAGCAACGGTGTTTGTCCTTTACATATACCCCGCCGTTCCGGCATCTTCTCCCTGGCTTATAGTCTATAAACACCTCGTCACACAAATCCTGCGAGCTTCTATACAATCATGTCGTCCCCGGTACCACTTCTTCGGCCGCCTATGCCTGGTGGTCGAAGTCAAAGCGGCAGCCGCACTCCGCGTCTCACACTGGGTATTCCTCCCTCACCAAGCCAGAAACCAGTCGGCGGCGAAACAGAACCAGTCCCCGAAATCCCCCGTTTCAGCCTCGCAGCCTCAGGGCAAAAAGGTCCTCCAAAACTATCGCTGGCGACGCCGATGGGAAGCCAGGGCTCTTTGCAAGAAGGAGGCACAAGTCTGAGACCACAAATACAGCCTTTGAATATATCTGCAGTAACAGGAAATGAAGCCATCGGCAGACCAAGAGGGGATAGTTTCCATGCTGCAAGTGTACCTGGCTCTGCCTCTTCCTCGACATACTCAGCACTTTCCTTCGCCATGCACGGAAGACAAGCAGGGACACCGGACCCTTCGTCAGCGATAAGTTCGATCTACTCTGAGGCCAGCATCGGTGGCACGTCGATGGAGAGGGAATCAAGTATGGGCGGGCTTTCGATCGACTTCGAGAAATTGGCCATCGAAAAGGGCCGGCCGCTCGACGTGGAAGACTTGGACGACGAGGGCTGGGGAGCTGCGAGCGAACAGAAGAAGATCATTGAGTTGGGCTCCCTAGGGGAAGGTGCTGGAGGTGCAGTGACGAGGTGTATGTTGGAAGGCGGAAAGACGATATTCGCTCTCAAGGTCTGGACGGTCCGCCTCCAAAAACCCGGGCTCTGCGCTAACCCTCCCGTGTACAGATCATCACAACCAGCCCTGACCCCGACGTCAAGAAACAGATACTCCGTGAGTTGAAGTTCAACAAGAATTGCACGTCGGAATACATCTGCCAATACTACGGAGCGTTTATGGACAAATCTTCCAGCACGATATCAATAGCGATGGAATTCTGTGAAGGTGGCAGCCTTGATAGCGTTTACCGGGAGGTCAAGAAGTTGGGCGGTAGAACAGGAGAGAAAGTGCTGGGCAAGATCGCAGAAGGTGTGTTGCATGGCTTGACATACCTGAACAGCCGGAAGATCATACACCGAGGTAAGCCACACAGCCGGGAAGGGGCGACTGATATACTGACCACGCTCACAGACATCAAACCCTCAAACATCCTCCTCTGCCGCAATGGCCAGGTCAAACTCTGCGACTTCGGAGTATCTGGCGAATTTGGCACTAAAGGGGACGCCAATACCTTTATCGGCACGTCTTACTATATGGCACCGGAGCGAATACAGGGCCAATCATACACGATCACTTCGGACGTCTGGTCTCTCGGTGTGACACTACTCGAAGTCGCGCAACATCGCTTCCCCTTCCCCGCCGACGGAACGGAAATGCAGCCTCGTGCTGGTCTGATAGATTTGCTCACGTATATCGTCGCCCAGCCTATCCCGAAACTGAAAGATGAACCGGACAACGGCATCAAATGGAGTGACATGTTCAAGTACTTTATTGAGTGTTGTCTGGAGAAAGAACCTCCCAGAAGGGCCACGCCTTGGAGGATGCTCGAACACCCCTGGATGGTGGAAATGAAGGCCAAGAAGGTCAACATGGCGGCGTTCCTGAAACAGGTGTGGGATTGGAAAGATTGAACGGTCCCGAATCTAGAACCATGGAGTATACGGAAGTGGATATCTAGATGTGGGTTGACGATGCTGATGCTTGTGACGATCCGACGGAAACGGGCAAGATAATTACCAGATAATGTTGGAAAACGGAGAAAATGGAATCGAGGCAATCCAAGAGGAAGGACGAAAGGAATTGTTACGCCTCAAGAGCATGGACGACAGCCCCGACACGACGATGACGGCAGAAATCTTCTAAGCATCTAAATATGCCTCGGATGGCGGAAGAAAGGAGAGTGTCTCTCAACTAACACTGTGCCGGGACGACACTAGTTCTGGTTAACAAGTGTGCAGACGGCGATGGAGGAGATCTGAAAGACAGTGGGGTTCAAGGCGGAAGCTTGGATGTTGCAGCGAGGCTGAGGTAGTGACAGTAGTGGGTGCCGCTCTCATAGAAGCTGGAGCAGAGGTCGAAAGCAGAAAGGCATTATTACCCACTGATTTCACATCATGCTATCTAGCCGTCTTTGCTCTGATCTATATATCTTGGCGCTGCTAGCAGTTCGCAGCTGCATCGGGTCGCCTTCTCATAGCTTGGCCTTCTCAGCAATCAGAGTGTAGCTCTTGGGGTAACTTTCCAGCCTGTCCTTCTGCATCTCTCCAATGTTCCTGAACCCAGCGGTGAGCATGGAAATGTCGAATTCAGCAAGCAGGTTCTTGAAGACATGACGCACACCTTCCTCGCCCATGCAAGAAAGTCCATACACATACAGTCGACCGACCCAGACGAATTTTGCACCAATACACAGTGCCTTGATGATGTCCGATGCACCCCTCACACCGGAGTCAAACATGACGGTGATCTTCTCCCCAATACCGGCATTGATGATGTTCTCGAGTGCGTCCAGACTGGCGATTGCGCCGTCGACCTGACGACCGGCATGGTTGGAGACGACGATGCCGTCCACACCCAGATCGACGCAGTGCTGTGCGTCAGCCACGGATTGTATCCTAATTTACCCGAGTCAGTCAAAGAGACACGTGTACACAGCCGGGCAAGACTCGCCCTTTGATGCAGAACGGCTTGCCACCACTCAATTCCTTCCACGTCTTCATCACCCAGGGGATCTTCTCCCAACTGAACGCCCTTCCATGCCAGACATTGTCAATCCACGCAGCACCGGCCTCTTCGGGGGACTTCTTCGGATCGATGCCCATCTCCTTCAGACGTTTCTGGAATACGGGGTCTACGAGACCCAGGTCGGCGCCGATGCCGCGGTAAAAGGCGTAGTTCGATGTCGCGATGTCGTCGTGGCGGAAGCCGAGCTGCCATGTGTCGGTGGTAAGGATGCAGGCCGTAAATCCACTGGCCACGGCGCGCTTGAGCAGGGAAACCGCGAGTTCGTCGTCGTGTGGGAGGTACAGCTGGAAGAAGCGGACGGGGGAGTCATTGTCTGCGCCCTCAACTTTCACGGCCTCGGGTAGGTGTCGCCCGGCATCATTGGCTGCCGCGACATCCTCGATTGTGCTTGAACTCGCGGTACTCAACCCATAAGGTAGGCGAAGCTGGCCGGCCACCTTGGCCACGGGGAGCTCGCCCTTGGGATGGTAGATCTTGTTGATCCCGATAGGTGCGAATCCGATCGGCGCCGAGACCTTATGGCCAAACAACGTGGTTGTCGTGTCTCGCTCATTCACGTCTACGAGTTGGTGTGGGATGATTCGGTGTCGGAAGAAAGCCTGTCGATTGGCGAGGTGCGTCCAGCTGTTTCCGGCATTGGACTGAGCGTAGTAGCGGCCGTTGATGGAAAGAGACTCCTCGGCCAGCGCTTCGAGCTTGTCGGGTCGGGTGTTGAAAGGGGCAGATTTCCCTTCATTTATAGCCCAGAAGGCGTTGCGTTGTTCTTGCTGCCAGTGTGGCGTCGTGCGGTGGTATAGCTTGGGGATCTTGCTGTCGCTCATTTTGGAAAAAAGGTATATTTAACGCCGCGCAAGACAATATAATTTATCAACTACAGGATGGCAGGAAAGATGCACCACTGACGATGGTTCTGAAGGACTGTGATCTTACCTGTGGGCACTACACGGGGATTTATGCAACACACAGCATTGAGTCCCAAAGCCAGAGAACCGGTTGCAGCATGACATCTCTATCAAAGGCGCACTCTCCGGCAGATGTAGTGGCCGGGCGTCACAAAGACGCGGAATCAGGAGACATGACGTTAAACGGTGACTGGTGATGTAGGAGGTGAATCAGGGTGGAGATCTGAAATTGTGTAATGGACGAGAGACGAGCGTGAAGATCGACTCCCGGGAAAATGAACAGATCTCGGAGCTTGTTTGGTTGGGCAAATGCTTGTCTCTCGCTCCGAGTTGCCATCACCGGAGGATTTTCCGGCGGTGCTACTCCGGACAGACCCTGGAATCGACAACCAGCAGAAGCATCAACGACAAGCCTCACACCTTCTATCGACTACGAGCCAGACCAGACTGCTACGGTCTCGATTACCTCTGGCTCGAGTCGAGAGCTACAGCAACTCCTCCCGAGTACCCCAAGCGCCCACCGTGTCCATCAGCAGGTCGCATCCTACCCGTGTTCACAGTCTCGACTCGCACACTCGAGGCTGCCGTTGGCCGAGCAAGACGCTCCAAGTCACCAGCTTCCTAGATGGCCGAGGCCGGTGTTTGAATGTGTCGGAATGCATGATTCCGTACTATTCTGCCTAAGACAATATCCTCCAAGCTACTCGTAAGACCAACAACGAGCAGTATCGGATTTCTGCCTTGCAAACCATGCCCGGCGCTTGCACAGCCTCATTCGACCAACCAAGGCTCTGCGACCTGGAAAAGCCATGTGCGCCGAAGCCACCCTCAAGGAGGCGCACACATGTGTGATCGCTCAACATGGTAACTGCAGTGCTGCCAACTTGGGATGCAAGTCTCCGAATTCTCGCACAGCAAAGACTAGTCCCTTGATGACCTGAGCAAGTGTGCATATATCATGGGCGTCCGAGTGAGAATGCCAGTGTCACACTTCGAAGCGCAGCTATCGGAATGGCTCACATTGAGCTGGCAGACAACTTCCCGGCCCTTGAGAAGATCGACCTATCCGCTACGACCATTACATGCAGTTACTGGCTGGTCAAACACAAGCGCCACTGCTCTCGATCTGTAAAGCTTGATCCTGCGGCAGCCAGACAGCTGCAGAAGAACCTGCTTATGGTTCGGGCGGCTACCCATGGCTCTCTGACTTCAGACTTACGCTCGTTAGTGGTTGAAGACTTACTTGAGTGTTCTTGCTGTTGGCAACACAAAACAAAGCTGCATTCCGGCACCCTGCTGGGCGAGGAGGTTCGACGTCGATGGCAAGACCAGCTGAATATTGCCGCACCAGAAGGCACAGCGGTCAAGACGACGGTGGCCCCCGCGTCATGTTCAGCGGATGTCAAGGCACTCGATATCCGCCTAGCGGGGGTGTCGGCTATTCCTGGACCAAATCTCAGATCCGGTCGGTATACGCCCTTCCACCTACCAGATGATGCTGTACGTACTCCAGAACCGGAGTTCCTCCCCATGAAAAAGCCAGGACGGACGGTTGCCCAGAAGATTCTCCAAGGTCCCTCGAGCGAACAGTCACGCCGTACCAGAAGTCTCTACGCCTACGGCAGGTCATCAAGTCCCGGGATGCTCAAGATAGGGGTTTCCCAGAACGTCGAAGCCCGGCTGGAAGGATGGAGCAGGTCTTGCCTCTACCAGCCTATCCTGAAACACCACCTAAAGGGGGTCCCCTGCGCTCAATTCGTCGAAGGATTGACACATTCGGAACTGCTTCAATACTGGCGCAGGGAGATCCGATGCAAGCACAACCCAGACTGCCATACTCAACACAAGGAATGGTTCGAGGTGGACGATGCGACCGCATTTAGAGTGATGGATAGCTGGGTCGAATGGATGAGGGTCGCCGAGCCTTACGACCATGAAGGCCGTCTGAAACCCATATGGCGCTCTAGCATCGTCGACATGGAGGCGAATGGAGTACTTGTTACCTCGCGACGCCTACTGGACGTCGTCGAAAGTTTCCAGGCGAAGAATACTCCACAAAGCGGTAGTGCCGTCGCCACGCGAGTCGAAAGCACGGTAGCAAGGTCGTTGGTTGATGGAATGTCTGCAACATCCATTGTCACAACCACCCCAACGCCTGTGGTACTTTACGGTCGAGCCACTGCTACTGTCCTCTCCGCGACCGCCCTCATCACATCGTCTCTCCCAACGTTACAGAAAAGTCAACTTCGAGCTTTACTGAACGAAGGGACACCAAGCAAGGCCACCTCGCCTTTGTCTCTTCCAACGCCTCTCGTCCCCGCGGTGTGAATGCCTCTTCGCCCTTATGGTATGGTCAATGTTGCTGGTCTAAGTATACCGCTCTTCGACTCATGACCAGCGTTGACGTGTCAACTACTCCGTACTCCATCGTGATTTGTGACTGTTTTCGATCGATCCACATACTCGAATCAGCCTCAAGCGGCGTTTTGTCAGAATGAAAACTCATGGTCTGAGCGCCTCACAGGGCAGACACTGCCCTGCAGTAGAAGCGGCCGTCCATGGGTCTACAGAGAGTGATAGGCGCTACTTTCCGCCTGCAAGACGCCTGCCTCTGTGCGCACCGCAGACATGGGCACAGAAAGATTGTGATGCGGCTGCCTGGGCTTCGACGCTGCATGCAAAGTTCGACAATCTATGGACTTGGGTGGCAGGCAGTTTTGCTCTCACGGCTCGGACATACCATGATTTTTTCCGTTCCAGCCTGCCGTGGGCCGTGGTCAGTGGCCCTGAGCGTCTCTGACCACCTCTTGTCCACTATGTCTCGATGGCTGAATAGGTGACAGTTCGGACTATGGCTTATAGGAGCCGGAGGAGACATTGACGCGTCATTGCTCATGGAGTTCGAAAGAAGAAAGGGCATGGCTTGGTTAGGCTGCTTTTGGCGTTGAAAGCGGCTTCTGGATAAACTCGGCTATATCCCATCATCTGAAGAGATATTGCCATTGACTCGTCGCCGGTTTCGGAGATGTTGCCTTCGTCTCGCGCCTTCATCTGGCTCAGCTGGTTGGTTAGGTATTGACAACAGCCGAAACACCAACTTCCGTCCCAAACGCGCCTTCCCCCTGTTCTCCGGTATTTCTGGCGGTATGCCTGTTGCCGTCGTTCCCCCGCTGCAGTGTCTCATGTTCAAACCCTGGGAGCATTGTCGGGCGCTATGTGCGCTCATCCTTATTTTCTTTGACTGCGAGAGAGATGCTCGGATAAGCCGCATGGTGCTCGATGCAGCGCCTCTGTGACCTGCCACTGTGGCGTTGAATAGTGTGACAAAAGTCAAGTCGTTGCATCATACCGCGCATGTGCCGAAGAGGCCACATTTTGTCCTGGCTCGTCACGCACGTCGCGTGCGATCTTGGGAGGACCGGGTTTGTTTAAGCGGAAGTTCCGGGGGTGAAGAACCGAATCACGCATGACTCGGGAAGCGTCTTGGCAAATGCTTCATGACTCAGCAAAACCCTTCGGAAATTCCTACCCGCATTTTGTAGCTTCGATCCACTCACTGCCCCGTACCTCTGCCTCTGGCGGGGCCATGTCTTCCGATCGTCATGTAGACGCGGACCACCCGTTGAAGGGTCGCATGGCATATCTGCCTGCATTATTGAGCCCGCCAGCAACACTCCAATCTCATTGGGAACCGCCTGGATCCGAAGAACCCCCATCAGATGCCACGCAGGCCGTGCCACCATCCCCTCTGGTTGGCTCGAAGAGGAAGAGGCCCCGTGCCGCCAGAGCGTGCGAGTTCTGCAGAGCTAAGAAGCACCGATGCGATGAGCTTCTGCCATGTTCGAGGTGCAAGAAGCGGAATCGGCCTTGTATCTACAAGGATGCGGAGCTTGCTCGAGGCCGCTTCCACGCTCTTGCGCGTCGTGAGCTTGACGGCACGCAAGCATCCAGCACGAATAGCCCTCTCGACACACTTGATGAAGGCTTGAATCATAACCGCACGTCACACGACCATGCAAATGAAGAGGTCAGCGAGATCAATCCTCACACTATGAACACCGAGTTCCACGGGCCAACGTCATCCCTGGCATTCCTCGCGGCTGTTCAACATCATGCGCACAAAGACGGCGCTAAGACGAACGAACAGCCGCAATCTTTGATTTCCGCCTTTCATAACGAGTCCTTTACGCCGCAAGCCGCCCAGCCGAGATCACCAGAAGTGCAGTCGCCGTCTTCGGTTCGGTACCACTTTCGTCAATCTCGGTTCTTCCTAGATGGATATTTTCAGAACCTGCATTTCATCCATCCAGTCATCTCTCGAGAGAGCTTCTATTCAAAATGTGAAGATCTCTGGTTTGACCGATCCGACAGTCCACCTCCGAGCTTTGTGGCCCTGTACTACGCCATCATGAGTCTCGGTGCAATCATTCAAGAATGGGATGAAGAAACTCTCGATGGCATGGGCAGGTTTGACTGGGCGAGGAAGATGTTCCATCTAGCATCTGGCGCTTTGGAACTGACATTGGGTCATAATGATCTGGAGACTGTCCAAGCTTGCCTCATTATGGCGAAGGTGTGCCAGAATGAGTTAAATCCTCACCTGGCTTACTTGTATCTCGGCAGAGCAGTACGGACCGCGCTGTCGGCAGGCTTCAACCGAAGACCGCGACTGACTCCGACGGCTGCACGTCCCGAAGCACATTCCGACATTGCCAGAACTTGGTGGGGTCTATATTCATTGGAGATCGAGATGAGTTTCGCCCTGGGTCGTCCTGACTCTCTCGGACTCGACATTTACCACAACCAGACCATGCCCGCTGTGAACGAGACGGAACATGCTATTCTTGCAGCAATGGTTGATTTCGCTCGCCTCGTCCGCAAGGTGTCGGTTTCGATATACGCCTCTGCTCAGTCTACCTCTGAGAGGCTGGCAATAGCCGCCGAGATCGAATCCGAAATGGACGCCTGGCTCGAGTCCGTGCCCAGTTTCATTCGCCCGAACTTTCATGGCGACGAGTCTTCAACAATGATCAAGGAACCAAAATGGGCGAAAAAGCAGAAACATACCTTGAGGTTCCGGTACCTTAACGTCAAGATGGTTCTCTATCGACCGTTTCTCTTGCATGCTGCCGCGACAGACAGTCTACCAGATCCCATACTTCAGACGGCAGTGAAAAAATGCGTTTCCTCGGCACGAGCCACCATTCAGTTGATGCATCAAATGTACTGTGAGCTGCCCTACTTCCGTACCTGGTGGTATAACGTCACCTACACCTTATATGGGGCATCCATCATTCTGTGCTATCTATCCAGGTTGGCCTGCGACGACGAGAAACAGGAGTTGCAGAAGCATATCGACCTGAGCATTAGTGTTCTGGATGCCATGGAGGATCATGTCGTCGCCAGAAAAGCGGGGGCTGTCTTACGAGAGGCGGTACAGCATGCTCACCACAAAGGCAACCCAGATGGAAATCGGGTACCTCAACAAGCTCCGCAACTAGCTGACACCCCTCTTATGCAACTGGCAAATGCGTCTGCTGAAGCGAACGGGCCACGTCCTCTAGACGAGCCGCTCTTGGATCCTTTCCATAATGTCAGCTTCGATTTCATGGGCCAGATCTTCCCTTTTGATGACAGCTACGTATCTCCCTGGCCGAGTTATGCTCCCCACTAATGGCTGGGAACTGCTTTGTTTATGAAATCAAGCACCTGCTCGGCCCAAGCCTCTTCAGCTCTAATGCCTGTTCCCAGGCTCAGCACAGGGCTAATGTGGTTATGGCCTTCCAACTTTCCCTCTGAAAGGTTCTCGCTGACGGCTTTCGCACCTCGCCACTCCCTCACAAAGTCATCCTTTGGTACCAGAACCTCATTTTCCGGGTCGAGGCTCCCCGTTAGCACCTGGACCGAGACCTCTTTGAGGTCATTGATGGAGCCATCTTCCTTCGCGGCTCTTAACAGGCCCAGCGGAGAGTGATGCTGCACGTTTGTGCCATAATATGCCGCGAGCGTCTCTGCCCTCTCAGCGACCGCCTGGTCAAAGTGAAAGGGGACGGCGAGGAAGGTCACGCTTGACAGTCTGACATTAGCGGCGTCGCGCCCCGAGGTTTTCCGTCGACTCTCTGCGAACTGCGGCGCAAATAGATAACTAGCCAGGTGGACACCGCCTGCGGAGTTCCCTATGGTATGCAGATTGAGTGGCTCGCTCGAATCATGTCGAATGTTCTCCTGGATGAATTGGATGACCAGTTCGAGGTCTTCGCCACCCGAAGGAAATCTCGCCTCGTGTCCGATCAATCGATAATCAGGAATAACGACCTTGCACCCCAATCTTTCCGCAAAGAAATGGCCGAGATTGGCATAAACCAGTCCCCCCGGAAAAGCTGGGTTGATCTTGTCGCCTCTCACAAGCCCACCACCGTAGAGGAAGATGACCAGTTTATTCTGTGATGCTGGGGTACCAACAGGAGTATACAGGTCCAGCTGTTGACGTGGGTGTTTGCCGTATGGGAAGGACTCTCGCTGCGTTGCCTTTATCGCATCCGCCTGCTTCAGCAGTAGAGGTGTGTAAAGCTTGTACGTTGGCAGCACGACTTCGTTGATAGCGGTCCCGAATCCTGGCAATTGCTCCATGGTGGTTATAGCGACTTTGGATCTGTGAAAAGACTTTGGGCGTGGCATGGGCCCTGCCCATATCAAACTCTCAGACGGCAATCCAGCGCGATCATCTGCCGAGAAACCTTACGCTTGCTCCGGAAAATCTCCACACGCCCCCCGCCGCCGCGCGATGCCACGATGCGCCGACATTTTCCCAAGCCCGGGTTTTCCGATGTCATGGGACACTCAACTTATGGTGTCAAGATACTGTGCAGCCGTCATCGGACTTCTATATCCCCATTACTTGCACAATGCGTATACCTTCGAAGAGCGCTTGAAAACTACAGGTATGACAGCCGCGTTTGAACGCGACTGCAACCAGATCGGCCGGTATGCGTGGGGCTTGACGGACGATCGCGTATAGCGATTGTGGCTTTTGGTACATTGAGGACGATCTCCGCAGCGAACCAAGTCGATGTCGCGAGTGCTTTCAAATACTGCCATCCCAAACTAGTCATGGCAAGCCAAGGCTCGTGTTCAACAGCCCACGTGGGACGCTATTGACCACACAAGCTCGGAATCATGCTGGCGCCTACCCCGACCAGTCCGTCTATGTAGGCCAGGAAAGTCTGAAGGGGAATCAGGTCTATCAGACCTAGACTCGGGTTCGAACTCCTCAGCACTTGCCCACCCCACAAAACTCGAACATAGTAGCAACCTTGACGGGAGTACAGCTCAAAGACGACCTCTGAGCCCATTCCAGGCCATACCATTACATCCACCTGCAGGATACTGAGAAGACGAGACACGGAACCATCATGAGCCTGTGACTCTGTGTTAGCGGGGCACGGTAGGCACACGAACAGGCGCAATAAGAACCCCAGAGGCACTGCGGCCAGTCGGACAGTGGGGCGGACTCACAACGTTATGTCGGTATATCACTGGAGAGGTGGCATTGACGGCGTCACGAAGGTTCTGAGCAAGCTCTGCCAGGTAGATCCCGAAACTCGCCGTCGATGCTGGGAGCGACGAGGGACTGTCTCGGTAGATGAACGAGTACTCATACTGGCCTCTTCGGAACACTGCCTCGGCGTCCGCTTGGGTGATACAGTTGGACGAATTGCCGATTTGGCATGGCAGTGGCTTCTGATGACACAGCCGTGCGGATAGATTGTCGAAGTAATGGTCGAACCAATTGTGCCATCCTGAATCACTAGAGTTCACTCCACTGACCAAATCGAGCTTGGCGAACAAAGGAATCGAGTCGTTGAGGTGCAATGTCCAGTTCGCAGCGTCACTGCCCACTCCGTAAGAAGAGTAGAGATCGCTCGCCGTGGAGCATGTGTATCCCGGTTCGAGGCTATCGATGCTGTCGGGCTGAATGAGTACAGATACCGGTCGATTCCGAAGTCCAGGATATTCTCCCTCCACGATTTGGCCTGCAACCTGCGAGGTGATGACATTGTTGGTTACACGGTACTGCACTGTTGATGAATTGTAGGACGGCGGTATGAAGTTGAGTAAGTCGTGGTAAACACCAAAGAGATCACGGCCGTGTTGACGAGAATCGTTGAGCCCTGAGCCAGTAATTTGCGGGAACTGGCACGTCCCATTGAAGCCTTCCGGTGCCAAAGGGTTGGAAGGAGAAGTGTAGACCTGCCAGTTCACCTGAGCCGAGGTTCCGTCGGGTCGGGGCACGCCATAGTAGAACAGCGCCTCGTCGTCGCAGTTCCAGGAGTAAGACTCGCGCGGAAAGGCGTTGGACGCGTATGGTGTCCGCTTGTGGTGGCGGTGGATCTGGGGAACGTCAGATATGGGCTCGCGAAGGACAGGTCGATACGTACAATCTCGACGTATTCGAGCGTATAGTCCGGAGAAACTCGAGCATACTCCTTGGCCCTGACGTGTGGCATATTGCACCAATTATAGGTACTATATGGTGTCGACGTAGGGGTGACTGACGAGTTGAAAATGAAGCCTTGAATTCCAGTCCCGTTCACGACATACTCCAGATTGTTGATGTTCGTGTCGTTTGGGGGATGCCATGCCAGATCCACCGGCTGGGATGATTGAGAGCAATTAAACTGGGCCATAACCTGGTAGGTTAGTGAGCCCATCCGGAGCACACTGCGCAGCCGTTGAATCATGGTGTTCTGGTAGAGCTGAGCGGTCAGGACGTCGAAGGAGGTCAAAAAATAGGTGACCAGTCCTGAAAACACAGGAGGAGGGTCGGCGCTCGGCATGATAAAGCTGACATTGTCGTGGAGCTCAACCTCTTTCCAACGCTACGCACGGCACGTTATCGGCAGAGGCTTGCCTGGCTGTTTACGACTGCATCATAGCTGGAGCGAAGACCACTTGGAGGCTACATACTAGCAGAGACAGTTGAAAACCTTGCGGTCGCTTCGAGCGTGTGAGTGCAGGGGGGTTCTACAAGTCGATATCATTGGCGATATTTTGCTGGTTAAGAAACGTGCTGGACTGCGATCAATGAGTGGATGATGGGCCGTAGAGTGGGCAGACGAGGGGGGTAGGTTGGCCGGGATCTTATCTTATCGTAGAGACACCATCGGGGAGCAGTCATTGGTGTGACGACTAGTCTCGTCTCCGGCATCAATTCCGTTGACGAGCGGGACAGCCTCGGCTATCCCAGAATGGAAATGGAGTGCGGGGTCCGCAGCCTTGATATGCTGACGGCGTCGTCGGAAGGAGAGCGAGCAGGATACAATCAGACCGTGAGCTAGACCACAGACTGCCATTCCAGCAGCACCTTGACTGTGGTTGAAATTGGGACTGACCCAAAGAGCCTTACAACCGAGTGTTGCCTGTCACGCCCGGAACCCCGTCAAACAGGATCAGGCCCTACTCCGTACGAGCGATATAAGCGCACGATTCTAGTTCGCCCTGTAAGTGCTTTCTCAAGCCTTATCGTCACCTCAGGAGACATTAGAGAATATGGCATACCAGACCGATCTCTTTATCAATGGCGAGGTAGGACGCCCCACTCCTCTCATCAAATTAGCGATTCATTTGTGGTGACTTGGCCAGTACGTCAAATCGTCTTCGGGGGAGACACTGTCTATCTACAATCCGAACGACGACACCCTGGTCACGGACAAAGTTCAGGTGGCCTCAGAGGCAGATGTTGATCGAGCTGTTGCTGCTGCCAAAGCCGCATTCCCAGGATGGTCGTCCACTCCGGGTGCCAAGCGTGCAAGCATTATGAACAAGTTTGCGGATCTTCTCGATGCGAATGCTGAGCGCATCGCGAAGCTGGAAAGTATCTGTATGGGCCAACCTATCACCCTTGCCAAAGGGTTCGTACACGGCCCCGCTGCAACCTGGCGATACTACGCCGGCTTTGCGGGCAAAATCGCAGGTGAAAGCTACCCGCCTGAAGGAGACGGTTCATACAAGATCGTCGCGTACGAGCCGCTCGGAGTCTGCGCCGGCATTGCGGCATGGAATGGCACTCATGCCTTGGCGTCTTGGAAGATGGCCGCGGCCCTTGCGGCTGGGAACACATTCATCTTCAAGCCGAGCGAGAAGTCGCCACTGGGCGCTTGTCTCTATGGAGAGCTTGTCAAAGAGGCCGGATTCCCCCCCGGGGTTATCAATGTCGTTGTCGGCGCAGCGTCCGTGGGAGCGATGCTAGCCTCCCACATGGAGATTGCCAAGATTGCCTTCACCGGTTCAGCTGCTGGTGGGCGCGCTGTAACCATAGCCGCGGCAAAGAGCAACATGAAGCACGTCTCGCTCGAACTAGGAGGCAAATCGCCTGCTATGATTTTCGACGACGCCGACCTGGACAACGCGCTTCTGCACAACTCCACCGGCTTCTTGCGAAACTCGGGCCAGGTGTGCTTCGCCTCCTCGAGGGTCTTCGTCCAAGAAGGCATCGCTCCAAAATTCATCGAGGGCATCAAAAAGGCCTTTGAAGATGCGGCCAAGAAGATGGGCGACCCGTCGTTGGAAGAGACTGCGTTTGGCCCATTGGCCGATAAGAAGCAATTCGACCGTGTGATGAGTTTCCTAAACGACGGCAAGGCCGAGGGTATCCAAGTCCTGACCGGCGGGGACAGGCTAGGCGCAAAAGGGACGTTCGTGCAACCGACTGTACTTCTCAATCCTGACGTCAAGAGCCGGGTTTTCACAGATGAGATTTTCGGACCCGTGATATCTGTCAGGACTTTCAAGTCGGAAGAGGAGGTGATAGCGTTGGCAAACGACACGACCTATGGCCTGGGATGTAAGTGTGATGGTCCTCGGCGCACCTTTACATGCTAACTTCTGCAGCATCCATCTTTACCTCCGATATCGCTCGAGCTCTACGTGTCGCATCGAAGATTGAAGCTGGAAACGTGGGAGTCAACCAAGCATACAAGGTATCGCCACAGACGCCCTTTGGAGGCTACAAGCAGTCTGGCCATGGCCGAGAGAGCGGGTATGAGGGGCTGAGAGGTTACCTCCAAGCGAAGACCATCACCATCAACATGGACTTGGCTCCAAAGAAGGCATGAAAAGCACAAACGACCATTGTCGAAGTGATTAACGGTTCACGCGACAGAGTTCGTAAAAATGCCACTCACTTTGTACTTTAGCTAAAAGCACTAATCACCAACGAACTGTGGCTGGGCCATTGGGAAAGCCCTGAACATATATCAGTTCCACGCCCGTCGTAATTGAACAGTTTCCGAAGACGCTTCCGCTTTATCCAGCCCCGTCGTCGTGCTAACAAGGTCCAGCTCTGGCCAAGGAGACAAGGGCATCGGTCTCTGACCAGACTGAAAGCCTAATTGTAGAATCAGCTCGATATGAATGAATGCATGGGCTTCATTGAACGATGGTGCCACACGGTCGTGTAGAGCGAGTGGAGCGAACAAAGGCGGACTGAACAAGGTATCATCAATATCAGTGTTGGGTATCTCAGGTGTATCTGTACATTGTTTGGTGTAAACCCGCATATCTTCGTCCACATGCTTTTGCATTACCATGATCATTGCATTCCATCTCCAGTAGACGACGAAGCCGCCATCTCCATGGTGTATTCCATAAAGTAACATAACTTTTCCATTACCGGTAAACCACCATATGACAATATGGTGTACATGTTTCGCATTAAATGTCGTATAGTGTAGAATGCTATCGTCCAGCCTGGAAATTCAGTCCCAATCATGCTGGTCAGCTGGAAGGCCGTAGGCTCGTGACGCAGGTTAGTCGACTTGTTTTTCATGCTGTTGTGAAGTCGGCACAACAAGCATCTCCCGGCTGCCTGGCCTTTGAAGCCGATCGATACCAAGGTGTTCTTTCGTATCTCGTCCCACAAAGATGCCGAAAGCATACCTTAAGCCAGCATTTGCTTCGAGACGGCGAACTCCTCTTCGAGGACGCTGACGTTTCTCATCGGAATCACCATCACCCGTCAATGCAGCTGCAGTGAATGTCGAGCCTGTAAGCCTGTCGACTAGCTCCCCCTTGGTTTCAATGTTCTGCAAAGCCACGTCGCCGAGCAAAGGACTCGCATAGAGCCAACTCAATAGAGCAGCAATGGTGTTGATGTTGTGGGGCAGGTAGCGTTTTCTTGTTGGCCAAATGGTGAGGTATGAGAGGGCGTAGACTGTAACCAGGACGCAGAGAGCATAGTAGCCCGGCATGCTGGCGACAATTCTGACCCTGTTGTCCGAGGAGAAGTAAATAGCAGTAAATACCCCACCAGCCAGAACCGGTATAGACAATGAAAGGATTGATATGAAGGTGACATATGCCACCTTGTAATCCCTGTTGATCAAAGCCCGCGTCACGACGCCAAGATGTCCATAAGCTGGATAGGACAGCAACAACGAGTGGCGTGCAGTGGCTCCGGCTGGTTGTGACATATTGCGGAATGGCTGGACTGCGCGATAGTACATATCGATGGGTTGCCAGGCAAGGAAGAGGAACATCCCGAGGAACGCTGGGACAAAGCTGTAGAGGAAGTTGGCTGGAGAGAAGCCACTTGAGTCGGTCAGGGATGGGAGTTGAGGATCGAAGCCGTCTTGGACTGCTCGGTTGACAAAGCTGACAGCCAGGAAGGCGATGACCAGCAGAATGGCAGCTACAATCCAGGCCAGCACAGTTGAGTCGCGCAGAAACCACGGCACCCACCGATATCGGACGAAAGGCGAGTGTATGTTGCGAGCAAATCCCGAGCCATAGGACAGGCGCTGAGCTTCAAGGTCGATGGACTCGCTAGCCAGGGGTGCATCTTTTGCTGCGTGAGGCTGGAATGACAGTCGTTTAATGGGTGCGTATTCCTCTCCAACACCATGAAAAACGTCTGGTCTCCCAGAAGTGGTGAAGAACCCGAGACGGAGGTTTCTTGGTGGAATCTGTGCATTTGGCTCTGGTGATATTTCGGTTTGCTCAAAATCCGAGCCCACATTTGATTGCCGGAACAAGCAGATGAGGTCTGCCAATGAAGTCGGATCCCAAAGCAGATTCGACTCGCTCCGTCGGAATCGAAAAGCGCAATAGAGCAGCGCAAGGCAGAGGAGGACGTACAATGCCACTAACGTCCAGCCGACGCCTCGAACCGCTGTCCAGCGGAAGCGAGCTGGGCCGTCGTCTGTAATCCATTGGGTTTGGTACAGACAAGCCAGCAGAGGCACCGTGAAGTTCGCAATCCAAAAGATGAAGAAGGCGACTCCCAGCCATGGTTCGCGATTCCGGAAAAATGTTAGATCTGGTAAGACGAAGTTGGCGGGCAGGATGTGCATGTCTTGCAAGACCCAGGAATTGCGTTGACTGGGTCCCATGTTGTAGTAAGGCAGAGATCGGTACATTGCCGCTTCGATTACAAACAGCCACAGGATTAGGAGGATGCCAATCAGTTGAGGCAGGTATTGAAAGACAAAGTATCGCGCTGTTGCATTTCCATCGTAGTCGAAGAGCGCATGATTCGTGCCGGCGAATATGAGACTGAATATTAGGGCGGCAATGATTAAAAGGCATAATAGTAGGTATAGTGCGAGTATAGGAAGTCGTAATGGTAGTGGTACAAAGCCGAGTCGCATCCGTAGGTCTTTCGACAGATCCACAGGAAGCATGACCTCTTGAGGGACAGGCTTCCGATTTATCTGCGACAGCGGTCGCGGAGAGGCGGACTGCGGAGCCCGGGGCGGAGGCGGAGGCGGGATAGATGGAGGTGGAGTTGATGTTTGTGAACTCTCTTCGGAGGCAACTGGATGAGGTGCTGGTGAAACCAGTGGCAGTTGATCAGGATCCGCACTGTCTCTGCCTCTCCCCAATACATCCTCGTCTCTTGTCAGCTGCTCAATGGCGAATCTGATATATGGGGTATCGTCCACGTCCGGAGTTGGAGGGCTCATCTCGTCAAAAGTTGAAAGCATGCCGGGGTTTTGTGGTCCTCCGTTTTGACTGCGTCTGATGTTGAGGGGAGCAGGCTGTGCGACGCCGGCTCTGGCGGGGAGTGTCATCTCGGAGTCGACGGGGTTCTGCTGTACAAGTGGAGTAGAGATTCTCGAGGGAGGTGTCTCGTAACCTTGGCCGCCGTGGGATATTTGACTGGCGGCGTCGGAAGCATAGTCAGAAAAGTACTCGTTGGTCGCAGAGGATGATTTCAGAGAGTCGGACTTGATGTACTGAGGCGTGGCTTGCTTGACTGTGTGAATGTGAGCGATGTCCTCGGTAACTAGGTTCATTACTCCAGAGATGTATCATGGGCAGAAAGCAGCAACAAAACAAAACGCAAATGAACGCACGTTGCTGGAGACGGAGGAGAACGTGGGCACGAAGTTTGCAGCGGCCATCGGAGAATTAAGAAGCATGAGTTGCAGATGAGGCTGGGATGGCAGCCGTTGTGCTCGCGGTTAAATTGACGATGCGGTGGTTGGGGCTGTGAGGATTCCCAGCCTCCCAGCAGAAAAGTCGAGCAACCAGAGTGAAACACATCGTCAAGGTAACGCTAAAGACACGAGGAACTTGGTTTGGTCAAGGCCTTCATGTTGGTAGCTGCGATGATCACTGGCTAGTGGAGGGTTTAGCCCATCGCTTGAGGCTGCTGAGTGTGCGTTGTTGCGTCGTGACGATGATCACCTTCTGTTGCAGCCAGCAAGAGACGCCGCGCCTCGTCCTAATCTGTTTCCAGTCTAGCGCAGCCTCGCCCCCTTGGCGCTTGCATCCGCATCCTGCTGGTTTCCTTTGTGACTCAATTGGAGGACATAATGAATTCCAGCAACGATATACTACCGTGTACCTTGAAGTCGCCAAATGAAACTTGGCGCTGAACTAATGCCAGGTATGAGCAGCGACGCTCTCTTTTGCGTATCAAAAAATCGTTAACCTGTTTGCACCATGCTCTACGCCGTTGAAGGTGTCTCCTGTGCATTATTGTACTGGCTGTGTAACGCGGCGAGGGACCACAAGGCGTGGTTCATTAGACGACTTCAAGGATACACTGTAGCATTTACGGAGGCCTATAAACAATACGGTATCTTACAAAAGGGGGGATGCTCCGTAACAGCCCTTGGCACTGTCTGGCCAACCCCTCCGGTAACCTTCCCATTCACACCTTTCACCTGTTGTGCATACTGCGTACTGACCCACACGAGGGTACTTTCTCGAAGCTCGACCCTGTGCTGTAGACAGGTAGTAAACAGCACGCTTCATGTCGGAAGTCTTCTTCCGAGGCTGCTCCCTTCTCCAACCTTCAAATGGATATCAAATGCATAGGTACGGCGAGGCAGGTGCATTGTGTTAAACAGTGGTGTCTGTCTCGCTGCTGCACTTTTCATGGCAATATGTGAGATCAGGTAGGTGCACTTCGACGTCGCCTCCCCACGAGGTGCGGCAGTATCTTTTCGACTCTTCACTTTGCGATTGTCTCTCACCTTCAATTCTTTGGACCTGGAGCACTCTATTATTGATTATTTCTTGCACTCCATATCGCCCTGCATTCTTAGTGTACCCTATTTCCCTTGGATCTCCAGGAGAGCAAGCGTCCAGCCAAGATGCTCCCCAGACCGTCACTTCTCGTCACAGCATGGCTTGCCGGACAGTCAGCCGCCGCACCGACAAGAATGAACAGAACGCTCCGCGTTGTTCAGGACCAGTTCTTCACAGCGCTTGATCAGTTGTGCTCGTCTAAGAGCTGTCTCTCTGGGGTGGCGAAGTTCGAACTATCTTCGTTTGCCTGCTCCTGCCCAACTCCTCTTGTAAGCCACCGTCCATCTGCTTCGCCTCAGTACTGACTACGCCAAGTTCACCGCACCATGCGCGGGGCTGCAATGCGAAGGCGACCAGGAACCTTTCTACTCAGTACTCTCGAACTCCTGCTACTGCGACACGATGGAAGATTGGCACAAGAAAGATGATGAAGTCTACAGCACGCTTGTCGAAGCCGACCAGCAGGCTATACATGGTTTGCACCGACGGCAGGCACCGCCAGATCCAGTCCCGACATTCATTCCTCCACCGAAACAAGACATCACCCCGGAACTCATCCAGCAGGCATTGTCCGCCCAACCCCAGAACACGGCAACGGTCAGCTCCATGATCCCCTATTTCCCTGACGGCGTGATCAGGGTCCATCTGCAGCTTGCCGGCCCAGTGGCTTACACCCTCGTCGTCAACGCCAGCACATCCCTTCCTTGCGGCGCCATCGGACTGGTGGACCCTCAGCCCAATCTTGGCCTGGTGCCGCTGGTCATGAACCAAGGGCAAGGACAGCCTCAGACCGTGGTAGCTGATTGTGAATGCATTGCCGTCAACATGTATCAGCCACACATCGTCACCTATTGGATTCAGAAGCTCAGCGACGGCAGTATCTATTCAGTGGTGGGCAACAACCTGGTCATCGACATCGACAAGATGAACACCACCCAGAGTACGGCTTTGGCACTCACCACTTTGTCATCTGGAGCCACAAGACGTAGTGGGACTGACAACATTGAATATGTCCGACCAGTGAAGCGACAGATCTGGCGCGTCAACTGCAATTATGCTTGTCCCTTCTACCACATGAGGATGGTCAAGAGCACCGACGGCACGTGCGCGTGCTTGTTCAATGGCGCAGACGAGACACTCCTGACACGAAGGCCAGACGCAGTTCCCGGCCTTATTGCCCGAGACCTTATTCAACCTGACCTGATGAACGCGAAAATGACAGCTGAAGCTTGTGCATCTATGACATGTTTCAACAATGGCGGCGACCCAACACCGGCTCTGTTCAATCCATTCCACCAAACTTGTTGGTGTATTACCCAGCCCTACATTGAGTCGAACCCGGATGCTTGGACACCTTCGTCGTGAATGAACAAGTTCGTGGGTCTTTGATAATGGAGAGGATAACACCATGCGGACAAAATTGTACAGGATAACACATGGCAACAAACCAGAGGGAAGAACCGCGACGGACGGATGTCGAGTTGGAGAGACAAGAGCCTGTAAGAAGCGAATCCCTCCATTGGGTACACCAACAATGGTACAGGGGCCCGGGCATGGCCACGGGCAGCGACGGCAGGGAACTTATCAAGCGAGTCATGTACTGTACCACCATGAGCAACCCGTGGAAACACCGTCTTGGATCACTCAAATGAGCTTGTGGGAAAGCACGAACGAGGAGATTCCAGCTTGGAGGAACAAAAGGCGGTCGGGCTAACCTTTCAGGTCCTCTTGAAATAACACCGAAATTGAATGTCCTTGGGTTTAGACTCTGCGACACACAAAGGACCCACGCTAGAACCATTTGCGCCCTCGCTTGCTATGAACAGTGTGTAAGACACCCTAAGCTTACTGAAAAGGAATTTTGGGGTGAATCAACTCCTGAATTCTGGATGTGCGTCTCTTCCTCCAAACGTCCCGCTTTCTCTGGTCTTGCCAGTGCCGTGTTTCAGCCCCCGTATGTATGTGCATTCATTAGCTGAGAGGTAGCTGAGTGTTGTACACGGTATGAATCAAAGTTCGCGAGATATCCCGTTGATTAGAGTGCTGACTGATTATGTATGTCTATGGCACATGTTTTGGAGAGCCGAAATGGGAAAGTTTGTTTTGTGGGTGCAGGACGAGATGGAAGAGATGTGCCGCCGACTGAATACAGAATTTTGGTTGCTGGTTTCAGGGATAAAGGGGGGCAGGACCTGGGCTTGGCTCCTTGGTGCCTTGAATGCAATACTGGGAAGGTGTGAAACGCACATCCTCATCGCCTCGAAGTGTTCTCACTCGACGGAGCGCGCCCGGTACCCGGCTCTCCGGGTAAGACTCCGCTCCCAGAAACGTAGCTCGTCCTCGACGGACTCGTCCGCGCCGTTTGCTCTTCGATGATATCGCTCAAGCGGGTGGGATGCCCGTGCGTGCGACCCTGCAAGTTCTCCCACCTAGACATGGCTTGGGTTACTGCAGGTGGGGTGGGGACCGTAGGGTCATCCCCATAGCCCTCTCCCTCGTAGATTGCGCCTTGAGGGATGGGCGGCAGTGCAGCCGAGGTTGTTCGAGGCATGTTCCCATTCGTTGTAGGAGGAAGGCCTTGTTGACCGTGTGATTGGCGGTACTGGGCAGCGTACATTCTCTCGCGTTCGGCATCGGCAGCATGGTCGTCGTCCTCTTCGGACATTTCTTCGGAGACCTCGCCCTCCTCCTCCTGCTCCTGCTCTGCTGGCCCCGGAGGGCTGCGTCCGAGTGGTTGGCGGTATGGGATGCGGCGACCTTGTGCATCGCGGGTGTAGCTACCGTCGGGGTTGATGTGGTATTCTTCTTCTGATGGCGCTACGGAAGCGTTGGACGCGAAGTACGATGTATCTGTGGCCCCAGTGCCTTGGCGAGCAGGTGTTGGTAACGCGCCAGACATTTGAGCATTGGTCGTCGCGGTTGCAGTCTGGTAGTATCGCGGCTGTTCACCAACGCGGCCGGGAGACGCTCCGCTCGTTGCGGCTGCTCGCGCGGCGGACATCGCAGCACCACTCGTGGCGGGCTGTGTAGGACGTGGAGGCGTAGTGTAGAATTGAGTATCAGGTTCGCGACGAAGCTGACCTTGCTGCCGAGATGATTCCGTGAAAGGGTCAGTCACCGTGGGAGAGGTGCCTGTTTCAGGACGATATGAAAACTGCCGATTTTCTTCTCCTGGTGAGTCAAGTGATGTTGTTGTCGTCTGGCGGGAACCAGGTCGTTGTGGCGGCTGCTGACCGGACATAGCCGTTGGTCCTGCACCAGCAGTCGGCCCATCTCTGGTTTGTGGTCGCTGAAGCGTCCCCTGTCGGCTTGGAAGACCTTGCATAGGGACGACCTGCACACCGCCGATTAGGGTAGGCTCGCCGCTTCGCAGGGCAATGGTTCTTTCACGCTCCTCCTGCTCTCGCCTTCCCAGCTCTTCCCAGGCACGCCGGGCTTCTTCTTTGCTGATCTGTAACTCCCGCCGCATCTCCCGAACTAGCTCTTCGGCCTTTGTCTTGTCGGCGCGAACCTGTTCTATGGAAGTGGAACTAACCGTCCGAGCTTCTCGCTCTGCACGTAGTTGGTTTTCAAGCTGTGCTTGTCGTTCTTGGGCTTGTTCCTGCTCGTGCCGAGTCTCGAAGAACCACCGCTGGAACTTGCGTTCAGAAGAGGCTCGGAGCCGTTGCAGCTCCACGACAGCATGAAACAGATTGGCACCGGCTCGGGATAAATCATCGATCTGACGGGCCATCTGTCGGTCGATGGGCTTTCCGGCTAATTCGTTGGCGTTCTCCTCCATCCGATGAATGAAAGATGAGACGATACCCTCCCAATGAGCGGACAGATCTTCCCATCGCTCAAAAGCATTTGGGAAACGACTTCGGCCTCCTGCTCCTGCGGCCTGAGCGCCGGGTTGCTGAACCGGCTGAGGAGGCGGTTGAGCTCTCGAATGTGATTGAGGTTGTTGTGCGGCTCTTGCTTCGGTTGGTTTAGCTGGGGCAGGGATGTTGAGCTGCTCGTAAGCTTCAGTGCGGTTACGCTCGGTGGCGGCAGGAAGTCTGGGATCTGTAGGTACTGGTTGAGCGGGACGGCCGGGATTCCTCGTGGCGGCGTGGATTGGTGGTATATTTTCCTGTCTTCGGGCAGACGACGCAGCGGCCGGAGGGCCGCCTATGTCGTAGGTTTGGGCGGTTTGACCAGGTTGACTAGGTATCCGGGCTTGAGGTCTTCGTGTGCTATCCACCCCAACGCCAACAGCTTGCTGCTCTTGTAGTCTTCTTGCTTCGTCCTCTTGACGCAATCTAGCCGCTGCCTCCTCGGCTTTGCGAGCTTCCCGTGCTCTTCGTTCTCGCATGACATCTGTGGGAGTACGATATCGTGGGGGTTCGGTAGGAACCGGACCAGTTCCAGCAGCCGGAGCTGCACGAGTTGCACCGCCATTCTGAGGTCGACCAGATGCAGCAGCGGTGCTGGGCAGAGCGCCCCTGGCCAAATCTGACATTCGAGCCTCTTCTTCGAGTAGATCAGCAGTCAGTGGCTGCGCATTGACACCATCACCCCTACGGATGGCTTCCAGGGCAAAAAGGATAGCGTCGTGGGTATGTCGCGAGATGTGAAGTGTCCTCTGAGGTCGATAGTCGTCCCCAGAGACCAGTCGCCGGAAAACGCTGGGGCTTGTAGAGCCGGACTCGTCAAAGCGCACTGCCGGTGTGGCAGAGAGAGACTGTGACCTTCTCGCGCGGAGAGGTGACCTCGTCGGCACTGGCGCTCGTCTCTCTTGTAGTCTCGGAGTTCTTCTCAGAGACCGAGCACCGCTGGATGAGGAGGATTGAGGACGTCGCTGGGAAAGCGGTGTTGATCTCTTTTGCTGGCGTTGGGGTAATGGGTCGGGGTCTCGTTCGGGGTCGTAGTACTCGTAAAGGTCGTCAAAGCGAGGATGTTCGGGGAGAGACACCTCGAAGACTGTGTGGAGGACGAGGTCGGGGTCTTGGGACAATGTGCGGGATGCGCCTGAAGCGCCAGGCTGATGGTGTTGGAGATGCCGCCAGAGGGAGAGGCGGAGAGAAAGAGGCTAAGCAGCTATGGAGCCAGGTAGGGTGTGTAGGAGCAGCAGCAGAGGCATTGACGTGGTGAGATGGTAGTTGTGCGGGTGGTGGTCGAGGTGGTGGCTGGTCAAATCTTGAAATCATGGAGGTTGGGCTTCAAGCGAAACGAAGCAGAGTCGCGCGTCACAGTTGCGGCGCAGTCGCGTCTCGAACGAGCTGGATGAATTGGAAATGGCGGTTAAAGACATAGACGGTGTGCTGCTGGGTTTGGACGAACAGCGAGCTGTGTACAAATGTGTGGTGATGGAGGACGCCGAATCATGCGATTGCTAGAGGCGGCCAAATCCAATGATCTGTTCAACGGCTTACTCTCGATTTACTCAGGCCACAACCGTTGACACGCAGCCTCCAAGATGTCGGAGCTGCAGCAGGTGACAATGAATCCAGTACAGTAGCTGGGTTGAAGGCGCAAGCGATCCGACGCAGAACGCAGCATCAGATTCGCTTTCATCCGAGGATGAGTCGCACCTGAGCCGGCCCTGAGATTCCACTTTCCAGAAATTGGGCGGAAAATGCGAGTGATGCCTGCTACCGACAACCAGGGACTAGAATCGGATACACACGCTTGAAGAATGGCTCATCCAAGCCTGCTGCGACGTGCTGGCCATAGTCTCGAATTTTCTGGCTGAGAGTGCGATCGTTGTGGGTTGCGCGACGCTGTTTGCGATATGGAGTGGCTGGGCACAAGCGATGAGCTGGCAAGCTCGCGACATCGTCATCTCAGCGCCTCATTCCCTGATCCTGGCCTAGTACCTTACACAAGACCAGGACCCAGCAGCCACAGCCTCCGCACCGTCGCCGCCTCGTTGCCGCAAGCGATGCTCCCAAGCTCGTCCGCTTCCCGAGTCTCAGGAAGCGAGCGACTTCAAGCATGTTTGGATTCAGAAGAGGAAATCAAGCGAGCGACTTACTGTGGTATTGCGGCAAAGGGTGTTTGCCGACCCCACCATCTGTCCAGGAACCAGGCACAGCACTCATGAGAGCTGTCTTTGCTGTTGGCCACGGTCTCTTGGGAGCGGCCTTCTGCATGGGATTGGTCGAGGACCGGCATGACACCACGAATCAGCAACAGGCAAAGCCATCAACGACAAGCCTTCAAGCAAGAGCCGGCAGCATCAAGGTTGGACCCCTGTTGGAGGAACGCACCCTTCCGTCGTGCCGTATGCTGCCGTGTGAAACGAGATCTCACGCTTGGATTCTCCATCTTCAAAGATTAGAGTTGTTGCTATCCGGATGTCTCTCGCCACCTCAAGGCTGATCTCGAGAATATCTACCACAGTATCATCTTTCCAGCTCGACAAGGATCCGAGTCCGCTAAGAAGCAGAATAACGTCTCGTAAGACGCTACCTATGCATGTGACCTTTGGGTCCAGTAGCTCGTCGGACGCCGCACGTCTGGTACACTAGACCCTTGGCTTCGTCGGGCGGATGTCGAGTCTATGTATCTGTCAACGCGTCAGCCTCATCCGACATCATTTCGCCACCCCTTGACTTCAAGCTCCGAAGTGATCTAAGAACAGTAGTCTGCATGACTCCTGAAATGCCAATCGATACTCCTTTTGCTTTTCGCGGAAGATAAGTCGCCATGATCATGTGTTTCTTCGACCCGATTCCTAGCCATGTTTGCTGCTGAAAAGCTCAGTCCCCACCAATCCGGAAGTGTTTGGATATGGTCAATGAGCAAATGCTCTAGCTTGTCGGATATATCCCCTCTCACGTTCGAGTCAGTGCTTGCTGCGCAGTTCGATTGAAAGGCGACGCAAGGGGGTTCGTCTATGGTCCCAACGGCGTGACAAGGTATGTGAGCCTCATCAGCCCCGTCCTGCTGCTGTCAAATCTGGAGCCAGACTGTCCGACTTCCTTACCATTCTCCCTCTGCATCCGCGCTCTGTCGCCAACGCAGTCACTGACGTTTCAGGGTCCGTCGGTAACTTAGTCGAATATGTGACTGATAAGCAAAGGTAATTCGGAACAAGCCTCTGTCGCACTTCCTTCTAAACCGAGATCGCCACCTTGTCAATGCAGGTGCTTCGCGTTACTCACCGTACGTCCTCAATTCTATGCACGGAGCATTGGGTATGTGGTCCCACTGCTGTCACTGGAGGACCCTTAGGGCTGCTCCAGACTCCTCTTCTTACTTCCAGGTCACCCTGGGTAGGTCTGTGTCTGTTGCGTGACCAGTCTGCGCGGTCATCAAGGGTCTGAAAACACTTCAGCACGGTATCTACCCAAAGGGCATCCTCCTACCACAGACTCCAGACATCCAACCGCAATCCTCGCCTGTCCGGAACGAGTTGCCGGTTCTCCATGAGATGCATTCTACGATCCGCATGGCATCTTGACAGCCCAGGAGTCCAGGGTTGGCCTTTGCTCACTCTGAGCCTCGATCTGTCTAATATAGGATACAACCCGGCCAGAATAGATCTTTGCGAAACCTGACATTATGTGATTCTGTGCACGGTACAACTTCCACAAAAAGACTTGATCACCTGGACCTTGTTCCTTTCATGGCCACCAGGTCTACAATTGCCCCTTGATTCTGGATAGAAGCTACATCCACGGGCCTATCTACATCTTTCTCTGCACAAGAGCCTGGATCTGCAGAAAGAATGCCGGACACCTGCCACTATATACCTAACGAATTCCGCCACACGCACCACCCAAAAATCAATATGAATCCACATTTCACATATGAGCAATCACCAGCTGAGAGGGCTACGTCCTCTCAAGATCTCTATGACTCTCCAATTCTAAGGCCTTGCGGTTCGCTTCTCTTGCATCGAGTTCCGTCAGCGTCGCTTTATCCGGAAGAGATGTTGGCCCAATGGGCAAGCGAGTCTTCATCTCAACCGACTTATACCAGCAGCTATTCCAGGGAAGGCACCGAGCGGAATTCTGTCGCTACTCTGGTCGCCTTTGGTGAATGGGTCTCTGGACAATGCCATGACCGGCCTGCAAGCTTGCTTCCGCCAGCTCCTCAACTGAGTCAGCTACCGCCTTCGGATGCCGGCAGAGTCGAGTGTCGGTTGTCATCAACGCCCACGCCACCCAGAGAGCACATGACCAATACAATCCCTGACAGAAGTGCAAACCGACAACACTTACACAGCTTGTCTGCTCAGCTGCAGGAAGTGTCATTTTCAAGTGCAAGCATATCGTGTCCTTCTACAAGACCGGTCACTCCAGTCCCGTCCTTGACTGCGTCGGACTACTCTCAATCATCCTTCGGCACAGATAGATCTCCTTGCACCGTCATAAGCTCTCCGGAGGAGCAATCGAAAAGGTCTCTCATGAATCCTTCCGGCAGCAAAATGGGGATCGCTCCTGGAAAGCCAATTGATGGTAATATGTACGACACACGCATCCGCGACTTCTTTTCACCATCGCGTAACCCACCTACCCGTCAAACCCGGAGAACTGACCGAGTGAAATCGTCAGCCGACCCTTCAAGAAGGTTTGCATCTCGGCCAACACCCTTCCCAGACGTGACTGCCACAACAATACATCTACCTCAGTATCCCACAGGCTCGCAAGAGGTCTCCTACATTGAGTGGGACGATGACGACGGCAGACGTGGCAAATCCGCTTTTGAACGTATCAAGAAGAGCTTCACAGATCTCCGTGCCGCCGAACGTTATATCACAGAAGTGGGACACAGGACGCAGGCAGCGGGTACACCACCGGGGAGTCCTACTTTTGCTGTCGTTAGTGGCATTGATCGGGCCCCGGTTGCTATATTGGAGCCTGGGGCAATCAAATCTCAGACTCCTCTTAAACTCCGGAAGAAGGCCAGCACCAGGAACATCTCAACGTCAGCACGACGCTCGGATACCACTGACGCGACGCCACCTTCAACGTGCAAGAGGAAGCGCACAAACACGACGAGCTCTCAGCGTTCTTGGGGACTGCAAAAGAAGAGTAAGGATGCAACCGTTGGACAATTCGTCTGGGACCTCATCGGGGCGAGGAAAGAGCACTGACTCTCCCTATGACGAATTGTGGCGGTTCCGAGCTGGTCTCGTATTTTAACGATCGCAACTACACATGCGGCACGACCGAGTTGATCAAACGTTTTCAGCTTGTCTTCAGTGACCATTGGATCCGAATGATCACATCTCCACACGGGGCCGACCGGGTTGATCAAAAATTTTCGGGCTCAACTTCAATGGGTATTGAATAGGAACAACGGGATATCTGATATTACTGCTTTCTTCGGGGTCAATCTCATGTGTCGGACCGCTGTTTTGAGCAGCGCAGGGCTGGTCCCGGGCGAAACCTCACAGCGATGGGTTATGTTATATGACTGCCTACGCAGTATGACACGGAAAGTACGATTAGTGAACGAGGACGGATCTACACGTTTGCATGCCGGAAAAGTCGCGCCCTCGATATTTCGGCCGGATACAGTACATGGCACGGTCGGGCGTATGAAGGGATATGACACAGGCCACGCTTGGGCCTATCAACGGAGAACGACAAAAGCTACGAGGAACGAACCCTGATGGAATCAATGGGATGACTTATGATGGGGGGGCTGGGACTTGGGACGGTGGAAGGTCTCGCAAGAAACGTACACCGAGGGTCTATGCTCCGAGCAGTTTTTGGTATGGAAACCGGCCAGAGAGGCATGGGCGCATGTACCGTGGTGTCATCAGGATATCAATGCACCAGATGGGCCAGGCTGTCCATCTGGCAAGCAATCCGAAAAAAACAGCATGATCTTGATTCCCTGTCAGACAGCGCCCCCCTGATGTCCAAGACCATGCCTGGCGATAACAACCTGCTGGGCAATAGTTCGCTAAGGGGAGAAGGCTCCAGGAATTCCAGATCCCAGTGACTCTTGTTGTGTGGCCCGATCTGCATCCCCGATCGTTATTATACAGTCCATCCCCATTGACTTGTGACACGTACACAGACCACTCGAGCTGCGCCGCTTGGACATTCCGTACCCGGAGAAGGCATCGACGACATCGCCCGTTGCAAATTGCTTGGTGGTCAGGCCACATGGATCAGCGTTTGCACGGGCATTCCAGGACTGAAGCACTCCGCGGGTTCTATTCCCGTCCTGCTCACACGGTCCGCCCGTTCGCATCCTTTATGCTCGCGTGTCTACTGTGTACTGTGTACTTGTAGTCTGTCGCAAGGCCCACCAAATCAGGCAACTCGAGTTTCTTAGGGTGTGTATCTGCGCAGATCGACGAACCGACACGACACAGACTTCAAGCCTTCCCCCGGGCCGTGCTTTCGTGCTCGCCCACGCCCTCACCTTGCTCGTGTTGGGACACGTGGCTCATCCTGCTTGATAGGAAGCGTTCGGGAGCGGCACGGCCGCCAGAACCAGATGGCTGCTGATAATCCCAGCTGTCCTATTCCCGGAGTTGTGTCTGTGTTCGGAGCATGGATGTGGTCAATGCAGCCAATGGACGCGATGTGCGATACAATATTGGGCGGCTCCAATTGTGTATCCTGGACATGTTGACCTAGGAGGATATCGTCGTGTAGTGGTAGATATTTCTTCATGCGCACGAGACCCACGATTGACAGGAGCTCGTGACCGGATTTGCTGGACCCGGATGGAGTGGCTCCTACGAAGGAGGCTCTGCAGGGAATGATCGTAAGCACGGTGGACAGTGGTTGACTCACCTGTAGAGCCCCTGGACTTGAGCTCGGCCTGTGTGCGTAGTAGGCAGTCACCCGGTACCCAATATCTCTTGCCTGGTTTAGTCGGTTCTGGCCAAAGCTTGACGTCTTCTCCCTTCGGATCAGGTGCCACGCCATCCTGGCGTCGATGGCCGTCCGCTGCGCCAGAAGATATCTGTTGGATCAGGAGCGACAATGCAGGGCGCAGAGTCGTGTATACGAGTCATGTATCCATGTATCTGAGCGCAGAGCGGACAAAGCTCAGCGCCCTCCCATGCAAAGTCGGCGTCGCTCTGGTTGCGCACAGGCTCGACAGGGCAGGATCCGAGAGACAAGGGGAGTACAGTGTGAATCTGCGGTGCGGCCACCAAACAGGCCGGTACTGACCGGTCTCGAAGGCGGTTTCGGCTTTGCTCTGCAACATGTCAATCTCAGAAACCTTCATAAACATAGGCATGTAGTGGTCATCGCAGAGGAGCCGCGCATAGTTGTGCAACATAATTCGTACAAGGAGGCCACATATGTTTTAAGCTTCTTCTTCAGCTGACAGAACCCTTTGAGCAGTTTCGGCATTGTCGGGTCCCATCACTCAGGCACGTCAGGGTACTTCGTTGACCAGGCGTGCCAGACGATCTCGCCGGACGATGGCAAAAGAGTCTCCTACCAGTCACACTCTCGCAGGCGGCGGCGTTCCCCTGCATGGGAGGAGACATAAGTCTCCGTGTTGTGAACCGAGCATTGCGAAGGTTCCACAAACTGTTCAGCAATATTGAGCATTGGCGTCACCTCGCAGCAAGCAGCACGCGGGCAAGTGTGTACTCCGCGTGATGGTGAGGATTCCAGCACTACCGTGTAAAGTGCGACTGCTTCTGAATCTTGCTGATGCGCCCATGTTACTGTAGCAGGACGCTACTCTGTACTTAGTGCTTGCCTGCTTGCACGTCCCGGGCCTACCGAGATTGCGGGCGACGGGGACAAGATGCAGGGAAAAGTTACTACAAGTCCGGAGTAGTTCTCAAACCCTTTGGCACGATGGGCTATTGGACCGGTGTCGCGTGTCCCATGGGGATGGTTGGCGGCTGAGCCCGAGAGCCATGGGTTCATTCTTGAAAGATAGCCAGAAAGGCCGACCGGTGCCGCAAGCCATGACCAACGGACTGTGGTTCTAGATTCGGGAGTCGGTCTCTCCAGCGGTTGTCGTATAAAAACCCCTTCTACGAAGTAGATAGAGTACGTACTGTAAAAGGCAAGGCCGCACGCACTATGTAGATTGTGTGGGTGTAGCGAAATTTGCGGTGCGAGATGAGGTCGCAAGGCGCGACTCGCAGAACCAGCATCCGGATTGACTTCTACCGCATGAGGTTCAAGTGGGCCTTATCTACCGGGTAGGATCCTTGAGACGATCACTTTCAAAAAGTCAAGCTTCGGTGGCCGCCCGGTTCTCTCCATGCTTATCGTCGGGCGACCGCAGCCGCCACGAAGAAAGGGGCACGTCGTGATCTGGGGTGAGCGATCATTTCAGCCCCCGCAATTTCAATAGGAGATCCTTCGCTTGAGGTGGTCGCAAGAGCAGTCTCGAAGGGGATGCCCTTTTACTGTAACGTCGTAGACTAATGCACGGCTTCAGGTACCTCCGAGGCGCCTACCTATTGTGAGAGTAGCGTTTGTGGTAGTCCTAGTAAGCTGACGGTTGTGCAGTGGCGGGTTTTGACAGCCAGCCACAGAAATTCGCTAAGTCAACTCGCCGTCCCTGACGATCCACCTACGTATCCTGGGGCTTGACCAGTGCTCGAGCCTGTCGCAAGGCTTTACGGCAGATGAGAAAGGAGACCACGAGCCAAAAGCGCCTTCGAAGCTGTACTGTATTGTGTAGAGTGATCAGAGAGTGGTTCCCTACAGGACTAGATGTCAGAGATTGACGGGCAGAGGCCCTGGACAGCTCGCACACCTGTGTGGGACGACTTGACTGGCGACAAAACTGGAACAAGAGAACAAGATCAAAGTAAAAGCCAACATGTTTTGTTGCAGCTCCAAATTATATGCATTACTGTGGTACCCAAGATCATAGCCCCAGTGTCAAGGTTGCTGCTGTGTAACTGGCACCCAAGCTGCGGTGCGTCAACGAATCATCCCGTCCATCGCAATGTAAATGAGGCGCAAGGCCCCTAGCTTTTGAAAGGTTTACGTGACTGTTTCCAGTGCCCTCGCTATGCGCTAACCCAGAAAACCAAACTCATTCCACGACCCAAGTCCCCATGATTTACTGGCCGGGAGGGGTGACAGTACCGCCGATGGCCTTGAACCATGCCAGGCTGTCGAACTCAGTGTAGATGGCGCTGATTTGCCAGGTGTCGGCCTTGCCTTGGCTGTTGGACGCGGTCAGGTGAGTGATACCGGCCACCAAGTTGCCGTTGCCAAAGTTAGCGTCCCATCTGTGGAAATAGATTAGCTATGTGCTCCCACCAATATTTCCCACCATGAGTCGGGACAGGGGGAACTCACCGGAGAGTGACGTTTTGGCAGTTGAAGGCATCAATAGCCAAGATCTCGAGGGGGACCGAGGGTTGGGCACCTTGGCCCGCCATAAACGCAGCCTTCGAGGGGAAGACAGGCGTGAAGGGATCGACAGGGAAGCCTTGCAGAGACTTGATCGAGTTAGAGTAATCAACCAGGTCTTCAGCGAGCAGGGCCTGGGCGTTTTCAGTGGTGTAGGCGACGATGAGCCCTTGGAAGCCTTCCGCGAGAGCGGTCGCAGCATCCTTGGTCAAGCACTTGGATGGGTCGGGCTTGCGTCCCCAGAGCCCACCCGCGCCCCATGGAGCAGCATAGGTGGAGGATATGAGGGTAGCGGCAGCGGCGGCGATGGCGAATGAGCGCATATTGATTGATTATTAGACGAGGTTGTTTGTTAAACGAATGGTCTTGGTTGGGCTGGTAACGAATGTTAAGTAAATGTTCTGAGTGAGTGCTGGACTGGAGATGTGAAGGGCAGAGGGTCTTGGTCTGGGGTGGGAGAACCTCTGTTATATAGACCGGCGGACGTGGTAAGGCTCGTATTGGACAGCCTACCCGCCTAATCTTAATATGGGCGACCTTAAAAGTCGATCTCGCCGTTCCTGCATGGCACTGCCTGGACGAATGCTGGCCAACCTCGCCAGCCTCACCAACAGCAAAAAGGACGGGCTTGGACAGCTGTCGCTAGCAGACGGCCCACCCCTTGCCACATGGTAACTGGAGACTGCAGAAAGTCTCGTTGCCACCGGATTGGGCGAGCCGTAGCCCACGGAGGATGACCTGCTGACAGTGCCAATTTTCCCACGGATTTCCCATATGCCCAGAGAGGAATTGTCTGTCGTTTCATGTGCCAAGTGAGGGGAGAGACTGTTGCTGCTGCGGTCCAGGCGGGACAATTAAACTTGGAAGCAGAGGGATTTAGGCTCGTCTGACAGCAGCTCGCCTCGGTCATCTCAGCCACTGATGTTCGAGGCTAGCGGAGGCGTCAACCTGGATAAGGTTAAGGAGTGTTATTCTGGTGGCCACCCTCCCCGATCGAGCATAGCAGGCAAGCTCTCAGAAGCTTGTTCCTAACTCTGCTAGCCACCAACCTAAGGGCGAGATCGGTGCCCGCGGTCAAGAATAAGGATGGTCTGGATCAAACGACCATGGTTTGGGCCTTGGTCGTCCAGAGGCCCAGTCAAAATTTGCTGACCGCGATCGGCCAGCAAGGCTCGTTGGTGTACACAGCATGGCCTCGTCTGGGTTTCGAGCCAAATCTCCAGACCTGCAACCTCCCTCCGGACCAGACACGCAGGACATCAATCGCTTTCTTTTGGCCGGAGTCCACGATCAGCCCAGCGCCGGACTGCCGAATAATGACACTGAGGAGAGCATCATCAAGTCAATGCCCGCTACGGAAAGAGTCGCAGGTGGTTGGTGTTCTGTCCAAGAAAGCTGCATTACATCTTGCCAAGCTGCTGGCGCCGAGAGATCTTTCCCGCTGTTGACGTGCTCTATGCTTTAGCAACCCTTTCTATTTGCTCGTCGGAGTTGACTTTACGGAGGAATTCGTACTTGGTGGCAGGGATCACGAACTGCGTTCAACCCACGCTACCCCTTGGAGGTGTGCTCTTGTCCGAAATGGTGACCAAGTCTGGACGATCAGCATCGGCCTCGGTCACTACTCGTGTCGTGCCATATGGCAGCTCTGCGCCTCCTCTCAAGGAATGCTTTCCTTTGATGAGCTGCATCAGCATAAAATTAAGAGCACATTTGATGCCTTGTTGCTCGCCGCGTTTCACGATATAGCCATTGATGTAATCAATTTCAGGCTGCTTGTCACGGCGGATGTCTTCCCGCATGCTGCTCGAGTTCTGGGCCGTACGCTTGGTCACACCCAAGAATAGCTGCTCAAGACGCTTGGCGGAAAAGCGGTGTCGGACATTAGGAATTCCTTCTAGCTCAGGTAGGCCACGAATGACCAGAGAAATCTCGGCGAGCAGCAATCTTTGAATGGGCAGCAGCTCATCATTGTTCAACATGGCACCGTTCGGGACGTCGAGGAGCGCGGTTAGAGGATTCAGGATACAGTTCGAGGCCAATTTCTCAAGCTGCAGCTGTAAAAGATCCAGGTAAGGAAATACGGCGCAGGCCAACACTGGCGACCTTGTGAGAGTGCGAAGGAGGTACCGCGACGAAAGATTGAAAAACAGTTCCTTGTCGGTAGGGTGATACCGCTTCCTCTCCTCTTCCGACAGCTGCCACAGATGCCGCACGGGGCCCTTTGGGGGCAGCGGATATCGATCACGGTCTCGACAGATCCCTAGCGCTACCGTGCCGTACCCGGCATGGACGACTGTACAGGGCTGTGACATGTACGCGCCATGGGAGACGATTCCCAACATGTACGTCGGCCGTGTCCCTGGATCTGTGAACACTGCTTGGTTGAGCTCATCAATTTGCCCTAGTCCATTTTGCATGAAACAGATGGTAGTCTTTGCGTTGACACGGTGCTTGATGGACCGAAGGGCCGCCACGGTTGTCGGACCTTTCACCGCAACAATCAGCGTGTAGATGAAGAGCTCGCCCGATGGCATCTCTTCCCCTGGTTCAACAGGATTGGTGCGGGATTTGTGGTATGGCGAGTCCGGTATGAAGCGCCATCGCGCTGAGCCGTCCTCGTGGACTCCCTCGAACAGGTCGACATCATAGCCAGTCTGCTGATCATTGATCTTGTTTTGTTTGTTAATCAGACTAATTACCCGGCCGCCTCTTTTGAATGCTTCGTACTGCTCGGATCGATGGATCATCAAGGTAATTGGCGGCGGATTAGGTAGACATCTCAGAGAATGAGCTACCAGCGTGCCAATGCTCCCCAAGCCAAGGATATGTACACGTCGAGTGAGGAGCTGTTCTTCGTTGGTGTCTGGCAGGTCAGAGTCCGCGAGCTGCTTCGACTCGAAAGTGGATTGTTCGGGTGACGGGTCGCGTGAACGAGACTCTTCCCACCAGGATTGGGATGTCGCCATGGTTTTGAACGACCGCAATCTAGGGTTAGAATGGGGGAACGGCTTCGTCCGCGGACTCGAGCCGACACCTTGAGACCATCTGCGCGCAGCCCGCGAGACTGGGCACAGAAGTAGTCGTCGCGACAGTTTGAAGGCGTCACTATGGACTGCTTACGTCTCGACAATAGGCCGCCGAGTGGTTTGAGTGAACCAGGGCGTCCTGATCGATAGGGCGTCGAGTTGTCCACCAGAGACTTGCGTCTTGCTGACACCGGAATGTCCGCTTGATTGCTGGCAGAATATCGGATTTTACATTCAATAGAAAGTGACGATCATGGTGACATGGGATAAAGTACTATTTACATGGTCTCCGCAGCCATTGAGTGGAAATTGATGCGGGGAGATTTTTCAGATCGGCCTCCTTTTAAACATCATTCATTCCGCACTCCATCTAACGCTACCGACGAGACCACGCCGCAAGCCGCACTGGCTGCGCTTACCCTTTGGCAGCAGCTGGAGGCCTAGTCTCGATCATCAATGACAATGGACACGAAAGCAACGATCGAGCTTGTTGACGAGCTACAGGAGAACATTGAGGATCTCGAGGACAATCTCGGATCTCTTCTCGGTGGTTCACTCGTCGCTACCAGCAGGAAGCTACCATTACTTGACCGCGCCAAACTCCATGTCCTGCTCGTATATTCTATCGAGTCATTGCTCTTCTCATATCTTAGGCTCCATGGCGTCCCAGTCAAGGAACATCCAGTCTTCAAGGAGTTGACGAGAGTCAAGCAGTACTTCGAGAAGATCAAAACAGCTGAAGCGGGTCCAGAAAGTGCTCCACCAGCCGTCACGTTGAACAAGGAAGCTGCAGCAAGAGTTATCAGGCACGGGCTGGTAGGATTTCATTTCAACCGTTGCGCTTGACGTTCAGCTGACTGTTTCTAGGCCGGCAACGAAAAGTACGACCTAGAACGCGCCGAACGTGAAGCACGCGAGAAGGTCCTTGCCAACAGAAAACTGAGAGAACTTGAGTCAAAGATGAAGGAACAAGCAGCTCAAAACAGTGAACAAGCCATGAGTGCGACCGATGCCCTGACACAAGCTGCTCAATTGGCCGCGGGCCCGCTGCATCAGCCCCAAGACAGTGCGCCCGACTTGGACAGCGATGCTGAGACCGGTTCGGACGAGGAAGGTGAGATAGCAGAAGAGCAGCCTGCGGAGTCCCAACCACAGCAAGGCCAGAAGCGAAAAAGATCCAGTGCAGCTACGCGCCGAGCCAAACGGAAGAGAGAGGCTGCTTTACCCGGCGCGAAAAGTGAGGAGCAGATGAACAAGGCCTTGGGCCGACAATCCGCTCGCAAAGCTAAGAAGGAGGCGAAGAAGGCGGCCAAGCGGTCTGAGCCAGCAGCTGGCTAGCGTTCACTCAGCAGTAAGCACGGACGTTCAGCGAGCACCATCCGTCTTGGACAGCCCATGGCAAGGTCAGCGTACGAGGTGCAGCTTCCCATCATCATGCTTGCTTGCACTTTACGTGTCAACACGAACGCACCTGTGATCAGGGACTGCTCTGCTTTCTCCCGCATGGAGTGCCTCGCTGTACCGGAACTCGATAAGGTAGCTCTGATGAGCTTGAACCCGAGAGCTTCAGTACAAGATCTTTCGATCTAGAAGGATGCTCCTGTCTATCACCGAAGGCTCGCTCCCCATTGCGAGGATAGCACCGAGCCTGCTGCCAGGGTTCTGTCATGCTGCGTTGCGCCCAACAATGGGCGTCGAAAGCACAGAGGTATGCTTTCTACGACCTTGTCACCAGGGCAGATTGTTGACTTGTCAAACCCAAGAGAACACAGCCCTTTCATGGTCCACTGCGATGATCAACATGAGAAAAGGTGCTTGTCCTTCGAACCACATCACCTCTTTCTGGGCACTGGAGGAGGACATGGCGAATCCTTGAGAATCCAGAGACGTTAAACCACCTTATCGTAGCGTATCCATCTGTTCCATGCCATCTGCGTCTCCCGATAAGCCCTCGAATCGACTTGAATACGCTAGATGTGTTTCTCTTACCGCCGATATCCCCTTTATCTGCAGCGTTCGATGATACACAAGTGGTCCGTCAGCGCCACAGGCAAAGCGTGCACTGTGGTCCATCGCTTCCGGAGTACTCTGCAGAAAGACGACTCCTCGGTCGCGGAAGCCTATTGTTGGCAATGCAGCTAGGGAGCTCTTATCTTTCGGTTGAAAGACAGGCGACAGAATCGCTTCCGCATCGACTTGAACCCTTCCAATGACGCCACACTCACCAAGGCTCTGTTGTATGTCATGATTTGGACCCGTGTCTTCGCGCAGGGAGGTCGAGTTAAGCCAGACAGAAGACGAGATCTCGTGGTCGAAAGGCAAGGTCATGGATGATCCTGGCGAGGCACCAACATGCAACCACCGCAACTGAGCCGTTAATCCCTCTGAGGCCACTTTACCATGTTGGATGCAATCTCCTATTTTGACATCGGATGCATCATCGTTGAATCATCTGTCTGATCACATGTTTACTGGGCAAGTCAAGAGCCTTAGCTTGAAGCGCAAGCACATCAGCACCGTCCGTCTTCGTGCGAAGTGAGCTCTCGGGCGCCGTTTGCGGAACATCCCAATGCGAGGAGAGTACCTCGTTCGTTCGAGGTGTATCTCTGCCCCTCTTCCTATTCATTTCCTTCTCTTTCGATACGACTGACGGATCTTCGTCGTTAAAGCGTCCTCATGCTGGATCCAGTCAGTTAGATACAGAGCTAGCCTAGGCTTTCACGTCGGTGACCCCCTCAATGATGACCCAAAACTTCTTCACCTTCCCCTGCTCGACGATCAACACATCCGCACCCTTGACCCTGACTTTGACGAGTCCGTCGTCTCCCACAGGCCCCAGTTCCCAGGCCAGATACAACATGTCGTGATTCCTCGTCACACCGCCCTGGGGCACGAATCCCCACCCCGGGCGCTCATCGAGCAGTTTCTGGGCTTCCGCGTTCACGGCGTCGTGGCCCGTGTGCGTCGCGTCGGGTGCATAGAAAGTGACGTCCGAGTGGTACGTTTCCTTGACAGCCACGAGGCGTGATTGAGGGTCGCGGTTTGAGAAGACGTCCAGGAGATTGCCGTATGCGAGCTTCTTGGCCGTCTCGTCGGGGATGATATATGCTTGTGCCATTTGGGTATGCGTGTGTGCTATGTGTGCTGCGTGCGCGGATGCCGACGTGGCGATGAAATCGGTGAACCCCGACTCTTTCGTTCCTCTCTCTCTATATGCCTTTTTGCAGTCTCGCCGCATTCCCAGGGAAACGATCGTGCGACCGCAGCAGCAGCGGAGCTTCACTTGCTTGCTGCACAAGGATTTTACCATGGAGTAGATATTGATGTAGGTGATCGATGCTGGGACCTAACGTGCATACGCCCTGAATTCCAGGTGAGGCATCCCAATGGCACTGAAACCCAGGAGCGAGTCGCGTTTTTATACACCGTCCACGGCCCAGGTAAGGCGCGGGCCCACGGTGACACGAGAGTATTGCTACATCGCATTCAGGGCATCAGTCGCCTGATACACAGGGACACCACTGGTTCTGGCAAGGAACGAAGTCCACTCTCGAGCCCTTGTCTCTGCCGTTTATGTAACGCACGGCCGTATTGGGCAATGACTTTCTTTCCGCTTAAACAGCCAGATGCTCGAGGAGAGTCCGTCCTCGCTTCGGTTCGACATTCTGGCTTCCACAAACCCACGTCTTCGTTTCTCTACAAACTGTTACTCGCCATTGTTGAGCGGGGCTCGTGTCTCTCCACCAAGGCTGGCCAGAAGCAGGGGCTGTAAGCCAAGGGAGCCTAGGACAAACCGGCTGGTGGAGGCGTGCGACGAAATCCCCAGTGACGGCGAACCCTCGATGACTGGCCTGCCGTGTCAGCTCTCAAGGCCGAAGCTCAGAATGCATCATGTAATATAGGTACTCGGAGTGAATGAAGACGGCCAAGACAGTCGACATCTCGAAAATTGTCTAGACAAAGACAATGGAACTTGCCAGACGGTCAACGCCGATCCGACGTGGCCATTGTGCATGCCCCTAAACGACAGGATGTAAACGCCTATATCCCTCGAGTCACACTTCGCCTCCCGGCCCCAATGCTCTTTACTCATGGTACTGAACATACGGAAGACACCACTTTCGCGGGCGTCCAGTCTTCGCCGACATGACAGAAACATAACATGCAGGCTTGAAGCATTTCGGCGACGAGCTTAGAAGCGACTAACATCTCTACCAAAGATCTTGACAGTCAGCCATTGCCACGCAACGTTCAGCCGATTCCGCCAACTGAGCGTCATAGTCAGATATGCGCCTCTCCAGACCAGGTACGCAGACAGGCCTTTGAGACCCTTAGGGGACGCGCCATCCTTCCCATTCCCAGAGCCCTGGAAAATCGCACTGGATCCACCGAGGTAGGTCAAGACACCCATATCTTTGAAGCTAAAGCCAGGAGCGCGAGCAAAACCGTCAGCTTCGGGATGTTTATTTAGAGTCTTACCAAGCCAGATTGCTTCTTGGTTTGCAACCTGTGCAGTGGCCGGCAGAGCACCGGACATCAGTTTCGAGCTGTCGCCCAATGCAAACACGTCATTCATATAGGCCTTTGGCTTGTCGTGTTCGTCCATACCCGCTGCGCACTCAGTGGTCAGATTGACTCGAAAGTGGTCGTCCACAAGTAGAACTCCGCTCCTAGCATCTCGATGGATAATCCACTGCCTCTGCATCGGGTCTGCGACTTCTCCCTGGATATTCTGCGCCGAGCCTGTCGGGTACCTTCGGACATGATCGAGGGCCTTTGCCACGAAGGGATTGTTCATGTTCCCTGTCGACCAGACGCACATCCCGATGCCGACATCGCCTTCTTGTTTCGTGCGGATGGTGTACACCCGTCCTTTGACTTGGCTATCTTGGTCGTTGCGAGCATTTTCGTCGTTGGGTAAACCCTTCCTGAGTTCTTCGACCTGGTGCGAGGTTTTGATCTCGATATTCTGCCGTTGGTACTGTTTGACCGCGTAATCAGAGAGCGAGGCGTCGAACATGGGGAGCACCTTGGGCGCAACATCATAGAGGCTGATCCGGACGTACTTCATCAGGTGCGGATGGAGTTTGGACATGTCTTCCCGGATCAGATCTGAGAGGCAAGCTGCAAACTCCATGCCTGTGGGACCACCGCCCACGATTGCGAAGTGGAGGAGATACTTCTTTGTCTCTTCCGGCATGATGGGGAGCAGGGCAAGCTCGAACAGCTCGAGGATTCGTCGACGGATGGAAACAGCATCACGAACATCTTTCAAGAACCACGCGTTCTCCCTCACCCCCTTGGTACCGAAAGTCTGACTGTAGGTTCCCACGGCGATCACTAACTTGTCGTAATGGATGGGAAACGTTGGCACTTGATTTGACCCCGTACCACCCATCTGCACCTTCTTTTCCCACGGCCCATGAGGAAATTTGGGATCGATGGCCAAACCGTTGTTTGTCTGCTGTTCATTCTGCTTCCTTGGTCCCGTCAAGGCATGCCCAACGTCCGGATCCAGCACCGAAGGCTCGATGGTCACTATCTTATCCGCAAAGTTAACGTCATCGGCCCATCCTTGTATGAATTCCACGCCACTCTTCGGCTTTCGTATCGACTCGAGGACGTGGCGGAATTCGAGGGTGCCAACAGTGGTGTCGTTGAGGAGAGGGGTGAAGACGAAGTAGGTGCGAGGAGAGACGACGACGACGCGATATTTCCTCTTGTCCAGCTGCCGAGCGAGGACATATCCTGGCAGAAGTCAGCGTCTGAATGCTTCCGAGGACCACGGGAGTCGTGTACCCGCCCAACCACTGCCCAAGATGACGACCTTTTCACGCTTGTCATTGGGGTCTCTGTTTGCATCCTGGACCACGTCGGTGGAAGTGGCAAGCCTGCGCTTCTGCACATCATACCGGTGCCGTAGAGGACTAGACCTCCACGCTCTCGTCGACCGGTGACTTGTACTTTCCAGTTGCCTCTGCCATCGCGGCAGCAGCGGGGCACGAAGTGTGAGAGGCTTCATGTCGACGGCGTAGGGGACTTCTCAGAGTTCAGACCTACCGGATAGACACTAAGCAATACATTGTGTCAAGTTCCCAGAAAAATTAGACTAGAATCAGGACCGTTGGGAGCGCCATTGATGGATGTCTACGCCTGCCACGGGCGGATATTACTTACGTTGTGGCCCCAGCAAGCGAGGTAAGCTTCGCCGATAGGGAATACACGATGTTGCTTGCCTGGCCAAGCGTAAATATCTGCGTCATATTGACATCAAGCTGATATGATACAGCCATCGAAGCCGGCAAAGGCTCCGAGGGACAGTAAAATGGGTGAAGACTGCGGAGTAGACGAATTCGTACGAGTCCTGGAGCGATCAACAAGCTCGAAATCAAATGATGATGAAACTCAACTCAGATCCGCCCGGCACCACAGGTGCAAGGTCCCGGCAGCCGAAGGGGATGCGGGCTTGGGCCATGGCCGCCATGCTAAGTAGTTACAGGCACGACCCCAGGTGTTTCGGGCGCCTGCTCCGCTCTCCGTGACTCGATCCTCGTTCGCCGAAGGTGCCTCCGGCACTAAGCCCGGCGAATTCGGGTTGAATCTCTGGCCTCACCAAGCCCGAAACGACAACGAGTCACGATAGGTACAGAACCTGGTAGTCAGCTCAACTACTCCGTAGAGAGGGGCGAGAGACGGACTGCAAATTTACCCCTTTTCCCATTACTCACAAGCGGCCAACAGTCGCCAAAAGATCGACGCTTTAATACAGACTCGTGCAGCCCTGCGCCGCCGTGTCTTGAAGCTCGTATCATCATTCCTGCTAGCTCAGATTCTGGGATGTGTCTGGCTTTGCATATTGGTAAGCGTGGAAATAATCCCTATCTGGACGTATATACAAACGCCTTGTCGCATCTTGTGTACCCCTGACTCCATATTCAACATGCTGCTCATGCCCTGTTGATTGTGTGCTGTGTCGCCAGCAGCAAAAAGTGACACCCCGTTTGACACCCAATCGCGCCCGTGCTCATGGCCGTTGCACAGTACAACTCGTAGATACCCACGACAAAAGTGTCAGCATTTCCGCCTGGAACCCACCACTTCCCATAGTAACGCCATGCGTAATGCCGCGCTTGCGATTGAACGAGTGACAAGCTGGGCACTCAATGCCATAAAGTGACTCAAATATTTTCAAGGAAGAGAAATCGCGTATGTTAGTCGTCCGGCACTGTCATCTCTCTGACTTCTGCCATGAGTTAAGATATGCCATGAGCCCGACCCCTATCAGCACCACTCCGAGCATTGAGACATAGGGTGCTGACTGGGCAATGGAGTCCGCGTTGCTGCTTCTGTCTCGTAAAACAGTCGCGACGGCCCGCTCAAGGTGCTCAGGCAGCATGGGTGATCGGATGTGGCCATTCGCCTGTGGTCTTGACTTGACCGCGGACATCACGGTCGACTCGCTAGGCTCTGCTGCAGCCTCCGCCTCAAAACCCCTGTCATCCCGTCGTTCATGGAGCTGTTTTGGTAAGGACTCTGCCTTTTCGTTTTCCACGCGGATCTTGTCAATCATCTCCGCCAGACTCGTTCTCGCATGCGCGGCGTCGTTCTCAGCTGTTTCTGCCCGTCGCTGGAACTTGTCAACGTCCGACTTCAGCCTTTGCATCTCTCCCAGGACTTGGTCGAGATTCTGCTGGAGATGCTTCGTTTTCGCGTCGAGCTCGCCATCACTGTCAAGGATCGATTGTTGCTCGTTAGAGCCAGGTTTTTGTGCCTGCGTGGGGGTTTCCAGCGCCTCTTCCACCACTGAGACCGGTCGCGACGCGGCATGTTGTTCCAACCTTCGTGCCCTTTCCTCCGCATCCTCTCGAGCCGACCGTTCCTGCTTGAGCATATCCTCCAATTGCTTGACTCTTGCGCCCTGAGAATCAAGCTCCTTCTTCGCAATCGATAGGGCTTCAATTAGGGAAAGCATCTGGCTGTTCTGCGGGTTGGTTGGGGAATGAGATTCGTTCTTCGGTGGCTTGGCAGTCTCGCCACGTTTGAGGAGATTCGTGAATGAGGTCGCGACGGGACTTGCTTTGGAAGCGTCTGGCTTCTCTGGCAGTGGTTGTTGTGGCGGTGGTGCAGGAGGGTCGGCAAACCGCGTAACGTGCTCCATCTTTGGTACTTTTACTCTGCCAGCTATCTGTCTGTGGGAGGCGGCTTCCTTCGACGTAGCCTGTGGTTTTGATGGTTCTGCTCCAGGCGTCAATAGTGAGTTCAGAAACGCTCCCGCCTGCTCAAGTTCTTCAGCCTGGTCCTTCGCTGCCCGCATTTCGATCTACCACCATTAGCTTGGAAACGCGCTCGTTCTGTTTGAGAACACCTACCGACAGTGTCTTTACAAGCTGCTCGACATTTAGCGGTGTTGCACCCCACATGTTCATCCGTTGTTGCGCTATTGAGCTCATCTGACTTCCGGCGATAGTTGAAGTACTCGAAGTCCGTCCATTGACCGGGCGACCAGGGCCACTCCGACTGTGAAGCATAGGTGAACTTACAGGCGATGGTAACAGAGAACCACCGTGTGACGGGTCAAGGTCGCCGAAGCTGAGGTCGAGCACGTTGTTAGTCGAACCAGGTAACCCGACATATTCGACCTTGGCTGACACTTTATGATGAACGATGGTTTTCTGGTCTTCAGACACTATATCAATACCCAGTTCCAGCGTGTCGTGTTGCCGGAGCTCATGCGGTTCGGATTCGCGGTTTTCTGGAGACAGGCGTTGACCGTTGACGAAAGTGCCGTTCGAGGACTTTACATCCCGAATGAAGACTTTCCCACTGCGGTCCGCCCATACTTCGGCGTGTTGTCGTGAGAGAACTTTAGAGTCGAAATATCCATTCACCGGCGTCGGTACCGTTTTGGCGTTGGTCTGTCGTCCAATCCGGAGCACTTCAGGATAGAACGGGAGGCTAATTTGTTTTCTTTCGAAGGTGCCATTCATAGGTAGCAAAGCCAGTATCGCAGCAGACTCTCCGCCTGTCACTCCGTTGACTACCCGTGTTCCGTTCGATTGAGGGTTAGGACTCTGGCTGGGTAGCGCTGGCTGAACTGGGTTCTTCCCTACCAACAAATTGCCAACAGCTGTTTGAAGAGATCCATTTGCACGAGCATTAGAAACACTGGCTGTTGATTCCGACTTCGACACTTGCCAAAAACCCCCTCTTGGCTTTTTCTTCGGCCCAGAAGCGGGATCTGATGAGATATCGTTCTGCGTCAAGGTGATCGTGGATCCAGATGAACTGGTGGACGACAGTGACGAAGATGAGGCGCTTCTCTGTACCGTCTTGCGTTGAGGTAAAAACATACGAGATACCTCGTCACTGCTCATACTGGAAAACCCTCCACTGGTGCCGTTTAGACCATTCCAATTGAGTCTAGATATGTTGTTGAAACTCGGAGGCGATGCCACGGCGGTCGTCATCGGGAGGTATAATACAGGGGCAACAGCGTTGTATTCCTTCTAATGTGTTCTATCGCCTCGAAAGCCTCCTGATCAGCGGGAGAAGGAAGGGGGTTTGAGTAAAGTGATAGGGCACAGGAATCGGTTGCTGGTCCTGGTCGTCATGTGTCGGACTCGAGGACTCGGAGGGTAAAGGGAGACTAAGACGGTCGCTGCATTAGTCCACTGGTCACCGGCGCCGTATGTTGGCTGTTTTCAAAGTGCTCGAGGTGTTCTCGATTGCTCTCTGACATACATAGATCGACCCTAAGGGGCTCTGGGGGAAGATAGGATTGCTCGCGTGCAAGTTCGGGACGGCGAGGGGTCTGACGGAAACGTTTTGGGGCTGACCACTCAAGCTCCGGTAGTTGAATGATGGTCAAATCCGTGGTCGAAGGGCCATGAGAGGGTGTCGAATGAATGTCGCTGCATCGATTGTCCACTTGACGTTGATCGGCGTTTGTGTCAGCTTAGTTCTGATGTTTAGAGGATGCGACCCGTGGTTTTGGGAGCGGTCCAAATTGACGTTCGACGACTTCTCTGGATCTGTCCCCGAACCGCTAAGCGCCCATCACGTGATGCCGAGGCGCTAGACGCTGCAGTTCGATCGGCTGTTAACGATACAGAAGCTCCGGCGAGTCTCCATGGGACATGGGGCAGTCGTCACTTCCACTTCCACTCCAGGTTGCCATTAACCTCTAACGAGAGTAACAGTCGCAATGCCTCCAATTCCACCTTCTGCTCAAAGACATGGGCCAACATGGTTCGACAAACGTATGGACCTCTTGTAGCAAGACGAGGCCAGAACTCGCTAACCGTCGTCGCAGTAAAGATGGGGATGCTGATGGGTGGGAGTGAGTCGCAGACAATGATACAAAGTGGGGGAGATGAGAACGTCTAACAGAGCCATAGCCGTCGGCGGAATCATGGGATTCATTTACGGTTTGTCCAGGCGACAGATGGCAGTAACAGGCCACTGATGACAGATGCGCAGGCACCGTTACCATCTTCCAGTATGGCGCTGGCCAAGCAGGCGTTATGAGGACTCTCGGAAAGTACATGGTGGGGTCAGGAAGCATGTTCGGGTATGGAAGCTGGTCGTCTATTGGGAGTGAGTCAGTTGTCACTAACACTCTGCACAACCAGGCTCTTTATGGGCATCGGCAGCATCATTCGCACAGACTCACCTGCGATGGCATCCTCCATATGGGCAAGGTCTCAATACCCTCCACTCGTCCACCCACGACAACTTTCTGCCGGCCGTCGGTGATAGCAGCATGATACTTGTACAAAAGAAGAACTTGTGCTGGGCTGGAAAAGTTGATGCTACATTATGATACCCACTTTATGAATGAGGGTGCCATTGCCACGAAACCATGAATTGAATGGCATTGGCTCCCTGGAACACTCCACCACTAGGAGCTATGTCTATGTGCGCACACTGTTTGTGGCCTCTTCGAGGCAGGCTGCTACGCCCAAACACCATCGCATTAAATCAGCCCGATATTAACACCCACAGCAAGAAAAATATCTGGCAAAGATCAGTGATTGGGAAGTGTAGCTTGTGGGAATCGTACTCACCATAAGGACGCCAAACATCTTAGCCACCAGCCATCGGTTTCCTTGTACACGGTTCCAATATTTCAACAATTCCCTCTGCGCGCCCTGTACATTATCCACCACGTCTTCGGTGTTTGCATCTATCCGTTGCAGCATCTCTCCTTGTTCTGAGACCATACTCGCGAGCTGACCGAAAATGCTGCCCAGTTCGTTTATCGTCCTTTCAATGGCTTCGATGGCTTGGCCTCTTTCTTGGATATATGTGTTCGCGGGCTGGGCTTCCTCCATAAGTAATAACTGGTGATCTGACTGGGGGGCATTCTTCATAAGCGTGGATGTGTTGGAAGGTTCGATTGTGAGCAGGTCACTCGTAGATGCCTGCGGGGTCCGCTGCCGGCTTGTAGCACTCTGATATAAAGGCGATTGTGACCTTGAGTCGTCCAGGTGAGGTTGTGACCGCGCTGATACCGAGGAGACAAAGTTTTCGGTTCTTGACCGTGACGCTTGAATGCTCTTGGTCCGTACCTCCAGTACATCCTTGAAGTTTACGGCGACGTCCGTCACTTTGCTTTGTAGCATCATTACCACGTTCTTATTATGCTGACCTTCTTGGTCCGCCGATCGAGGTTGCGAAGCGGTCGGGTGCTGCGACTGGGTAAGTTGTTGGAGGGCGGATATCTGGGAATTGAGGCCGGCTAGATCTTGCTTGATGACATGGGTTAACTCTGCAATCTCAACGGGCCTATCGTCGAAGATAGCCTTTCTCCTTGCAACTAAACCCTGTCAGTCGCGGACTCGTCGCCGGAGTCTCGGGTCTTGTCACGTACGTTGTGCCAATCTCTCTAATTTGCCCATAGTTGCAGTGATGCCCCTTCCTATCTGCGCGGCATTCCGCGCGAACTCTGACCTTGCGCCTCTTGTAGGACCAGTAATAGCGCCATTTGCTTCTTGTTTCTCGGCGTTCTTGAGGAGCGACTGTCGCTGGGGGCCACCTTTTGCGGCAGATTGTCGCTTCTGCGCCTGAGCGAGGATAGCGCGGAACTCATTTGTCCGGTCTTGGATCGTCGTCGAGACCATGCTGGCCTATACGGCGCGAAAGTAGGCGTAGACGCAGAGATCGTTTTTGGAGAATGGTGAAACCGCACTCGTAGAAGTCTCTGTGAGTGATGAGGATGCCCGACTGCTCATTCTAGTGCGTACTATGCAGGACTGGAACTTTTGATACAAGTGATCGAAAAGAAGAGTCTCGAGTTTAGTATGTACAGTGAAGGAATAGGCCGAATTCGGGCGAGTCGTGGTATAGCAACGTCAAGATCCAGGACAGAGCAGCCTCAGCCGCAGCCGCAGCCGGAAACGTCTCTTCTTCAGGGTGACTTTGCCGCCACATTCAAGCCACAGACCCTGTGATCCACCCCGTTATTCCAGCCACAGTAGGCTGAAGCCGGTGGACCAGTTTGATGGCCTGAATGAAGCGTGGAAACTCATATGAGATATCATGAAAGTTCTCACACTCGCTCAATCCAAGTAACACCTGGAATCCATCCGCGATGACTTTCACCTCGTCTATGGAGAGTCTCGCCTGTGAGCCTGTGAACCTCAAACTAGGTATATACAAGTGTGAAACGATGATCAGCTTGTGCAGCGTGCGTGTGGCGCAGTGACGCATGGCTGGGACTTTGTTTGTGATTGTTTCTCCACTCGTTCTCCAGCCCTCAATTCCTGTTTGTCTGTTCGTAGGGCTGAGTGAGTGAGTGACGAGTCCAGTGCGAGGTACTCCGTATCTCAACTACCATCCTCCAAGCGATTGCATGCGCGGCCAGCCATATATACACATACCTCTCTATTACCGTCACACGCTGTGGCCGTTCTTCTCCACTGTTTGGGACTTCGACTTCCTCACCACCATTTCAGCCGTGCAAAGAGTTCTCGACCATCTGCTGCGTTTATCAGGCATCAGGCCGGCCATGTAATACGAATATCTCAATAATCTCTCGACCTTCTGAGGGAGTTATTTCGCACGCTCCGAGCTACGCCATGTGCAGTCTCATGCGTTGAGAATTGCTCGAAGTTAATTCTTGTTCGAGGAGTCAATTACCTCGCTTCCAATTCCCTCTTAAGATGGCGAGCTCCAATCCTTATGGCACTGGCAGATTCAAGATCAACGTGAACAGGGTCAAGTCGAAGAAATGGAAAGACGCGGATAAGGTGGACTACGGTGGTGGTTGGGGCGACGACGACGACTCTGACGATGGGTATGACGAGCCAGCGCCAGTGTCAGCAGACAACCCCCGGCATCCTGCCTGGAACGCGCCCTCCAATGCATATCCCTCCGATCGAAGCGTCACCAATCCATCTCCTTCTCGTGGCGGCCAGAGACCATCCTTCGATCAGGGCGACGAACGCAGGCATTTCTCCTCTGCTGGAAACTTCGATTCACCATATCCGACATCACAGCGATCACCTTTTCCCGAACCTCAACACGACGATCCACTTCCTGCGCCCAGTTATGGCATGCAATCACCTCTCCGTCTGAACACACAAGGTATGGGTGCTACACCCTCAGACTTTCGACCAGGTTCAAGAGGAAGACAATATCCACCATACGAAGATGTGCCCATGTCAGCGCCAGGAGCTTTCCCGCACCAACGGCGATCAGGCTCGAGCCATCGTCCCCCTCCCGGAGACTTTTACGCACGGCATGAGAGTCCTATGAGACCCGAGAGTCGTTCTTCCATTTCCTCACATAGACAGTTTCCTCCGCGCAAGCAAAGCCTGAGCCAGCAGCCGCCTACTCTCGATTTCACGCAGGACAGGTACTCGCTCGCACCTTCCCATGCCTCAGGCACGGCAACAGCTACCAGTGCCAACGACGACCGTCCCCCGCCAGTATTGATCCGGCCCTCAGACATATACAAACGTATGGCAGAAGAGATGGAAAAAGCACGCAAGTCACACGACTCCTCACGGTCGAGTACTGCTTTAGAAGCAAACCGTGCCAGGGAAGATTCTGTTGGTGCTCGCTCAACGGCATCAGAGACAAAGGAACTGACGGGCAGCGCGCAGCCAAATGCGGAGGATTCTGATTCCACGCGACGCCTCAAACCGACTCTAGACCCTGTTCCTGAGCGGAAGAGCGAGTATGGCTTTGAGAACCTGCTCAAGTCAACAAGCCATGATAGTGCACAGCCAGAGGAGCCAAAAATTGAAGAAACGCCTGTGGGAGTCTCAAGACATGGAACGGATGCATCCTCGGTCTACACCGATCGCCCAGACCCGGTTTCTGCGTCTACCCTGTCTCGTAATGTGTCAATGGCATACGACACACCGGCTAGACAGTCATCGTCTAACAACAGACCGAGCTTTGGCTTACCACCCATCGGCAGAATCTCTGGTTTCGGTGTGGACATAGGTTTATCTGATAACACAACGTCTAACTCCACGCCAGAATCGCGGCAACCGGCCGGAGATGCGCCGCCTCAAGTTCTTCCAGGAGGTCTAGAGCCCAGTGAAAGTGACGAGCCAGATGTCAAGGCTCTGCAGCATCAGCCTACTATGGGATACACATCCGTCGTCCATCAAGCTTTCGATCGGAGCCAGCATCAAGAACCCCTTACCCACTCATCCACATCGAGCACGGTCGATCGTTCAAACAGTGCTTCGACCGCCGATATCAGCCCCATCATTGGCCGGAAGCCGGAAGCAGCTCCTACAAATAGAGCTACACGGACCACCCATCCTGTTATTTCCCAGGAATCTTCACAAGGAGAAACACCACCGACATCGATCACCACATCGCAACCTACAGAAGTGCCTCTCGCCCAGAATGACGAGCTTCCGGTAGCCCCAGTTGTACGCCCTGGTTATCGTAGAGACGTCACGCCTCCAGGTCGAGACAACAGTCCGGCAAAGAAGCCCCTAGAAGTTGAGCCACGAGGTCTTGTGCCACCACATCATGGCTCACTTGTGGATGAACAGCCTGGGTCTGAGGAGCACGCTCGAGGTAGAGCACAGAGTGTTAAAGACAAGCCGCTCCCGGCCGAGCCGACTTTAGAAGCGTCAACCCCCAAAGCTGGTACTCCTTTAGCGATAGCGCGCGCAGAGTCTCCTCTGAAGGGCACGGTGCGTGGGCTCGCAGATAAACTGGAGTCGTCCTCAGGAAGATCGTCCCCGAGCAATTCTAGCATTCAGGTGCCGTTGCCTGGTCTTTCTCAAGGACGCCCTCCACCTCTTCAAGCACGGCTCGATAGCTTTCGGCCAGTGATCCCTGGTGGTTGGCAGTCATATACCTCTTCTGCAGCCTCGGGAACACCTGGTCCAGGTACTCCTGGTCAACGAGGCATGACTCCGCCTCGAGCTCCCTTCGCTCAAACACGAGCAGAAAGTACAGAAAGCGTGCCAACGGCCCACGCTCCCACTGGTAGGGCTTCTCATGATGATAGTGTAACCCAGAGAGCTTTTGCCGCGGCTGCTTCTGCTGGAAGTGCTCTTGCTGGCGCCTTAGCTGGCAATCGACTGAGCGAACGCGATCACAGTTCCTCGGCACAGCCTTCGAAGGAAGAGAGCGAGGACGAATGGGACCAATCGAGCTCGTCCAGCGACGGAGATGCAGATCCTCCTGCATCACATCAACTGCTGGGTGAGCAGAGGACTGAACAGCGTATTCACCATTCGCCTGTAAATCCACCACCAGCCGGTATAAATTCATCAAGCGGTACGCCCGATCAAGCTCAGTCGTTAGCAGATTCTACTCCTCTATCTGTTGCGACGTCGAGTGAAGCAGACGTACCTCAGTCAACCCTCGACTACTTCCCAGCGCCGCTGCGGACTAGCCGCTCGATTGACCCTTCCAGTCCCCGTCCAGCCTTGCCTGACGCCCCAATCGCACAAGAAACTCCAGACAAGAGTGAAAATGAGCGATTGCAGCAGGAAATCGTCAAAAGCCTGACACCAAAGTCGTCGAGTTCAGACATTGAAGCGCCGGCACAGGATCACCAGCCTCTGGCTCACCCAGAACTGTCGACCTATCGAGCAGTCACCACTGTAGGGGCCGGCCCTCAGAGCACCATCCCCGCTCCACACTCCCTCCCGTCGCACCTGATCGAAGGGCCTCAATCAACAACTGTGCCTCAGTCCGACACGAACTCAGTGACAGAAGACGCAACTACACGACCTCCTCCACTGCGGATCGTTCCGCACCAGCCGGCCGAAGCTGGGCTGTCCAGCGAGGGTATTTCAGTGACGAACGCCTATCGCGCCTCTGATCAAGCGAGGCCAGTGCCTGCCCAACCGAGAACTGCGCTTCACGAACAGCCAGCTGTTTTTGCGAAACCCGATTCAGTTCTTCCGGGAACTCAACAACCACAGCCGCTTGTTGAACAAGGACTCCCATCATCTAGCCAACCTTTCTTGCAAAAGCGCTTCTCTTGGGAGACTGGCAGCTCACCACCGGGCTCTGCGTCGACACCCAAAGCGACCAGTCCACCCTCCACTGGGTCACCCGATACCATAAGAGCTCCGTTCCAACATGCACCAGGCTCTTCGGAAGTCACCCCACCTAGAGCGGATTTCAACCAACCTTCGACTAGGCAAGCGACTTCGCCAATACAGCAGTCAGTGCAGTCAATACAGGCTTCCACGGATGCTCCTGCACAGCAACCAGCGAAATTGTTGCAGGACGTCCAGACTGTGCAATCTCCGCAAAGCACCAATCCCACGCAGCACTCTGGGATTTTGCCGACCAATACAAACCACTCCCAGATCTCGCCAACGCTCAACGAGCCTCCCACTTTCCGCACAATTCTCAACCTTGGTTCACCTGCAGAGCGAATAAAGGCGTTTGACGAGAGCAGGCAGTTTTATGCAACGCCGAATGAGCAGCTCCAGGACTGGCTGATGTCGATGAAGACTGCCGAGAATGCTGACTTGTTCGCCACCAACGGTCGGCTTTCCCTTGACACCGCCGACGGCAACGCTTCGCACAGGCCTTCACCCAGGCGGATTCTCACCGAGTCGGCGAGCGCCAGGCACATGCAAGAGGATGGAAAGAAGCTCATGGCAGCAGCTGGTCGCTTTGGAGGGAAAGCAGGGCACGCTGCAAAAGGACTATTTGCAAAAGGCAAGGAGAAAATGCGCAATACGAGCATGAGCGAAAAGGTAGCCCGTTGATCTTCCCCTTCCGTTCTTTGCTGTCCGGTTAGCCTTCCTTTACCATGGGGGAACTGCATGTGTTCCTATCGCGGCCACTTCATTCTTTCGGGCCATGTGAGAGGACCCGTTGCTTTCAGCGGCTTTCTTTGCAAGCCTTCCCAAGATAGTAATGAATGGAAGAATACTTTCTACTTTGTCAATGGTTTTCCATTTGGGCTCTGGTTGACGTTTTTTCTAGGGTATCCTTGCTGGCCGGCGGAGGTCGTCTGGACCCGTTCCGGACGAGTCCGAAGAGGTTTCATATCCTACCGGGTCGCGAGATTCCACATACCTCGAAGGGCCGCCCCAGATCCCGTTGAACATCACTCCGGCCTCGCCGCTAACATCGCCCACTGACTGGTTCTCAAACCGCGAGCTTATGGGATCGCAGACGAGCGGCCTGAATTCGATTTTGCAACAAGGAGCAGTCGCCTCGTCTCCGGCTGTTGCCAACGAGGCAGAAGCGAAGCCGACATCCGAACATAGTGGGGAGGTACCACGTGAGGGCGTCGCTGGTCCTGATGCTGTTTCTGCCGTGCCTGTACCTGCTCCCAGTCCAGCAATCTCTGCTCTGAACAGCGAGCAAGAACAGCATGATGACACGGGAGTCCCGAGCCGTTCGATCAGTCAGCTGACCAAGCCTACCGACCACTCTCCTGTAGAGTCGCCTCGACGACCGAATGTTGAAAGGAGTCTCAGCAGGGGAGAAAGTTCAGCTGCTCGTCCTCCAGTCGCTGCCACGAGGAGTAACCTGCCCTCAAGCACTTTGTCTCCCCCAGCGCCTCACGCAGATCGACATGACGGCTCAACGTCTGATGCTGAATCTAGTGACAGAAGCCTGCGTGTTCCACAGACACGACGCCGCTCAGCCGTCTCGGATGTCTCCAGTGCCAGCCCGAGCCCAGGGCCCGATGCAGAAGGCCAACATCTGAGAAGAAGTGTATCCCTCTCACCTGCGGACGAAGTGCACGTGGCGGTAATATCAGGTCCTCGTGACGAAAACAGGGGCCATGCTGATGAGGCAGCTCCTTCTACTGTCTCCGTTCAAGGTGCTGGACAACCTGAGGCACAGGCTACTGATCGCCGGACACAGTCTCCAAGTCCGATCATTGCCCCACCCACAGCAACGGCGGAGCCTTGTCACGCAAGAGAATCAGTACTTACTGTCGAGGGCGTAGAGCAAAATCCCCCACTCGGACGACCAGCGCAACAGCATGTAGCAGCTGAGCAACAGCGTGATCCTGGAGAGCACCGACCTTTCTCATTCGCTGGTGTTGAGGATGTTGGTGCCATTCACGAGCCTCAACCGTTGCCAGGGCAGGATCTCAGCCGATTTCCCTCACAGCCGATGAGTCCAGTAAGTCAAGGGCGAAGCAGTGTTGCATTGAGCAAAGCAATGTCCCAAGTCAGCGTCGAAGAGGTTCAAGACCAGGCAAATGTCCCAGACCGACGTCAATCGAGGTCATATTCGCGACCTTTCGGCGTCGATCCTAACGTCAGACACCATCCTGCTGTTCGTGTGGACGAATCTGAGCAAGCTTTAACGGACCGAGCCAATCTGTACCCCTCCGAGAGTCCCTTGCCTAGTGCAAGACGCACACAAGAAGAAATCGACCGCCACCTTCAGCAAACAGAGCAGCGACCGCCTACCTTGCCGCCTCAGCCTCAACCCTATGAGAAGGGATACCGAATACCTGGACCTTATGTTCAAGAGTACCGATCTCCAAAACAAATCTCATCCCCCAAAAACGGCCGAAGCCAGGCTCAAGTACAAGCGAGTGGCAAGCCACTACCGAGCACATTACGATCTCAGGGTTACGCTGGCCAGCCTCAGCCTGCACCAAGATCTTACACCGCTTCAGAACAACAGAATGCTCCAAGCTATCAAGGGCATGCCGCTTGTTCGAACAGTCCAGCTCCTTATGCCGAGTACGACATGAAGCATGGAGAATGGGGAAATTATACCCAAAACCAACCTCTGCAGCAGCATACCCAAAACCCACCCCTGCAACAGCAAAGGCAGTCCATGGGTCCACCTGCGCACCCCGTCCACCAACAAATTTCCAGCCAGCAGACGTCGGTACAAGCAGCACCTTTACCACCATCATCCCAACAACCACAGGCTGAGCCAAAGAAGAGCACGTTTGGTAAGCTGTTTGGGGGAAGCTCTTCTAAGGGTTCTAAACTTCAAAAGCAAGCCAGGTCAGAAGCTCAGGTTGGATCTCAAGGACATGTGCACAAAGAAAAGCGAAACAGCATGCTCCGGCGGAATGAGAGTGGCTCCTCGCGGCAAAACAGCAAATACACCAGTCGAGATCGGCTTGGGCAGCTTCCACCTCCGAACGTCCCTTCCCAATACGCTCAGCAGCAATCGAGCAATGTCTCCACAGAACCGACGCCGGACATGGGCGAGAAGCTCGCAGAAGGCAAGAAGAAGCGGTTTTCTGGGCTTGGGGCTAAGTTATTTAAGAGCAGAGCCGCCACCACACCCACTGCCCCATCGCAGACATCGGGATCTGAAAATCAGAGGACGGGCCAACGCATTGCTTCTCCCGAACCATACTCTGTGCAGACTCCCAGTGTCATGTCTCCAGAGTCCTTATCTGCGCAGACACAACATGATCAGTACCCAGTGGGACCTGGAAGCTATTTCAGCCAAACACAGGTGCAGCCCCCGTACCAACAATCCGCCCATACGACAGGGCAATTTTCACCCCAGTACCCTGCAGCGGCTTCTCCGTATCAGCAAAATCCTCGACCTTTTGAGTATACACACCCGTCACAATCTCCGCCGCCTCCTGGTCAGGAAGCATCTGCGGGACGATACGCAACGGGTGTCTCTATGACCCTGGGTCATCAGAGCCGCCCGTCCGATTTGCGCATCAATACAAGCAACCAAGACCTGGGCCACTACGATGTGCCCGCCACTGCCCCAGCTCAGGTCCACCCGCCCAGAGCATCTCCTTTCGCCTCTTCTCCGTACAATCCAAACCCAAGCTCAGGCATCACCACCATGACTGGAACGACTTTGCCACCGCCTCGCTCTGCGCAATCTTCGTCTCAGAACCCTCGCGACCACGTTGTCGATCTGCACAAACGCTCCCGATCGCCTCGACTCGGGCGTGCTGCATCCGACGACCTCGATGCCTCACAGCGCCAGCAACCGACCAGCCTGCTCGGCACCTTTAGCTCCAAGAATATCTCCCCCGTGGGAGGCATCCCGCGGCCGCATAACGACCAAGAACGACCCTTTGCCATCACGGTGCCGGGCCTAGACGACGACAACAACAACGACGCCCGAAGGAAGCACAATCTTCGCGACCGTATCGCTGGTGGGGCGCCCCGAAGCAATACCCCTGTAAGCGTCGAAACCGGCGGGCATGGGGCAGCACCATCTTCGCACTTGGCTGTCACGACCAGCACAGGCGGGCTGGAACGGAACGTCTCCGTGCTCGAAGGCTACAACAACACCCCCGACAGTCCGCGCCAGGCCCGACGCGAAAGCGCCAGAGACAAGACCACGCCGGGCTTCATTGCCGAGTTACCCGGCAGCAAGGCCGAGGGGTATGAGAGCGAGGAGGAGATCCCTATGAGCGCCACGGCGTATCCCGGGCAGGAGTGGATGCCGGTTTTCGTGGGCGACGGGAGGTGGGATGATTGAGTTACCGCTGTTTGGAATGAAATAGCACTGTACACGGCGTGGCTTGTCTTGTGGCTATACCATACGTTCTGCGGTGGTAATCGCTGCGTGTTTGTATCTTTTCGGTCTTGTTTGCCTGGGACCTCGACTTCTCTGTGCTCTTATAACGATCGGAGCTTTTCGGACATATCCAAGCGTCACGTAATGTTTATTCCATGTGCCGAAGGCAGGACTCTCACAAGCAGTCAGTCAGGCAAGCAAGCAGACGGGATCTGAGTCTAATCGTCTTGTACGTGAAGCGTGCAGAACACATAGTATACACATACGGAAATGCTCACGAAGGAGAGATTCAGGGCATGACTTGGCGCGGTGGAAAGAACTACTGCCTGTACAAACAGCTGAGAACACAGAAAAGAAATTATGTGGCTCTTAGTGGGCAGCAAGACTTCGTTTCTCATTCCTTGTGTCTCATGTCACACGTCCTGCCCCAGCAAGTTGTGTCATCGGCGTGCTATCTCGAGGTCGTGCCTCTGTGGTGCGCACTGCATTCGTATTGTCTAACATTAAAGGAAATTGTGCAGATGGCCTGCTCTGAAGCTGGCGTCTTGCACTATCCGACTCAAGAGTTCGATGCACCGCAATGTGGGAAGAGGTCGCTGTCTTGTGCGTTGTTGTTAATCTCGTCCCTCATTATCCACATGGCCAGTCGTCTTGAAAGTCATTCACCAATTCACACTCACGCAGGCCAGCAGCTGCAGTAGAAGTAACCATGCCAATCCTTGTCCTCGCCAGTCTGGCCGCAGACCTTGGACATCTCCTTGTTGCTGCAACCCTTCATGTCACTGGCGTCACAGACGACCTCGGATTTCTCGTTGCTAGAGGTGGAACAGTCAGTAGTTTGGCATCGTGGACGAGTAGCTTGGATGTATCGCCTTACCACTTGCAGAAGCGAAAACAGTTGTCTCCGTTCAAGAGGCCGTTACAGGTTGGGAGCTTGATCGACAGGGCGTTGGGCGCGGGGTTGTTGCCGGTTGGGTACTGCCCGGAAGAAGGCGTTAGGGTCAGTCAACCTGGACAGACCGGTCCGGTATGTTACTCACACAGCCGATCTTCATCGGGATGTTTGGGATGTTCGCAGACTGGTCAGACTTGGAGACCAAGCCAGCCTTGGCGACGGAGGCAGAAGCCAGAACGGCGGTGATGCCGACAAGGGTCTTCATCGTGTCGGTTCGGGGGAAGGGGAGTGGTGATTGTCAGTGAATGTAGAAGTCTGATTCAAGCGCAAGTTGTAGATGTTGGAGGAGTCGAGGTTGAAGGTGGGCAGCAGGAAAGAAGACACATCAGAATCACGAGAAGAGGAGGATGTTTATATCTTTCGTGAGGCAGTGGAAGGTCGATACGTGAAGTTCCAGTGATGCCGCACCGTCAGTGACGGGGGTTGGCCATCTTATATTCACATACTGCCTGGCGCCTGACGCTTGCAGTTGGGCAAACAGCAGGAGGAAGTGAATGAGAACATGACAACGACCGTGAAGCGTACGTCAAGCTGACGTGACGGGCGGGTGAGGTCAAACGGCGCTGAGGTCAAGACAAGGTAAGAGAGACCTGAGCTGGAGGAACAGTTGATTGCATGGTCGTGTATCCGCTGTCTTTCTCATGCATTGATCTGTGGTGACTGTTGAAGCTTCATTCTTTTCCTCGTCACCTCGGTTGCAGGTTGAACAGAACATGGGAAGCACCTGTCTTGTTCAACGAGACACTTTCCATACACTCGCTCATTGATGAATATATTTGAGGTGTCCTCGATGATACTGCACAGCAGCCAGAGATTCTTCGCTCGAGATTGCTTCGACCACTCCTTGTAGCTGAGATACAAACGCTGTTCACCGGCCTTGACATATTCTCGATGTTTTTGGTGCCCAGTGCATGTCCTGTGTGAGCATGAGAAGACTGCTTGGAGCACCCGGGCGACAAACACCAGGCTCGAGTTGTAAGCCAGGTGGAAATGAAAATGGTCATGTGTGCTGTGTAAGCGTAGAGCAAAGCGCAGCATCGTCACTTCTATGCAAGGCATCGGAAGAGAAAACAGCCGGATTTCAAGTCCACGAACGAGGATTGGTCTAGACCGCCGCAAGATAGGCGGCATAATAATCCACTATTCAGTGCATAATCCACGTGTTGCAGGTTCGCGACGAAGCTCCAATAACCTCCATCGGGCACGGTAACAATTCTCCTGTGTACCTGGGTAGGTAGATGTGGACGTGGATCAAAGAGAGGAGTACTCCGTAAGTGCTCAAGCACTTTTGCCATATACAGAATCCCCGGCACTTGGCGGTCCGAGCTGGCGGAAGAATTTCTAGGCAATTCGTCCTGTTCAGATTGCGCTCGCATCTTGACCACCAGTTCGGCCGCTCGTCGTCATCTTGCAGAATTTCGCATTTGGCAGGATCGGGCCTCGCAATTCCCAATTCCCAGACTCGGGTCTCACCAGCGTCCTCTCCCAGATGTTCCATCACCTCAACGACCAACCATGCCACACACTATCCGGTGACAACGTGTCAATGCGCGCTTGAAGGCTCGGTCAATCTCCCGCCCCGACTGTCACCACTGTCGCCATGAGCTCCTTACTCAATCCCATCCATAGTGCGAAGCAGAAATGCCGTCCCAAGCATCAAGTCCTGGTGCTGAAATGCTATCCGAAATACCAAAAGACGGTACAGGAGGTCAAACCCATGTCGTCGGAGCTGAGTTACCTTCTCTACTACGCTTCGACACGTCGCAACAAGCTGCAAAAGGTTGGCGCCTTCCTTGAGAAGAAGACTGCCGGTGATGTCTGGAAAAGAAGGCTTGGGTACGCGGAACCTGCTCACTGCCGGCATCTTGCTAATCGCGCTTAGGAACGTCCAGGTCACCCTCCAGATCCTCACTGCCATCATTGAAAAGGCTCCTCGAGACCTGTCCCTCTATGCGAAATCCGTCCTCACCATCCTCGACTCTGTCCTGCGATCCGACGATGTCAACATGGTCGAAGACTCGATCCCTACATTCGAAGCGTACTGCAAGTACGTGACCTCTGCCTCTCTGACTGCCGACCAGCAACGCGCTCAACAGTATCTCTCGATTGTCCAACACTATGCTGGCTTTGCGGCCAAGAAGAAGCCTGCGAAAACGAGGACCGCCGACTCAATTCCTCTGTCCCTGAGATGGCGCACTATCGGCCTCCGCGCCATCCGAGCCGTTGTTACTTCCGATGCGCTTGCGACCGACTCCAATCGCCAATTGACTATGGTCATGCCTGTCATTTTAGAGAACATGTCGCTCGAGGAAGAGAATATTCTTTCCACGCTACAGCAGCGGGCAAAGACGAGCGAGAGGATGGACGATGAGTCGGCTCGGCGGAGACGCGTGAGTATTGCTACAGTCACAACTGTTGACACCATTGAGGGTGATCCAGCAGCAGCCGTCGAGACCACCGCGGGAGCAGATAAAGTTGCCGAAGAGGAGGTACGAACACTCGCTTTGAGGTGCTTGAAGCAGATCTTTTCCGTCGGGACTGGCAGCACAAGAGGCCAGACTCGATTGGCTACGGCCCTGACCTTGAAATTCATCGCGTCGAAGAACCCTCCGAAAGTCACTCCTGAAGCATCACGTACCGGTAGCTGGGCCACTTCTCTGTTCGAAGCTATTGCACGGTGGACTCCAGTACAAGATCGATTCATCATTGTAGTTACAGCCATGGAAACATTGGTCCGGAGTCCTATGGTGGAGGGCGTGCTTGAAAAACAGTTGGTTCTTACCACCATGATTGATTGGCTTCTTAGTTCGCCAGTCAACCTGATTGGACTGAGTGTCATGGATATCCTGCTCGGATTCATCCAACATATGCTGGTTCTTCTCCAGCTTGGTGGACCCAATGCTCGGCTCGGACAAACGCATCGACAGGACACGCTTGGCTTTTACAAAGAAGCAAAGGAAGCATTCGACCCCAGCTCGGTCCTGGTCGAAAACAAGATGGGACGGCCGCCGTCAAAAGAGCTGGTGGCGTCTCCGGTCCGACAGGAATTGCTAGAGAGGCTCCAAAAGTGTATTGCCTCGCTTTCCAATCACATCTACTATACCGACCAGATCAGTGACATGCTCACGGCGATCTTGGCTCGCCTGAAACCGTCACCTCAATCAGAAGTCCCCACTACAGCTGCTGCTATCAATGACCCGGCAGCGGCGACAAAGGCGATAGCGGAGTCTATCAGCATTCATGAAGATGCCAACTCATCTACGTTTTTCTCGTTCGCAACCGCTAGGGTCACTGCGTGTCGAGTTATCAAGGAAATCTTGGTTCGCGCGAATAGCAAACGTAATGTGACCGGCGCGCCAATCGAAGCACGGGCACGAGTGGGTTTGCAGGTTTGGGAAGGCACTCAATGGCTGTTGAAGGACGAAGATCGAGACGTCAGATTCGCCTACATTGACGCGCTTCTGACATGGCTTAAACTCGAAACCAACAAAAGCGACATGCTCTTGCCCAAGGATGGCCACCAAAAGAAGTCACAATCGAAGAAACCCCAGGGGGACAATATAGCCGCGAAAAGAGCGGTATCCAACGCTTCCCGCAAAGAAACCAAGCCAGCAAGATCCAATTTCTTGGCTTTGCTTCACCTCGCGGTATACGACAGCATCTTGGACGAGGCAGAGGACGAAACAAATATCCTACTACTATACCTTCTCTTGACGAAATTGGTGGAGCGCCTTGGGGTCAACGCTGTTCGGAGTTCGTTGCCCATGATTCTCAGGCTGCAGGAGACTGCCCTCAATGGTGAAGTCGTGGCTCCAGCAGGAAGAGTCAATGTGGGTAGTGTTGTCCATGGCTATCTGTGGACCATTGCCGATAAGTTCGACTTTGAGACCAGCCCGATTGGCCATGAGATCAACGCAGAGATATCGAGAAGGAAACGATTCGGCATTTGGTTTGACAAGATCAAGTTTCCCGCCTTGCCTATGGAGGAGATCAAATCTATTTCGGCAGGAGATGAGAAGCGCCCTACATACAACGAGGAGGCTGTGGAGACCATCAAGCCTTTCCTCTCAGTTGGCGGTATTGTAGAGGAAATCGCCAATGCTTATGACCAGGCCCTCCTCACACCACCGACGTCAGCTCCATCTTCGCCTGGCAGAGTCTTCTCCGTGCCAACACTAGGATTCGGATACGGTTACGGAGCTGCTCCGTCGCCAAAGGCGTCAAGGGAGGACCAACTGCCGCAAAAGGTCAAAGAAGAAATGACCGCAGGTTGGAGTCGAGAAGCATGTATTGCTGCCGTCGAAAAAGAAAGTGCAGTATCCGTGAGCGGGTCTCGAACTGGCGCGTCCTCCATCCCAAAGCAACATCTTGGCGTCAATGGTTCTACCCGTCCGCATGGTTCAGTCACCGGCAAGGAGTCACCTGCCCTGGCCAATGGCAATATGAACCCCGGGTACGGATTGATGGGCGGCTTGGGAAGTCTTACGCAGATGCGCAGACCAAGTGCGAACGGTTCGCCAGCAAGAGTGCCTACAACATCCAGCCGAGACTCCACCGTCCGGGTTAACGACCTCAAACGAGCACTCTCAGGATATGCTGTGGCTGGAAGACGACAAAGTCCAGTGCGAGGGCCTCAAGCAGGTTCCAGGAGATCTACGGGTAGTAGTGGGACCAGCAGCATGCTTAGTTGGGATGATGCTGACGACCGCAACCCGTCATTCGTCAATGTCGGTGGAGACATGGAGCAGGCAACGAGAGAGTCACCTACTCGACCAAAAACATCCGAATCGGCAAAATCCAAAGCAGATCAGACAACGACTAGAACATATCACGATCAAGCAACCATTCCTGTTACAGCCGACCCTACGTCCGATACGAACGTCCCGCCTGTACCTAAAATACCATCGACATTAAATCTGCCCGGGACGTGGCCTCGAGATGCTTCTCGAGAACCATCGCCCGTCCGGGTGACGGACCAGAAGCCCTCGCCCATACCAGAAACTCCTAAATCACGAAAGGTCACAACCGGTACGTACTCGCCTGCATCCACACGAGAAAAACAGAGCATTCGAAAGTCATCAAGACCTACAAGCAGAAAGGGTGTGACGCCGCTGTCATCATCGCCCAGTGAGAAGTTTGATCTTGGGTCACTGCTGGCGGCGATACCTACTACAGCGGATTTGGAAAAGGAGAATCGAGCCAGTCGGCACATACGGCCACCATATTAGCATGTTCGAACGTGGCCTCGAACGAGATGTACTATCACTGGCACTTTGGTTTCGGTTGAGCGTTCTGTTTCGCGGCACTCGAGCGTTCTTTTTGGCAAAAGCGGACCTCTTAGAGTATCTCGTGTCCTTCTACTGTGTCAATAGCAATGTCTCAACGGGCCTAGATTTGCATATTGTGGCAATAAGTGCTACAATCTGCCCGATGGGAGCTCGGTGGGATGTTGGGTGCGGAGAGACAGCCGGGAAAAATAGATCTGTATAGTGAATAAGGCACAGAGGTGCTCATGACGATGCATAAATTCTCGGGCTGCGGCGTGGAAGCGTGCTCCATGGCAGACTTGATGTATAGAGGGCATGGTTTATTTAAGAGAGTCGCGGTACAGGGTCGTTTGCATGACAAAGGTTAGTCTGCAGTCAGTGAAGCCATTTCTCCGTCTGTACGGAGTACGCAGTATGGAGTATCCGGTGGTATTCCCCAGTTCTGATGCAGCTCGTCTGCAGTTTGCCGTTCTCAAGCGAGTGCGTGCCGGCGGTTATGAGAGGGCTGGCTACGTAGCACAAACAGCGCACTGATTGCCGATGGCTCGACTCCAACACAATCCTACATTGGCGACATTCATGATCTCGTGCCCTGTCAGCATTTCCGGCGCTTGTCGTTGGATGGCCGCGAAGGATAACTTTTTCCGATTAACAGCTGCTTGCCACGAGGTCTGAATTGATGAAGAGCCAAGAAATTGGCGTCGGCTGGACATTCTACAAGCGCTTGAAGCTTCTTATCTGTCTTCGCTTGTACAGTATAAGCTTCGGTGGGGGCGGGCAGGTAGGTGGTCTGCTTCTTATCGGCCAGAAGGTGATTACTCGCCCATCACTTACCCATCACATACCCGTCACTCGTCTCCAAACAGTCATAAGATTGAGAGAGCCTAGGTATGCTTGGGCGATTAACCTTTCCAGATGCCGAGCTGAGCAATCTGATTTACACGGTACAAGCGACGAAGCGTGGCATTTGCACGAGTATGACGAACGCCATGCAGCCCACAGAGCGAAGGAGAACAGAGGTTTCTGCTCACCCCGGCTATCGAAGGAGCGTGACTGCACTTTGAACAAGCCTCAGCCGAGTAGCGGCCCTCAAGCCTTGCCACAACTAGCAAAGTCTTCTTCCAGCGCGCCCCAGCAAACATGGCTTTGCTCCCCACCCCAGGGCCAGTCTTCTCGGCAGGGCAGTCTGACTCCCACCTAAGAAGCCTGCTATCCAAGCTTTAGGCTTAGCACGCCCAGCGCCATCTGCTCTTACGGGCTTGCTGCTCGATATCGACCACTCACATACTGTTCGACAGAGGTTCGTTCTGCCAAACCATCCAATCCTTCGGCGGCTCCAAGATCGAAAGCTTCCTTTCCTCGTGATGACTCCGTGGGCCTCCTGCTAAGCGGATCCAGTTGCATCATGGCTTGCTCTCAGCATGCCCACTTATCCACCACGCATGCTACGTACAGATGCAAGCCTCATCAATCACAGACTCTGGGCATTCTCTGCTTCTCCTCTTGCATCCAAGGGCGTGCTCGTGTCTGTTCCTCCCGCTTTATCCCCCGGAGATCCGTTTACCTCTGACGACAGGCGTTGAGCTGTTCAATCGCCGTCACCAGTTCGCTGTTCACGCTCTCCAAGCACATCACCTCCCGACATCACATGCAGCCAATCCTGGACGTGGATGACAGAGTGACATACTATTGTACCTGCGTCAAACGCGTTGTTCGCTATCGCAAGTGGCGTTGAGCTGAAATCGAACCGCTGTACAAACCTCTACTACAAATACTCCGACCCGCATCAGCGCGCATACCAACAACTTGAATAAAGATATGGCGAATAAAGAGATAACCACGGGCCCGATCGATCCGGCCGAGCTGCGCAGGCATAGTGTCGGCACCGTTGAAATCCAAGATGCCAAAGGCCGGCGCAGAACGGTGCAGCTGGATGAGTTGAATGCGGCCGACAGGGCTCTCGCCGAGCAATTTGGCTACAAGCCGGTATGTGGTAGCACAACTGCGGAGAACCCGACGTTCCGTTTCTAACTATAGGCGAATAGGTCTTCAAACGTGAGTTCGGCTACCTCTCCACCTTCTCATTCGCCGTTAGCATCTCGGGGCTCTTTGCGACGACGGCAACGACATTCGTCTATCCGCTGGAAGCTGGTGGCTCCGCCTCTGTCGTGTGGTGCTGGCTCATCTCGGGCGCCGGTTGCATGTGTATTGCGCTTTCCGTGGCCGAACTCGTGTCTGCATATCCAACCTGTGGTGGCCTGTACTACACGGTTTCCCGCCTAGCGCCGAAGGAATGGGTGCCGTCCATCAGCTGGATCACAGGCTGGATCAATCTACTCGGTCAAGTGGCGGGTATCGCATCGTCCGAGTATGGATCAGCGCAACTGCTCCTGGCTGCCGTTTCCATCGGGCGCGACTTTAACTGGTTTCCTACCACTAATCAGACTGTCGGAGTCATGGCCGCTCTGACTGTGCTCAATGGCCTTGTCAACTCGCTCTCGACTTACTGGATGGAAAAGATGACCAAGACCTACGTCATCTATCACTTCGGCGTTCTATTTGCTTGCGCAATTGCTCTTCTGGTTGTGACCGACAACAAGCACGACGCGAGCTATGTGTTCACCCATGTTGAGGGAAACGCCGGCTGGACACCGATCGGATGGTCTTTCTTGTTTGGCTTCCTGTCCGTCTCCTGGACCATGACTGATTATGATGCCACGGCGCACATCACAGAAGAGTAAGTGCAGCGGCTCCCAAGATGGCGCGCTGAAGCTAACAGCACTCACAGAATCAACGAGCCCGAGATCAAAGCTCCCTGGGCGATTTCCATGGCCATGCTTTGCACCTACGTCCTGGGATGGCTCTTCAACATTGTCCTTTGCTTCTGCATGGGTGATGCCGCCGAAATCCTTGCGTCGCCAATCTATCAGCCCGTTGCGCAAATCTTCTACAACTCTCTCGGCAAGGGCGCTAGCATCTACTTTACCGTATCTGCGTTCCTGATTCTCCAGTTCGTCTGCTGGACCGCAACGCAGGCGTTGGCAAGGACCGTGTTTGCCTTTTCCCGCGACAAGCTGATTCCCTTTTCGAAAGTCTGGGTTATCATCAACCGATGGACAGGAACACCACTGTATGCGGTCTGGATCAGCATCTTCTGGTGCATCGCCATCAACCTGATCGCCCTGGGCTCGTACATCGCGATAGCAGGTGTGTTTAACGTGTGCGCCATTGCTCTCGACTGGTCGTACATCATCCCGATCGTCTGTAAGCTGGTGTGGAAGAAATTCGAGCCCGGCCCGTGGCACCTGGGCAAGTTTTCTTCCATTGTGAATGTGTGGGCTTGCATATGGACGACCTTTGTGACCATCATCTTCATCTTGCCCACCATTCGACCCGTGACTGCGAACAACATGAACTACGCCATTGTGTTCTTGATCTTCATCTTGGTCTGCGCCATTGTCTACTGGTACATCAGTGGCAAGAAGTTCTACACCGGACCTGTCGTCGAAGCGGAGATTGCGGACGAGGATATGGACAGTTCGACCTCTGGAGCCGAGCAGGACAAGAAGGAAGGTGGGTTGCGTGACCGGACGCCGAACGCGACTCACTCCCTTGCTTGAGTCCATGACAACGGTTGGGGCCATTGCCAGGGCATATCTCTTGCAATTAGGAAATTGTTTTGGATAAGGATGACGGCATGTGTGGGGGATCTTGGAAATGTTATGACCTTGTGCTTAACCATTTCGCTCTATTATCTACTGTAGTAGTCAAGCCGTGATTCAAAGTCTCTGCAGCAACAAGGAACCCGAACCCATTACCTCCTTGGGCAATTCTCTGTATGTAGCTAGAGTAGGATCTTCACTCTCTCAGAGGGTACCGGGCGCAGCCACGCGCAGTTTAAATCCCCTTCAGCAACTCGCGCTGTTTTCGCCAAGTCATGGATGCTGCTCAGGACGCACGAGCCCGACTCAAAGCCTCGGTTGACCTATCACGAATGATACAGTAGCGGCAATCAACTTTCGCTTTCTCATCTTATCGAATCTATAGCCCCCGATAAGTACGCGAAGCTCATCGACAGACGACAAGTGATTTTGTCGAGGTGAAAATCACGGACCTTATAAGTAATTACGCAATGTTCATCGGCAGATTCTAAGCAGGATCTTGCTGAGGTGAAAATCACCGGGCACGGTCTCATGGTGTACAGCTGTAAACATAAATGGAGAGACGAGGCTGGTATCCGGGCCGGTGCCGGGTGTGGCCTCCTTTGTTCTCCATAGATAGCCACGATAGCCTCATGGTTCGGAGACTTGGATCCATGACACCGTGCGCGCCGCCCTCAAGTGCCCGCCCAGGACTGGTGGATATCCCGTTGCCCAGCCATGGCTGAAAACTCTATATCAATAGATGTATGTGTATGGCTTGTGGGGCAAAACTCCACACAGATGTGTCTGTGTATTGCTCGGAGGCTGTACCGAGTACCTCGTACGGAGTAGAAGGCGTCGGATCAGCGCACGAGCCGAGCTTCCCTTCCCGAATCCGCTTCTCCTATGTTTATTGTTTTGTTATTGGTCGTTGTCGATAGTCGCGTTCGACCCTATTCGGATCTGCGTCCGGAACTGTCCACAGAGGATCTGAACGGAAGTCGCGTGGACCTGTTCTCTTCGCTTTGCTCTGATCTCGGTACATAGATCGCCCGACCCACAAAGGGCTCTCATCGATCATCGAAGTTGGGCTGGCAGCTTTGTACCTCGTAGGTGTGCACTGGGCCGGCCACACGAGTATTCGATTCGATATGGTGGATGAACACCCCCAACCGCATTGTGCACGTTGATTCCCTTCAGTAGGTCTTGCTTCAACATTTCTTTTCCCGCGTGAACCAAGCAAGACCGGAGCTCTGACGCTGTGGACATCGATCGTCCTTCGTTCTCTTGGTGGAGGATCTATGCCTCAAGCCAGCCTCTTCTCATAGGTGGCAGAGGAGACAGAAAAGCCCAAGCAGCTGTGGAGGTACCGTAGCCCTCATCTCGCTTCGCTGGACTTTGGATTCTTCGGCTCCGAGGCGTGACTCGTCCTTGATGGGGCGTCATTCGCGAGTCGCTTGCTGTGTCAACAAACCGTAACGCTATGCTGCCCGAAAGCACGATGTTCTGTCGTTCTTGCCGGTTCTGTAAGGCTGGGATTGAACGGGCCTGCCTGCCTGCCGATTGAGCTGGAAAAGGTACCTTCACATGTTCCAATCTGTCTGTCCATCTTGCTGGAGTGGCGGGCGCTTTCTCGACTCGAGAGGTTCTGTTGAAGCTGGATGATGGCTATAAAACGGGAGATCCTCCTGCTCTGGTGGACTTCTGAGTTCCTATTCCGTCTCCCTTCATGCTCAGCACCAGTGTTGGCATTGTCCACGGTCAGTGACTCCTCCAACGACAAGTGATCCATCAGCCCTTAAGGGGTATCTGTGGTTCAAGCCAACGAGCCACCCGACACAACCACCGGTGGTAATGCAACGCGCCACGTGTCGAAGACCACCTGCTAACATCGCACCACAGAGACTGGAGGCCACGCCCGCATCAAAATGTATTGCCTCGCCGTCCTCCTCGGCGTCATCGCCCTTGTCTCAGCTTTACCCACCCGAATCACGATCGGGACGGGCCACACGGCGATGTTTACTCCTTCAATAGAGGCAGTAGATTCTGCGCTCGACGTCGTCGTTAGAATACCACAACGACCTGCACGTTGCCCGACGAGCACAGCCTTCCAACCGAAGAGCCAGTTGGGGGCGCCCTCTACCAGCGTGGGGGCGCCCTACCGTAACATGACGGCTGTGCCGCCTTATGCCAACAAGGCGTCGTTGAAAGGCTTGCACACTCGCCAGGCCAACTCGTCCTCGTCCTCGTCCTCGTCCTCCTCATCTTCCTCCAACGCAGGTTCCGCCCTTGTGTACAACGCCTGCGCCTTCACCGTGCAGAGCAACATCGTGCATGCGCCCCGCCCCGGGGAGGACGGCGCTCCAGAGGAGATTATGGGCACCATTGCTCCAGGTGAGACTCTCTCACATCCTTTCTCCCATGACCCAAACATGGGCGTCAGTTGGAAGATCTGGCGCACCGACGGCGACAACCACAATCCCGTCCAGTTCGAGTACGCGTGGACGCTCGACACGGCGCGGATCTGGTATGATATGAGCATGATCAACGCTGGAGAGATCGAGTGGCTGGAGCCCGACAGCCACGAGGCGCAGACCATCGAGGACGGGGCCAACAACGACGGCACCGGCGACTTAACCGGGAAGGTCGCCGTTGAGCACGCGTTTGGCGGGGATGACGAGGGCATGAGGCTCGATCCACAGGGTGGTGGTAACTGCGATTCAGTCGTCTGTCCCGCCGGAGAGCAGTATTGCCTCAAGGCGTACAATACTGATACCGACGACCAGGCGATGAGGGATTGCGCGGAGTCTGCGGACCTGAGATTGACGTTGTGTGGTTGAGCGAGGAGTGCGCATGGATGGCGTGTGTTGGGTCAGAAGTCAAAGGGACGTTTGTCGTTTATTGGCCTGGGTTATGATTAGAGCGTGTCCTTTCCAGCGCTGTCTGCTGTGAGCTTTGCTGACACGCCTCGCGCTAGACCGATGCCGAGAGTCCCTTAGACCTTGGTATATAAGTTTTGTGGCCACTACGGCGTTAGATTTGGCTGGACACGTGGCTGGGCGGATCTCATTGTGACTTTGCAAGGCTGAGATCTGCTCGGGCGGTAATAGCCTCCAAGAGAGAGACGAGTGGCCTGATGATAAATGGCGTTGGATGGCTGTGTGGTCTTTGCACCGCACCAGGCGTGAGCGTTCGACATAGACTGGCCAGGACGTGATGTAGCGATGCCTTTAGACTTGAACACTCGCAGAATAGGGCGATACCATCAAAGCTCATGTGGCTGCCTCTTTTACGTCGGCCTGCCCGCCGCGATTACCCTCCCTCCTCAGCTCGACAACATGAGCTCAGAAGTATCTGGCCCGAGCCGTTTTGTCAACAATGTTTCAGTGGTTGGCATCCAGCCCATAGGCTCCCTAGACCTGCTCACCTGCTTGCGTGCTCGCGTAGCTTCACCCATCCTTGCCCAACTTTTTCCGAAACACTTTCCGCTCCACCTCCCTGATCTTCTCCTTCTCCTCCATCTCGCGCTCAATTTCGCGGACCCGCAACTCCCTCTCCTCCAAGCGATGCCTCACCGCCGCGGCAGTCTCGTCCCGCAAACGCGCAATCTCCTCCCTTTCGCGGTCGCCCACTGCCCCACCGTGGTGACTGCCATGCGTTGTCCCCGTCCCCGTGGCCGCGAATATCTGCGCCCGCAGCTTCGCAAAACCGTACTTGGACAGCTCGGCCTCCGTGAACGGCTGCAGTGTGATTGGATTGATATCCGCCGCCCCACCGCTACTGGCGACCGCTGACTCGGGCACCTTGATCGAGGGGAGGGAGGGGTGGATGGGCGTCGTTCGCAAGGGCGAGTCCAGCGGGACGGGGCCAGCAGGCTCGGTCGGTGGCCCTGTGATACCAGCAGTGGCCGTCGTAGTGGCAGGAATGGCTTTGGGAGATGCGTCGGGCGTGGGTGGTGCGCCTGCTGGGTCGGACGCTGCGTTCGGGGCGCGCGTGGGATTGGCAGCGGAAGTGGGAGTGGGAGTGGGAGCGGGAGCAGCAGAGGTCATCAAGGTATCACCGTCGGGGTCGCTGGCGGGGTTGTTGCCATCACGTGCAGTAGTCGTGGCTGGTTGGGTCGAGGTCGAGGGTTCGGGGGGGGCACCGGCGGATCTGTCGGCGGTGCCGTCGAGGGCCAAACCTGGCGAAGGTGCTGGCGACACGTCTTCTGCCATAGATGTGTCAATCGAAGAGTATGGACTATGGCTGAGCGTGCGGAGTATGTACTAATAGACATTCCCAAGAAGCGACTCAATTGAGATGTTTCTCCAGCCCAAGTTTACGCCAGTTTGCCGCTTCCATCACCGTAGTCACTACTGCGAGTCTTATGCGGCACAGGCGCAAAGCATAACGCATCCTGATTTTTCCACCTTCGTTCATCGTCTCTGGTTATGCCTCGAACTTTGATGAGACGTTATGAAACACTGCGTAGCGATCAGACATGTACAGTGACAAACTGCCCAATGCCCGGCACCCCATTTGCAACGACATACACCACGTAAGGTCCTGGTGCAAGCTTGAGCCCCTCTGGCATATACACCTCAACTCGCTTCCGACCACTGGGCAATGTCTCCCAGCCACGGTGGACAAGGTAGACCATCACCTGTCCCATGTGAACAGAATGCGTAACAAACCCACCAGCATAGAGAATCACGTCCAATGTGGACAGACCCTCTTCCATGTCAAATCCGATTGTGAACCTCGAACTGATCTTGAGCTCGAGCCTTGAAAGCCTGATATCCTTCGGCCGCCGAGAGGCATTTTCACCACGCAAATATGGTGGAGTCCAAATTTCAATTCTGAATTCAGTGGGGAATGCCTGGTCCTGGTTGTATAATTCCACTTGACTCACAGTGACTGGCATCTCATTTGGGTTGCTCCCAGCGACGAGGACTGTTCCATCCAGTAGCAGCAATGCAACCGAGTGGTAAAGTCTTGCAATTTTGCTCTGACCAGACGACGTCCATCGGTCTGAGCACGGATCATAAATCAATGCCTCCAGCGCCGGCTCCTTCGCCAATCCGAACCCTTGCGCCCCTCTTTGACAACCATTGATCCAAAGCACCATTCCATCAAGCAGCAATACACCTTCTACCATACCCCGTGGCTCTGGCATCTCGGTCATTTTCCAGCGAGGCTCCCGACTCATCGGCTTCAGTCTGCCACAGCTTGCATCGCATAGACTGTCAACGGCTTGTGACATGCCCCCACCACAAATCATGACCTCTGGCTCGTAGTTGTTGCCTCTGTGCAGCGGAAGCATCACGCTTCCGCCCGTGTTGGGGTATGTTCTGTGCATGCCAGGCATATTTGGCATCTTCTTGATTGCCTTGCTGGCAGCCACATCGAAGAGTTCTGATGAGGTGTCGGAGAAGACGAACAGCGAACCATCCGGCATCAGGTGGAGGAAAGGGTACATCTAGTACGGCATGGTATCGACCAAGATGTCTATGAGTGTATTTTCACCATTACTGACTCCATTTTGATCCAGCATCTCGAAGGTCGGATTGTTGTTGCTGAAATTTGATGGGTCCAGGCCGTTTAAGCTGCCTGCGGCAACGAACATCCTGCCGTCCGCCAGTGTCTGTGCAGACGCATACCATCGGTTTGAAGCCAACTTATTTCCCGGCTCTTTCCAGCAGTAGCTCCCGTTGTGGTTTCCGAGATACCGAATAGCATCGAAGCCATTTTGAACCGTCGGATCAAGCCAAAGCAAAGGTGCGTTTCCACCCACGGTCACGAGTCGCCCATCGCCCAGAAACGATCCGCCACAGCAAAAGGGGTTTGTGACGACAGCCAGAGGAGTCAGACTATGAGTTTCGGGATCGTACAAGGAGGAATATGCGTAATGATTGTTGGGTAAACGCAGTTCCGAATAATCTTCAACTTTGTCTAGAAACAGAACTTGGCCTGATGGAGGTATGACGGCGGCATGCATTGCAGGTACACCAGAGGAGGCAACCACTTCAAAATAAGAGCAATTGATGTCCATCGCTAAGATAAAACTGTAACACGATCTGGCGATAGTGTAGAAGTTGGATGATCGAGGAGTCTTGGGAAGAAGGCGCAGGTAGATATGGCGTGGGAAAGGATGGAGGCGACTTCCACCTTCATCGCGCCTCCTTCCAAACATCCCATAGTCCAGTCAGGTTGCCGCTTCGGTCTTTGATCACTTCGACGACCTGGTCTCGATATTCTTCGCTAGACTTGTTGTCAGTAATTCGTCCCAGCCCATCATGCACAGCGACGACGCTATCCCAGCTGGCTGCGAGCGTCCTCGACAGAGACTCATGACACGATGCTAGCCTCAGAGTCTCTCCCCTTGGACCTAAAAATGCAGAATCCAATACCATGCTCCTAGCCGTTCTGGTCCGAACCGCGTCTTGTTTCTGTTGCATGTTATCTGCTTCTTCCACCTCAACCAGAAACTCCACCATGACCAGGATGTCGCCCAACGATCTGGAGAGCTGCGTGATGTTTCGGCACAGACTTGCCAGAAGGGCATTCGCTTGCAGGAGGTTGCTTCGCCGATAGGTTGCAAAGACCGTTGGGCCTATGCCTTGAACAAGGACAAGATTGTGGACGTGGCCGGTTCTGCATTGTCTTTCATGTTTCTGGGAGTCTCGGTACAAACTGTCGCTGACTTCAGCAACGCTTTCCGCAATTCCAGCTAAATCGAAATACTGCAACAGTCGCACCGGCTTCAGAAGCTCGATGGCAGCTTGTGAGTCGGATATTGTGTTGGCCAGAAGAGCATGGAGCATCGGTACTGTCTGAAGGGCATGAGGAGCGATGATGTAAACGTTTCGAAGCGTGTCGGGTTCTGGCGATGTGGCTGAGCTGAGAAGCGCTGTAGCGAGGACATGTAGAGGAAGTGATCTCTACATGACCCGGTGGCAGTCAGTCCGGAAATCGCTTGAGCGGATTCATCACAGACTCACTTTTGCTGGTGTCGCTCCACCGACTTCGCTCAACGACCCAACACCAACAACGTGCCCACCGACCCAGACCGAGCTAATCCTCTTGTCTAGGCCTGGCAAAAGGATACCCTTGGGATGAGCCACCGGTAAACTATGGCTAGGGGCTGGGTGTCGAGCGAGGGTATATTCATCCTCAAGCTCCAGGAGTATTGATGCCTTTATGGGCTCAATCATGGGTCCTGAATCTGCCTGTTCAGTCATCGTGGCAGATGAGTCCTGAAAGAGAGGCTCCGTCGGCTGTCCCCCATATGATGCATTGGGCCAAACGGGTTCTGTACGTGTCAAGCGAGGATCGTGACAGCATTAGATTGTCCTCCACGTGTTGTGTTTCGGTGTACCCCGTACTTAGTAGCACGTTTGTGTCCCGAACAGTTAGTAGGACCTGTCGACAGTTTTCATTTCAAGCACAGGTCTTCATCTCCCTGAATTCTGACCAATTACTGACAAACTTGATTTGCTATGAACTTTGTGGAGAATGACAAGCAGCATGTCCGTGCTCCACATCAAGTCATGGTCTGTTTTGCTCATTGATGTAAAACCATCCGGTCGAGCTGTAGGTGTTGGGTGACCACCAATAAACGCATTCGCATCAAACCCTCGGACTGGTAAGAGCAGTGACCATTGTCGAGCGTAAGACTGTCATCCACCATGCCTTTGTTTACCACGCACCGCCACCTGCGGCACTGGCACCGTCACTAGTACCCCAGGCATCGCCGGCGACCACATCAGCATTTGGCGCGGCAGTAGTGTTACCATCCCCCCAAGCATCACCGCCAGCAACTGTGTCTACAGCGACTTCATCGTAGCCAGGCTCCTCCTCCTCATCGAAGTTCAGGTTACCGCCATCGGGTTTGAAGTGCTGAAGGAATTCGGGGACATCTTGGTGAGTTTCGAGGAGGATCTTAGTGAGGAAGGGGCCAAGAGCATCATCTTTCTCGTTGTAAAAAGACGTCGCAAGTCCTTCATTTCCGATTCGTGCAGTACGACCTGCTCGTGGTCAGTAACTCAAGTGATGAATATAAGCAGTTAAAAGAGGCTTCGTACCGATTCGATGGACGTACTCGTTCTTGCCATCATGATCAGCAGATGGAAGATCGAAGTTGATCACATGCATCACATTGCTGAAGGCTTGTTAGTGCTGCTTCCCTCGTTATAGACCTATTCCTGCTTACCGAACATCAAGACCCCGAGCGGTCACACCAGTAGCAACAAGAATAGGCTGGACGCCAGACTTAAATGAACGTAGAGCATCCTCGCGTTCACTCTGTGTACGGTCCGAATGAATGGAGGTCGAGGGCAGCCCAAGGTTGTAGAGGTAGTCGTCAACAAAATCTGCCGTCTTCTTGAACTTGACAAATATCAAGGTACGAGATGGGGGCATGGAGAGAAGAAGTTCGTAGAGTGCCTTCATCTTCTTATCTTGATCGCACCACACGATCTGACTCTGGTCAGCAGGGTGACTAACGACGCGAGAGAGAGAGAGAGAGGCGTACATTCTGCTTAACGTTGATATGAACACTGCCAGTCCGACCAATGCTGACATGAATATAGTCGGATGACAGATACCGCGCAGCCAACTTCTTCAACCGCTTAGGAAATGTTGCGGAAAAGAGGAGATACCGATGGTCACCATCAGTATTTGCATCTAGAAAAATGTCAGTGAGCTAAACAAAAGACGAAGAGCAAGTTACCGACCACCGCCACCCATGATCTTGCTCATTTCTTCGTTCCAATCCTCATGAAGCATTTCGTCAGCTTCATCAATGATAGTAAAGCGGACGCAGGCCAAAGAGAGGAGCTCTGGTCGCCCCATGAAATCGATCAAGCGACCAGGAGAGGCAATAAGAATATCGCAACCACGTTCGAGCTGCGCCGCTTGTTCCCGGACAGGAGCACCACCATATACGACACAGGGGCGAAGCATTGAGCGGTAGCATAAGCGCCGTGCTTCATCGAAGATCTGGCAGCACAACTCACGAGTTGGCGCGACAATGAGGACCAAAGGTTCAGCTCGAACTCGATCGCGGCTCGAATCAAAGTTCAGACCTGGGCGAGGCGCAGCCAATTTCTTGACCTTGCCCATAAGCTTGGAGATGACTGGAATCAACATGGCGCCTGTCTTGCCCGAGCCTGCGTTGGTGTCAATAAAGGGTCAGAACAGATCTCCTAGCATGAGGAACTCACCAGTCTGCGCAACGCCAATCATGTCGTGATTGGTGATCACGGAAGGAATGGCGTAGGCTTGAATAGGTGTTGGTAGCTCGTAGCCACACAACTTGATGTTCTCAAGCACGACAGGGTGCAGGCCAGCGTCGTCCCACTGTGCAAGATGTGAGTGTGAGGAATGCGGGAAGTGGACGCACTCACATTAGAGATGGGTTTGACACGAGTCTTGCTTTCGACATTGACTTCCACGGTAGAGTAGCTGTAGATGTCAGTGACGACTCAACAGACAGTGAGGAAGAGAACTTACTTCTCGATCTTCGCTCCAGCACGATTGATGAACTCGCCTTGGAACAGCTCCTTTTCGAGCTTCTCATCTCGTGGGCCGACATCACCAAACTCCTCCTTCCACTCATATTTGGCAGCATCGTGTGACCAATTGCTGCTGTGGTATCTAGACTTGGGGATGTCCTCTGCTCCGTCGCCTTCAGCTGCTGGCGCAGCGTCAGGTTGAGCTTCAGACTCGTCTCCATTGAGGACGGTGACCGGAGTTTTTGATGTGTAATTGTGAGCCACGGGCAGGACCCAACCAGCGTCACGAGCAGCCTTCAATGCCTCCTCATTCTTTGGTGGGCCAGCAGGTGTTACAGTGCCGTTAGCAGGTGGAGTGACATCAACGAGGGCTGATTCCATTGCTGCTGTTCCCCAGGCCGAATCAGCTGTATCAGTGGGGGCAGGAGCTGTTCCCCAGCTATCAGCCATGACCACTGATGACGACTGGAGGTGAACAGGAATGAAGACTCTGAAAGAAGAACAGAAGGTTAGGAAAGGTTGGTGGGGGGTGTGAGATCAAAAAGAGAAGGGGAAGAAGAGATGATAAGGTGGAAAGAAGCCGATATTTATGCCTCGAAGCTGCCTCACCACCTTGCCAAGAATCCGGAAACGCGCAAATGGGCGGCAAGGCGGTGAACTGTACTCCGCTTTGATGAGGACGATTGACCAGTCGAATGAGGAGAAAGGGTCGCGGAGGTGGTGAACGAAAGCTGGGTGACGCCGGTGAGGTCGCGGGCAGGGAGAAGAGGACGTGGTCGCGCAGGTGGCAATGAAGAACAGGTGAGGCTGGATCAGTTCAGAGAGGCTCAAGGAAGCTTGAGGTTATGCTCAAGTGAAAATCTGTTTTGGTTCACAGTACAGCACCAGGCACGCCACAGGAATGATCAACCCTGAAGGACATTCAGAACCAACGCGGTGACCTGAATCCCAGTCATATCCCTGCATGTCATTGTCTTCCCGTGCCTTCAGACCTGGTATGTAGACTGCAAGTCTCTCCTTGACGGCGCTTTCATTCATTGTTAAGGAATCGGTAAGTCCGTCCTCTTCCAGTAGACATCAGGGAACAGCAGTACTGATTGCACATAGACGTAGCGCGTCCTCCAGATGTCTGTCTCAACCACAAGCCAATATCGGCACTCTGTCTTGGTATCATCTTGAACTCGTCAAAGGTGGCCGCGATGACAAAGTACTCCTTCAATTTTGCTCCTATCAGACCCGACACAATCAGTACACAGTGGTCCGGAGATTGGAGCTCAAGCGCAAGAGGTGGAGGCAGCTGAACAACCCTAGCTAGGACAGGCCACGACCGATACGGCTCGTAGCCATGAAGCGGAGCGGCGAGCTCAAACATTGACCCTGGCTAGTCTCGATGCCTTGCAATACCTTTCGATGAACAAGTGTCTGGCTTGATCTGGCTAGCACAGACAACGACCCTGCCCTCAATGAGAGGAGTACTTGAGGCTGATGCCGAGACCCAATGTTCTTCCAGCGGACACTTCCAGAAGGATTCCAGGGATTGAATATGGTGTCTGGGAGTAGAATCTACGAGGGCCTTGATTGTCCTGACCTAAAGAGCGGCCACTGGCAGGACTGTCGACTGTAGGCGCTCCAATCACAGGCATTTTGGCACAGACAACTGCGTTCGACGCATTCTGCCTGTTGGTATCCACTGAGGTGGCAGCTCAGCCGCAGCATCCCGCCGCAATGAGCACAAGGATGTGCGCCTTTTCGGGAGTCTTTTTGACACAGTGTATGAAGCAGATTCCAAAACGCTGGGGAAAGGTGAGTTCAACAGGTAGACATATCCGCACGAAGCTTGACCTGATGACCTGGCACGTCGCAATACCTGCAGCCTCATCAGCATGACCTATAAGGTACTGTAATGGGAGTTTGTCTCTGACACCCTCAACGCTGACGACGGAATGGAAAGCGGCCATCGCTCGGATTGGCTGCAGCAACAACGAGAGCTGGACAGGCGCACCGTTCTCGTATCTGCCCTGGCTCTTCCATTGAGATCCACCTTCGCAATCGTTCTGCCACCACGGGGTACCAATGGTGCAAGCAAGAAACATGCGTTATTGTTGCCAATTCAATGGTAACTCGTAACTCGTGTGGTGGTATCAGATGTTGTGGCCTCAGCATCACTGAAAGCTCGCATGTGCGTGCCAGGTACGTGTACTTCGTGTTCCCGGCGACTTAGGACACGAGAAAGACGACTTTCCGTGCGCTGGAGTGCCTCAGGCTTTCACTCAAGAGCTCAGGGGTACAACCTCGATGCAGAGAATGAAACCATATTGGGCAGTCTCTGGTTTGGGTGTCAAGGGATTGCAGACTTCTCCGGTTGTGCCGGGACAGAACCGGGTTTCAGTATACAAGCACGGCCGGTCTCTGGTGCGTTCTATGCTCAAGTTGGGTGGACATCAGGCGAAGCTCTGGATGCGTGTTTTGCGATCCTATGCATGTGCCTTTCCCAAGGTGTAAGTGCGCCCTGAGAGTGGCGCCTAAAGTCTTGAACAGCCACGATGGGAGCACAGGCGCTATGCGCTCGATTACCAGCACCTGGCCCGCCATTGACAGAGGAGCATGCGGCTTCGCCCTCCAATGTGGACAGGTATCCGGCAGCAGGGGACAGCTGGAGATATAACGGCCAGTTCACCGTCTGGCCAGACCATGCTAGCTCATGCCACTCCCAGTACTGAATGTCCTAGACAGAGGCTGGTGTTACAACTAGCACAGTCTTCGAGTAGACAGACACTACGTACTCCATACAGTGTGAGATTAAGGTACAGAAACTCCGTACCTACCGAAATGATTAGCCCTTCGGCGTACAAGACTGTGCTCCGCAGTAGTAGTCTAGGCCGGAACATTTAGCCCTCTAGCGCGCACGAAAATATCTCTTGGCGTGCGAACCTGCGCATTTTCAGCCCACCTGAGGACACCACCAACTACGAGTACACTGGTCTCCCCTGTCTACCTCACCCTACTCATCCGACGACGCCAAAATGACGACCACACAAGGCGCTATCAGCAAGCGTCGCAAGTTCGTCGCGGACGGTGTCTTCTACGCCGAGTTGAACGAGTTCTTCCAGCGCGAACTCGCTGAGGAGGGCTACTCCGGTGTCGAAGTCAGAGTCACTCCTACTGTCACCGATATCAGTACGACCCCCCGTCCCCCCATACCCAGCGTCAACCTGGCAAGGGAGCGCTTATCCGCAGGAATTCAGGGATGATTGGAAAACTAACTCGAGATCGTCACAGTCATCCGCGCAACACACACTCAAGAAGTCCTCGGCGAACAAGGCCGCCGCATCCGCGAACTCACATCCCTGATCCAGAAGCGGTTCAAGTTCCCGGAGAACAGCGTCTCCCTGTATGCCGCAAAGGTCCAGAACCGCGGTCTCTCAGCCGTCGCGCAGTGCGAGTCCCTCCGATATAAGCTTCTCAATGGATTGGCCGTGAGACGTGCGTGCTACGGTGTGTTGAGATTCATTATGGAGAGCGGTGCCAAGGGCTGCGAGGTCGTTGTCTCGGGAAAGCTGAGGGCTGCGAGAGCGAAGAGCATGAAGTTCACAGTATGAATATGCGGTCTACGACTTTCTTTTTCAGGATTTCATACTGACTCCATGCTCTTAGGACGGCTTCATGATCCACTCCGGTCAGCCTGTCAACGACTTCATCGACAGCGCGACCCGCCACGTCCTCCTCCGCCAGGGTGTCCTGGGCATCAAGGTCAAGATCATGCGCGGCTCCGATCCCGAAGGCAAAGCCGGCCCCCAGAAATCCCTGCCCGACTCCGTCACAATCATCGACCCCAAGGAAGAACAACCCGTTGTGCAACCCATGTCTCAAGACTACGGTGCCAAGGCTCTGGCTGCCCAGCAGGCTGCTCAGGACGCGAGGGCGCAGGAAGAGGCTGGTGGCCAGACGGACGGTGCGGGCGAGGATCAGTTCAACGGAGCACAGGAATAGGAATCCGGCATTGGTGGTGCTACTTCAACTGCGGCCGGGGTCGGTTTCGCTGCTAGCGGCTTCGATGGTGCACGTGAGTCTCAGGACGCTATGCCTACCTACGATGCTGCTGGCGCGGACAATTGGATTGATGGCGGCTTTTAGCTGGTGGTTCAGCATAGCGAAGAACCTGCAGATGGGTTTTGAGGGAAACGGGTGTACACCCAATGAACCGCGCGCATGCAGAATGATGCCCCTGGGCAGGCGCCTTGGACTGTAGGCATTGCAAAAGCATTGAAGAATGAAGATGAATCGTGCATCAAGTTTCTATTTGCTACTTGTCTTGCTCTGGGCGATCCGTACCACGACACCTGTCGTTCACAGGAAAACCTCAACATTGAACTCCAGAGTACTGACCGGATACTTTAACTCGAACTTCTCCAGCACGGTCGGATGCAAGATGCCGAAACTCCCAATCACCACATCCTTGCCCGCAATCCTAACATGAATACTAGCCCCATGACCTGGGAAATACGTCGCATCATCGAGCTCTTGGATCCAGTATTCCATTTTGCTCCCGGTGCCGCGCATTTCCAGTCCTTCCTCGTGCGTGACGAATGCAGTTTTCAGCATGGTCATTACCCTGTCGAGAAGGCCGTGAACGACCTCGAAGCCGGAGGTCTTGCCGTACCATGCCGCGGCGAAATGTCGCTCGTTGCGTGCTTTGCGTTCCAGGCTGGGCTCTTTGAACGCGACGTCACTGACCTCGAAGATCTTGATGGGTATGGAGTGGTGCTTGTTCTCCCTGATCGTCTTCAGCAGGCCGGGGAGCAAGGTGGTCCGCACGACTTGATACTCGGCAGTCTTTGGGTTTGCTAGGCGGATGGCTGTTTCACCGTCGTCTTTCCGATTTAACCACGCGAAATTCTCGTCGTGAGAGCAGAGGATGAGCGGTAAGACCTCAGCCCAGCCTGCCATGGCGGCTTCGAGGCGGAGAACGTCTGAGAGTTTGTTCACTGCCAGAGGTGCAGCGACCGTGGCGCCGACTTTGGGGAATGCACGAGGGAGTTTATTGAAGCCATAGCCAATACACACATCTTCCATGATATCCGCTTGATGAAGAACATCGGCTCGTGTGACTGGAACGTCCACGTCAAGGAGATTCTTGTCCGATTTCGAGGGTCGGGCAACATGTGACATGCGGTTGAGAAGAGTACAAATTTCCTGAGGTGAGAGGTCAACACCGGTGCAAGCATTGATGTAATCTACCTCTGCAACTGTCGAGCGAGGCGTGAGGTCGGGCACTTGTCTCGACTGACCGTTATGGTCGGAAATGATCTGGATGGGTTCGACGGTGAACTGTTCTGCTGTATATTGCGAGAACATGGTCACCATGATGTTGACGACGATTTCTAGCTTCGTCTTATCTGTGGCGGTGACTTCCATGAATACATTCTTGGTATCAAGGGTGATCTTGCTAAGGTCACCATTGATGATGGGTGGCAAAGAGCAAACATTGCGATTGGAGTCGTAGATGACAGGGTAGACTGGCGAGTCTCTGATAATGTGCAGATACCGGCCGAGATGCTTGTCTTTTTCGTAGAATTGCATCAGTCGAGCCCCGTCCATTTCTTGTGTTTGGTTTAGTGGCGCGAATTTGATGTCCTTCGGGGGGAGCGCTTCATAGGTGAAGGGGCCTTGGATGGAGTCGAGATCGTGGGTTCCAATCGACACGAGCGTTCTTTGGCGGGCCAGATTTTGGTGCAGCTTGTCCTGTAGGTCAATGAAGGACTCGTACCTCGCCTGGTCGAATTTGATATTCCGTAGAATGGCCCCCGAGACATACGGTCGTATCCGGTCGCATTCTGGGCTCACTGTGATTGTCTGCAGTTCGCCATTGGGCGGTGCCTTCAGCACATACTGAGGCGCAGTGATCTTGCGATTGAAGATGTTGAGCATGAGTTGTATACCCTCGAAGCAGAGCATGTCATATCGGTTGGCGGGGATTTCGATCTTCAATTGCGGAGGTTCTTGCTTGCCATTGACAACCGGTCGTTCTGTGAGCGAGGTGTCCTCGTCGAGCTCAATGCCGAAGTCGAAACACAGCTCGTCGAACTCCTCGGTGGTGTAGTCTCTTCCCAGGGCCTTGAAGAGGGCAGCCTTGTCCACGGTGATGGTAGGCATGGCGGGTGGTGGCCCTGAGAAATGTGAATCGTCGTGAGGGCAAGAGTGCGAGATAGCCTAGTGGGCTGGTACAGTGGGAAGTGGCTGTTGCTCTCTTGGGCGGAGTCACTATCGAAGAATTGCAGAGGAAAGAGTCACCTTTGATGTCTTGGCAGATTGAACACTGTGACTGTGCACTGAGATGGGATTTTTGTGATGTGCCACAGTTGCCCTTTCCAGCTCAGCCACAAGTCACGGTCTGCTGAATGACGGAGGAGCTCACGCTTGCGAACCTGATTATCCCACCTTACAGAAGCACCAGTACCCCCTTTACGAGGTCTCTGTCTCTAGACTCCTTAGGTTTGATGAGCATATCGTTGCGACAAATCCTGCCTCTTCCGTTTCAGCTGCATCCAACAATCCCTGTGTTGTGAGTTCTTGTTGTCCCGCAGTCTGTCGCTACACATTTTAGCCCTCAAAACCCAACCGCGCAGACCACGCAGCGTCGTTAGCTGCGAAAAAACGCCTGATACCCACCAGCCTTACAGCATGTGCATGTGCATTCAAGCTTACGTTTTCTCCAGCCAGATATGAGTTGGACCTTGACTTAGTCTTTCATCGAATACCCGAATCCCTGGGACTGTTCCGTCCAAGACAGAACAGGCCGCGACTCCGTTACCCAAACAACAATTCCGACTTTCGTTTACCCTTGAGGATTGGATGACCTTCTAGACTGCGGAAACTTGACACAAAATGGAGGGTCAAGGCAATGGCGATGAGCTCTATCCCATCGCCGTCCTGATCGACGAGTTGAAGGTATGACCTCGCGATTTGCCGACAGCTGCTTGGACTTTGGCTGATATGCAAACAGCACGACGACGTCCTTCTGCGCCTCAATGCGATCCATCGACTGTCTACGATTGCACTTGCTCTCGGGCCCGAGCGGACGAGAGACGAACTGATACCCTTCCTCGACGGTATAGCGGCTCCGCGCCTCAAAAATGGGATAGCACTGACGCACCACTGTAGACTCGGTTGAAGACGAAGATGAAGTCCTCACAGCACTGGCAGATGAGCTAGGAAACTTCATCGAATACGTAGGAGGTCCCGAATATGGTCACGTGCTCCTTGCGCCGCTGGAGAACCTGGCTGCCATCGAGGAGCCTTTGGTGCGAGACAAGGTATGTAAGACGGTCAGAAGGCATGTGAGGTGAGTCTGACGCGTTTAGGCCGTCGAATCTCTCAACAAGATCTGCGCCGAGCTCTCTGAGCGACAAGTGGAAGAGTACTTCATCCCTCTTACTATCCGCCTCTCGAAAGCCGACTGGTTCACATCCAAGATATCCGCGACTGGTCTCTACGTTGCGCCTTACAAAAAAGCCTCCCAAACATCACAGCAAGGCCTTCGGACTCAGTTCGGCCATCTCGTCCACGATGAGACACCCATGGTGCGCCGACAAGCCGCGAACAACCTGGCGAAGTTCGTCAAGGAGGTTCCAGTCTCTACCGTCATTGATGAGATGATCCCCCTGTTCCAACATCTGGCCAGTGACGATCAAGACAGTGTCCGGTTGCTTACTGTCGAAGTCCTTATCTCGATCGCCGAAGTCATACCCAAGGAGCAGCAGCCCAGCCATGGTGTGTTACTGACTGCGCTAAGAAGTCTATTCGAAGATAAGAGCTGGAGAGTCCGCTACATGGTCGCAGAGAAATTCGAGAAGATCGCGAAAGCCGTGAACGAGGAGGTGGTCACTAGAGACCTGGTTCCAGCCTTCGTCAAGTTGCTCAAGGACAGCGAAGCAGAAGTCAGAACAGCAATCGCTAGCCAGATCCCCGGCTTCTGCGGCCTGCTTGACCGCGAAACCCTTCTTAATGAGATCATGACCAGCATCGAAGATCTTGTCTCCGACCCGAACCAGCACGTCCGCGCTGCTCTAGGAACGCAACTCAGCGGACTGGCTCCGATTCTTGGCAAGGAAGAAACCATCTCACATCTACTTCCAATGTTCCTGCAGATGCTCAAGGATGAGTTCCCCGATGTCAGACTACACATCATCTCCAAACTGGAACTAGTCAACAATGTTATTGGTATTGACCTCCTGTCCCAGTCGCTCCTCCCAGCCATCGTCCAGTTGGCAGAGGACAAGCAATGGCGCGTTCGCCTGGCAATTATCGAATACATACCCCTCCTGGCCAAACAGCTCGGCATGAAATTCTTTGACGAACAGCTAAGTTCATTGTGCATGGGCTGGCTGGGCGATACAGTCTTCTCAATTAGAGATGCGGCGACCCAGAACTTGAAGAAGCTCACCGAAGTGTTCGGCGTGGAATGGGCAAACCGTTCCATCATTCCCAAGGTCACCGCAATGAGTCAGCAGCAGAATTATTTGTACCGCATGACGACTTGTTTTGCCATAACGGTAAGCCAGAGAGCGAATCCAGCTTGCACATAGGACGCTAACGATGTCCACCTAGATTCTCGCGCCTGTCATTACTCTCGACATCATCGCTGACAGCGTTCTCCCGATGATGGACCGCCTCGTCTCTGATCCGATCCCGAATATTCGTTTCAACGTGGCCAAATCGTACGCCGTCCTCATCAACACGCTCCGCCGCTTGCCAGCCGAAGGTACCTTGCAGCAACTCGAACAAAATCCCAGCTCCGCAGCACAACCCAGCCCCAAAGGACAGGAATTGGTTGATGGCCAAATCATGACGAATCTCGAGAAACTGCAGCATGACGAAGATGTTGATGTTCGGTATTTTGCAACTATTGCTGCTGGCGGCACGACGAATGTGTATGCTCAACAGCAAGGCGAGAGGATGGATACCGGACAGTAGTGCGTCCGTCAGGAGGCAAAAGCGGTTGACGTGACCGAGAGGGAGCTGTCGCCCGAGAGTGAATTCCAATTGGTTGACGAGAACGTTGATAAGAACAGGGAGGATGCTTCATCAGCGCTCGTCGGTCCTAGGCAGCACCTTGCGCAGCCGGGTCGTAGCGGCGCAGGGCAGGAGCTGGAGAGAAAGAGCTCTCTATGGGTGTTCCCAATCTTCGGCAGGACAAGGGGGGGGAGTGATACTCATTAGCACTCGCGCTCCGCAGCGCAGGAGTGCGTATGGGATACCAGTGGATGCAATGGCATTGTAAGAAGAACCGGTAGATGGCACCAAATGAAGCGCCCCGATGGATGAGAGAAGTTGCGCCTCATCATTCTTGGACTTGCGAAGCAACTGCGTAAGATAGATGGAAGAAAAGAGCACTGAAGAAACCGAACCATAGATAGGGCGTCTGCTCGAAGTTCTCGATGCCTAGTGCGCTTCCTGTCGTGACATTCACTCTGGTCATGGTTTTGGGAGTGGGTGGGCTGGTCGTGGCCTGGTGGGACTAGGAAGACTTGTCCGCCAACGTTGCATCTGCGTCGCCGTGGACAATTTGGTGGGTCTGGCACGCCTGTTTCACCGTACATTATGTAAGCCGGGGTAATTTCTCCTTTCGGCTGCCTTTCGACGCCTCCAACAATTGTCAGTTGGTTATTTCGAGTTGACCAGGTGGGCGAGCACGCGAGACACCAACGATCTTCGAGGGCTGTGCATGAATCAGAAAGCAAGTCCGCATTGGCAGTCGAGCCATGTCCGAGGAGGCATGCTAAAGTCGCGCAAATTTCTAGCGCTCATCGTCCTGCTGTCCACAGCCGTGTGCACCCTCTTCCTCCTGCGAAGTCCCGAGCAGATCCAGACTCTCGAGGAGTCTGCCTCGTCATTACTACAGGACCACCATGCTCATGAGGAGAATGCGCCGGTCCTCCCAGCAAGCTCCCTGCTTCATCCCATCCACCAGCTAGTGTCGCAAGCCGAGAGCGACTTCCAGACGCTCCGTGTGCGACAGTCGCGGTCTCTCAATGATGCGGTTGCCGAGTATCGCAGGCGGTATAAATTACCCCCACCGCCTCATTTTGACAAATGGTATAATTTCGCAAAGAAACGAGGTGTCGAACTCATCGACGAATATGACACGATATACCATCAGTTACTGCCCTTTTGGGCACTGGAGCCGAAAGTGATCCGGGAGAGGACAAGAGAGGCCGTCGGATTTGACAATGCCTTGATCGCGGTCATGATTCGCAATGGGAAAGTGACCAAGATTGAAGGAGGAGGCGATATGTATGCCTGGCATCGAGAAGCCACACCCATCATGCTGGGAGACTTCATCAAATACCTGCCCGACATGGATTTGGCATTTAACATCCACGACGAACCTCGCGTTGTCATGCAACACGACGATCTCCAGCACCACGTCGAGGTGGCTCAGAGCACAAATATGCCCAAGGCGTACAACGCGCCATCCCTGACGAACGGCTGGTCCCCACGCGCCGACGATTTAGGTGAAGGTATTCGCATTAGAGAATACAAAACCACGCGCTTCAACCGCTTCGCCCATCAACCGACCTGGTCCAATTCGCGGATATCGTGCCCTCCAGACAGCGCGGCGCGGAGCTGTCTCAATGATGAATGCACGGATAACACCACCGCCTACAGCGGCTTGCCGCTCGGGTTCGTCCGCAACGCAACCGCCTTCAGCGACATCTGCAATTCCCCTAGCCTGGAGAAGAGCTTTGGATTCTTCGATCGGCCCAACGCGTTTGATGTCACACACGACTTGTTCCCCATCTTCTCGCAGAGCAAGATCTCCTCGTTCCAGGATATACTGTACCCGAGTCCTTGGTATTTCATGGGGAGAGTGAAATATGAGCCCGACCGAGACATGCCCTGGGAAGAGAAGAACCCGACGATGTACTGGCGAGGCAGCACAACTGGCGGCTTCTCTCGGGATGGCGGATGGAGGAGGCAACACCGGCAGCGCTTTCTGACCCAGATCCAACCCCTCAAAACGGCCCAGATTCTCGAGTTGGATAACAATTCCACGGCAGAGGAGAGTCTTTGGCGCGAGAAGACAGTCTCGATGGCGGATATGGCCAAGTATTTTGACGTCAAGTTCACCTACATTGGGCAGTGTGACCCGGGGGACTGCGATGCTCAGCGCGAATACTTTGGCACGGTGGAGCCGGTCAACATGTTCGATGCACTCGCATCGCGGTATCTGTTGGACATTGACGGCAATGCCTTCTCAGGAAGGTACTACGCATGGCTTTTGAGCAAGAGTCTCGTGTACAAATTGGCCCTGTTCCGCGAGTGGCATGATGAATGGCTTAGAGCGTGGGTTCATTATGTCCCGCTTGGTCTTGTCGGTGACGAGTACGCCGAGTCAGTCAGGTACTTTGACCAAGAGGAGAGTGGCAAGATGGAGGGGAAGAGGATTGCCAACCAAGGCAGGGAGTGGGCGCAGAAGGTTCTCCGGAACGACGATCTCGAGGTGTGGTATTTCAGGTTGTTGCTAGAGTGAGTCACCTCGTTCCCCTGCTACTGTGTGTCTGTTTTGTGCTGACTGATCGAACCGCAGGTATGGCCGTCTCATCGACGATAATCGGTACAATATTGGCTTCGAATTGTGAAGACCTTGGATCCTTAGCATCTTTCTTGCGGCATCTGTACAAAGGACTTCCACATATGCTTCGACGCTGCCTGTCGGGAACCACTTCGTATACCGCTTTGCAGGTCGCTCATCGCCATCCCCGCTTGGTGCGGGTTCGGGTATGGCAGGGGGCGGTGGAAACAGAGGACCGTTGGAACCAGCCGCGAGACCCGGCTCCCGTACATATATCTGTACATATATCTTGGCCACCACTATCTGGGTATATTAGGCGAAGCATGAGAAAACGGGACGGTCCAGATCTACGAAGGTCTGTTGTCCAATACCCACGGGGAAAGATAAAGACGTCGCTTGGTTTGCGCACCAAGAGCAAATTTCACAAGGCAGTGCAGATGACTGAATGTGTGATTCGCCGGCGGAAGGCAGCGTCCGTAATGTATGTATTAGCACACACAGCTCTGATCGGTGTACATTGGTATATGTATGCATACTCCCCGGAACCGGGAGTGGCATGAGCTACCTCTATCAGGCGGGTAGCAACCGGACCGGTGGCGTCTCTCATATACGTACATTCAAGTTGAATGTGCGCTGCGCCATCGTTCGTCTAGTCCCTGACTTTGATGTCCCTGATTTCTATATATCTGACTTCTATGTCGTCCATGGACACGTTCTCGGTTCGAGGGCACGCATTCCTCGGATGCCACGCCCTCAGCATTAGATATACAGAACCCGAATATCGAACGACCCGGATCAATACTCTAATACCCCAACGCCCTCCAGAACCTCCTCCGCAAATTAGACCCAACATCAACCAACACGCCAACCCAGCCCCTCGCGCTGGTGACCAGGTTCGTGACGGCGATGATACGCCTCGTGAACAGATCGCTCTGCTCAAAGTCGTCGGCATAGCAGTCCCAGATCTCCTGGTCATCGGTCTGTAGTTCCGGCAGACCCACGGCCTCGGCATGGTCCTTGGACGTCTTGCTCGCGATGATTAGCGCTCTGCCGATGATGCGTTGGTCCGCGACGAGGCGCGTGCTCGCCTCCACGACGGCCTCGAGACGCGCCATCGCGCCGCCGGCGAGGACGAGCGCGCCCAGCGGACCGAGGATGGGGGTGTCGACGAAATCTGGGAACGCCCAGAAGTTAGCATCGCGTACCACATTACTCTGTACCTCCTTTGCCTCGCTCTGTCTCTTTTCCCGCGTTCAAGTGGCTCTTCCACACTCTCTCTTCCTATCACCCAGCCTCCGTATCTCTCTCTCTCTCTTTCGTGTCGACCAGCGATGGGATAGGTGTGACACGTACATGGATTGATCATATTCACGCGGACCCCCACCGTGAGGGGGCTGGTGATCCTCAGGCTCCGGAACAGGCCGACAACGCCGTGCTTCGCGGCCGTGTACAGCGGCTGGCCCGGCAGACCCGCCAGACCCGCGATGCTGGCCACGAGCAGTAAATGCCTATCCCTCGGTCCTGCGTGCTCGCCCGGCGTGCACTTCTGACTCCCTGGATTGCGCGACAGATACGACAGACCTAGGTGCGCGGTGTACAGCACACCCGTGAGATTCGTCTCATAGGTTCGCAGATTCGGCGGCGGTGGCGCGGCGGGCCCGTCAAGCTGATGTGAGTAGTAGTCCGGCGGTTGCTCGAAAAGCCTTTGTTCGTCGGCGTCGGCGATGCCCGCGTTGGCCATGACCGTGTCGATGCCACCGTGGGGCGAAAGGCGTGCCGCCTCGCGGAAGAAGTGGGCCTGCGAGGACCACGAGGTCACGTCGAGGGGGATGAACTGGTGGTTTTGGCTACCGGTCGATCCTCTCAACTCGGCGATCAGGTCCGTGCCTCGCTCGTGGTTGAGGTCCCCCAGGATGATGTTGGCGCCGTGCGCGGCCCAGTGCCGCGAACATGCTGCGCCGAACCCGGACGCGCCGCCGGTCTAGAGGGGAGGGGACGCGTGGTCAGTACAGTATGGGATTCTGGTTCGAGCGCGAATTACGGCGGAGGAGCATGAAGATGCTGTCATATCATATGCTTTCCTGTAGAGTGAGACTGAGACTGGGCTCCGGCACTGAGGGAGTTCGCCCAGGAGAGGCGGAGGGAGTGGGGGTTCAGGGGTGCTCAGAAACTCACAATAACAATCGTCTTGCCCCGGATGTTGGCGAGGTTGATGGCCTGTCCCACGTCCACGGGTCCAGAGTGGACTACATCCGAGCTATAGGGGGTGAAGCCTCGCTCCCTAGACATAGAGGTTGCTGGCATGTTTTGTAGCGTGGACGATCGTACAGCTTCTGGACTGGTCCGTTGGAGACCCTTGCTCCACACCGAGGTGGTTAAGGACTATAACGGGCGCTGGCAATGGATGTGTACGAGGACCCGCGGCCGACTCATCGAGGTGGCTGCATCTTCGAGTCGAGCTGGGACAACGTTTGGTGTAGGGAGTCTCTCGCTGGAGCTGATGGGGTTGTCAGCCGGGCAATACTGCAGAACGGGCGATCAGCTTAGAGAGGCAATCTCAAAGGCTATATCATGCTGATAGTTAGACAGACTCGGTAGTCACGATTTCTCCTGTGAAAGACAAACAGCGGTCGAGATGGAAGTGGGAAAACATCAGACCGGCCGAAGTTTCCCCTCTGATGTCTTCTCGCTTGCAACGCGGGCGCCATCCATGTTTCGCTTTTCATATGCTGGCCATGTTTTCTAGAAGCTAGAAACTAGCGAGTAGCTACTCTGGAGTCTGGAGACGTGCAGCCAGCGGATCTGAGATGGGACATCGCACTTATGTACAAGTGACGTGCTCAGCGGATCTAAGAGGCAACAGCAGACAGGCAGAACCACGACGTCTGGTGACACGATGTGTGAAAGCAAGTGGATGTACAACCCAAGAGTTGTTGGATGTCGTGATCGACATTGAAGTTCTTCAAGAGCCGCACAGCTAAGGGTTCAAAAGTATAGCAGCAGGCAGGCGCCATGCTCAAGACATTGCCCGGACGCTCTGGGAGTGAACATGCATGCCAGTCTGGAACTTAGTCATGGTAGAGATCCAAAGGACTTCTATTAAGCTGTTATACCAGGATGTGCTATCACAGGATGCAACAAGGGAGGGTGCGAACCCCCTGTCACCTCAGGCTGCCCGTTGACGTCTTTCGTGGGCGATGCTTCCAATTCTTTCAGGACATCGAACTCCGATGGAGTTGATCCGACAGCATCCAACCCTCTGAACCCTTCTTCCACCGACCAGCTCTTCCCGTCGCTAGGTTTGTGCAGTACTTCGCAGGAATGGCCGACAACCAGGAGGCCTGGTGGCCTTGAGCCTTCCGCTTCCACCGCTTGACAGACATGTTCCAGGGTAGACCGAATCACTCTTTGGTCTGGACAACTGGCTCTCTCGATGACCGCGCAGGATGTGCTGGACGGCCACAAAGCACGTCCCGGACCCTCGTGATCTTGCTCTTCGGTCAGACTCTTGACTAGACTGTCCAGCCTATGTAGCGCCATGAGAAACACAACCGTCTTGCTCTTTCGATAAGACGGCGGCTCAGGCGCAGCTCCTTTCCGTCCAGTTCCAGTACAAATAACGACCTGATCAGCGACAGCTCGATGGGTAACTGGAATGTCAGCAAATGTCGCGGCTGAGAGAGCACTTGTAATGCCAGGTATTACCCTGACATCGTACCCTCGCTCTCGGAAGAAAGTCACTTCTTCGGCGCCTCGGCCGTAAAGGTATGGATCACCCTGCTTCAGGCGTAGAACATTTTTGCCTTGTTGCATTGCCTCCAAGGCCAATTCATGCATCTCGTCCTGTGCGGCGTCTGCGTTTCCAGGGAACTTGCGAGCGATGTGAACAGGAGTCCGCCGCGGAATGAGCTCCAAAACCTCGGCGGGGACAAGCTTGTCAGCTAAGATGAAATGGGCGGTTTCTATAGCTGTTTTGGTCGCGATCGTGAGGAGAAATGGATGACCTGGCCCAGACCCAGCCAGAGTTATCGTGCCTCTACGAGGAGGTGGTGGGGGAAGCACTGCTGATGTCGTATCGGAGCCAGGAGCAGGCGTTTGAGCTGTGGTTCGGTACGCTTGCAATATTGCCGCTACATCGGCGTCCGTAATTGCTGCAAGCCGACCGAGGGGCCAGTACTCGCATATCTGTGAGAGCCACCGCATGCGGCGGGTCCGCAAAACAGCCGGATCGCGGTCATCCTCCTTCACCAGTGAGTTAAAGGTATGCTTTTGAGCGGCAGCCTCTTCGTCTTCTGCTTCTCCATCCGGAGTATTTCCATTGAAAGCCACCTGAGACTTATAATCCTCGTGCCATATCTGTCTCCGCACAGTACCCAGCCTTTCCACAGCAGCACCAAATTTCGGCGGCAAAGCCGCTGCAATCTCACGCCGGATGCGGGATGACAACTTGCAGCCATTGCCTGACGTAGTAATCCCAATCTGAAGTGGACCATCGGAGTACGTTGACAGGAGTGTGAACGTGCATAGGTGCGGAGCGTCTACCACGTTGACAGGTATTCTCAGCCGTTTGCAGAGACTGGATATTTCCCCCGTTCGAGGGTCTCTTGCCGGCAGAGTGACAAACACAGCATCAACATATCCATCTACTTCTTCTCTGCCTAATTTCTTGAGATCTGCCTCTTGAAACTCCCTCTGTAGCCACCGCACTCGACCCTGTTCAATTGCGGCGGCGAGAGTGAAATGAACGTCTTCGGACTCGGGAAACACGACGACTGGCCGAGCGCCAACCTCGAGTGACTTGGCGCAACGCGATGCCGCTAGGGGTCCTGAACCAAGAACGAGATGTATCTGGTCAACGCAGTTCTGCGCGGTCAGTAAAGCAGGAGCAACCATTGCCACCGGCCGTGTTGACGGGACGGTTGCGGAGGAGAATCGCTTTTGTGCCCGAGACAGTAGGAAAGGACGCCCTACGCCATAGTAATGCAAAGACAAGAGATACGAAGGAAACAAAGATAACTTATTCCTGAGGAACGTCACATCACATGGTGGACAGCGAGCAGCTTGTGCTCGGAGAAAGATCAACAATCAATTCTCACTGCGCGCGAGGGAAACCGAGAAAAAACTGCAATGACGTGATTTGTTGGAGGCGACTCGCGCCAAGCTTATCGTTATCGCCCGCCACCCAGCGTTGCTGATTTCGGTGTCTGTGGGGCCGCGGAGCCTCGCCCTGCGTGCCACTGATGCCCCAGTCAGGAAAGGCCACGAAGACCCTCCAGCGTCTGTGAGACTCACGGCCACGGTCGCGCTCGATGGACGCCCAGCCTTGCTATCAGTGCTATCCTCCTGTTCGGGACTCCACAGGGACTCTGTACTTTTTCTCCTTGAAAACACCGCGCGAACTCGCCCCTTATCCATGTTCTGTCTAGCTGAGGACTCCGAGCTGTGATGTCCACCTCCGCAAGGCTAGCGACAGGACTGTGGTGGGAGGCGGTGAAATACTTGCGGAGATACCGCCGCGATGTTCAGGTGAGGGAACTGCTAGCGTTCGTGTGGCATGTACTCGCAGTCGGCCTGGAGTTTCGAAAGGTGGGTTGCGGCGCCCAGCATCTTCATCAGGTACAGAGCGTCGATATCTTGCTCCGCGACGGTCAATCTTCCACGTCATCGTCATCAAGGTCGAGCATCTTGCTCATGTACGGGCCATCGAGGGTATAGCCAAGACGCTCGTAGTAGCTTCTCACCCCGACTCCGCTGATGACACTCAGCTTCTCACTTCCATGCTCATCCCGAGCGATTTTCTCGGCTTCCTTCATCAAGAGAGTGCCGTATCCTTGATGCTGGAATTTGCTCTTTTCCCGACCGTGGATGGGCACAGCCAGGCCATATACATGAAGCTCCCGAACGATGCTTGTTGGCTGACTTGTAAGTTCTGGTCGGAAGGTATGTGTCTCCGAACACTTTCGCAGCCGAAGCAAGCCAATGAGAATATCTTGCTTGGGATCCTCATAAGCAAGGAATGTCTCCCAGCCACCGTTGGCCATGTAATCCCGTCTGACAAGCTCAACCTGAGACGGTCGAATCTTGTTTTTGACCTCGTTGATGCCAACCTCTCGGGTTCGCACATCACGACAAGTCGTACCAAAGTCTTTCATTCGCGACAAGGCCAGTTCTCGGAGGTTGCCGTTCTCGACACCAGATGTCACCAACGGCATTGGTATATCGCGTTGAACACGGTATATCCTCGTCCAAGGCGGTACCAGGGCTAATATCCTCGCCACCAGATCTACAAGGGCGTTGGGTGTATAGTTCTTGAATCGTCCAGTGCGCCATAGTTCATAGAGACCAGTACCTCGAATGACGAGGGTGGGATATATCTTCAGCCCATCTGTTCGGAAATCTGGGTTCTCGAAATATTCCTGAAATTGAAAAACATCTCGCTCCATACCTACGTTGGGCAAATCAGGCATCATGTGCGAGACAACCTTGAAGCCAGCGTCTTTGCAGAACTTGAAGGCTTCGACGACTGCTGCTACCGTGTGGCCTCTGTTGGTATCCCGAGCAACATCCTCATACAGTGACTGTACGCCGAGCTCAAGGCGAGTGCAGCCGTATCTTAGCATGTCCGAAAGGTGGTCAATTTGTCCAAAATCCGGCCTCGTCTCGATCGTGATGCCAACACACTTGATGCTCGACATCTCGCCGGCCATGACCGCTTCGTCCACGTTCTCGGTTTGATACCCTGAGAGCGCATTGTGCAACTGAGCAACGAAATTGTCACGGTAGTCCTTGGGCAGCGACATGAAAGTACCTCCCATAATGATGAACTCGACTTTGTCGACGCTGTGGCCAAGCGACTTAATTTGGTCAACTCTTCCACGGGCCTGTTCGAAGGGATCATAACGAGCGCGAATGGCCCGCATCGAGGTTGGTTCATATCCTGTGTAAGACTGCGTCGAATACTCGAAGTCGGAGTCTGGACCGCCGGGACAGTAGACACAAGCATGGCCCGTCCAAGCGATGTGGGGGCATCTGTGAGGCTTCGACATGACAGCAACCACCGCAATCCCTGAGGCTGTTCTTACCGGTTTCGCGATAAGTTTCGGCATAAGGTGCTTCTTGTACTCTGGCGGCACTGCAGCAAGAATAGCTGTCAGAGGTGGTTGAGTGCTCAACCTATGCTTCTTCGCAACATCACCTCGCAGTCGATTGAGGTTGACATCTTTCTTTGGTTTCGCTTCATCAAGGCTTGCCTCGTACTCTTGCACGAGGACACGTGCAATGTCATTACAGGCTTGCATGAAGCGAACATTTTCTGGGGCGAGTTTTTCATTCTTGCCCAGCTTGACTTTGGTACGGATTATTGTTTCGGTCGCCATCGTTAGGCGAAGCTGTCAAGCTGTATCTTCAGAGCCACAGTCCGAGATGGTGATAAATGCAAAACACCGGTAAGGGAGCCGCGAGAGATTATGTCTAGGAGGACATAAGGGTACCCAGCAGCATAAATTTCGCGTCAATATTCGAACTGCGCGTACCGGCGTCTATGCCCGACCGGAGCTCGCTAACTCCTGCCGAGCTTCAGGTGCGATGGCGCAGCCCGAAGCTGAATCGGGAGAGCAGCTCAATTGACAACTTCCACGCCGGCCTGACTTTACGAGCATTCAGTAGCTCTCCCTTGATTTGAGTTTGTCTTCGTGAATGGTCTTGCTGAGATGCAAGCTCTCAAGACCTGCGCTCCCCGGGCGCTGCGATCTGCCTCCTCGCGGAGCTATGCTACAGTGTCGTCGGCCTCGCCCTACGCCCAGACTCGGAACAACCTGAGAATCAATGCGGACACGAAACTACTCTTCCAGGGCTTTACGGGCAAGCAGGGCACATTCCATGCTCAGCAGGCGATTGAGTATGGCACCAAAGTCGTGGGAGGAACAAATCCCAAGAGCGAGTTCTATCACATGCCTGACGAGGTTGAGCTGGGATACTGATTGCGAACAGAGGCTGGCTCTCAGCACCTCAACCTTCCCGTCTTCAAGAATGTTTCAGACGGCGTGAAGGAAACTGGCGCCACAGCCAGTGTGATCTTCGTCCCCCCTCCGTTAGCCGCAGCCGGAATCATGGAAGCTATGGAAGCCGAGATACCTCTTGTGGTCTGCATTACTGAAGGCATTCCCCAACACGACATGCTCAGAGTCACCGATGCACTGAAGACACAAAGCAAGACACGTCTTGTGGGCCCCAACTGTCCTGTAAGCGCCCAATCCTATACCGAGGACTTCTCGTCTGGTTGAATGGCGCAGCTTACTGACCGGCTCTGCTCGTGACATAACAGGGTATCATCGCCCCCGGACAATGCAAGATCGGCATCATGCCTGGATTCATTCACAAGCGAGGACGAGTCGGCATTGTTTCGAGATCAGGCACCTTGACATACGAAGCTGTCAACCAAACAACACAAGCAGGTCTTGGCCAGTCTTTGGTCGTGGGTATCGGCGGTGACCCCTTCAGCGGCACTAACTTCATTGACTGCTTGAATGTGTTCATGGAGGACGACGAAACGGAAGGAATCATCATGATTGGCGAAATCGGAGGCAGCGCCGAAGAGGACGCTGCAGAATTCTTGAAGAGCGAGAACAAGAAGAACAAACCCGCAGTCAGCTTTATTGCTGGCATCAGTGCTCCCCCCGGAAGACGTATGGGCCATGCTGGTGCCATTGTAAGCGGCGGCAAGGGCGGTGCAGAGTCCAAGATTTCTGCATTGGAGTCCGCTGGTGTGGTCGTGGAACGGAGTCCAGCGATGTTGGGCAAGTCGTTGCATGCACAGTTTGTGAGCCGAGACCTCCTGTGAGGCAGGGCGGGGCGGCATCAGTTCTTAGGCGGTGCAGGTCAAGTTCCGCACGAGCGACAGTTGATTGTATTCCTGATACCTCGAATGATGTATGTGACAACATTCTACACGCCTGAGCTTCTGATATAAACATTGGCATTACAATTCTGTGCATCGTTGTCTGTCTCTCTGGAGCGATCTTTTTGATCACTCGATTGTTATAACCATTGACACGCCTGTTTCCTGCTGATTTATTCCCCGTTCTAAGCAGTTCGTCGTGGCTACAGCGAGATAGCGCCCCGTCGACTCGCCCGGACGTGCAACCAAGCTTGGAAACCGCAAAAAGCAAGAAAAGCCTGCGCTTGATTAGGACGAAGATGAGCCCGGATAGGCGAATCGACTCACCGCGTAGACCGCAACAGCTATGAATACTGAGGCTGCGACTGCTGCGTTATCTTCCGGATCCTCTTCCATTCCCATCATTTGGTGGTGGTTCCTCTGTGCATTTCATGTCAGCTTCAGGTCCACCTCGTAGTCCTAGCCATGTATAGGACAGGTCTCGTACCGCGAACAGGCTCCCGATGATGGAGAGGATGACAATGGCGAAGACTGACAGCACCGTGCTATCAAAGTGTTAGCGAGGCCATGCCAATCTTGAAGGGGTGAAACTCACCAGCTCCATGCGTTGAAGGCGGATACGACGGGCTTCATCTTGACGAGGTTCGCCGCGGGCACCCGCTGTGCTGTGTCTTGATCTCTCCCCTTGTACGTGACTTTGTGCGTGTTCTCTCGAGGAGCTTTTGAGGTCTACCTGCCTCGGCCAAACGTTGTCCCCCAATATTTGGAGCGTGCGGACGCCAACCGTACTTGTTCGATGGTGGACAGTGCTTCCTCGGAACGCGGCAACTTAATGTCCCTTAGCTCGGGCAAAGGACGATGTGGACAAGATATCTCTGGTCAGGATCGTGGATGTGACAGGGAATCGAGCCTTGATTAGACCGTTGATCACCTAGACAGACATCATCCCCACTATGAGAGTTTGACGTGCATGAAGACTCGTTGCAGATGACCACTGAGAATTGCAGCTCTTCCGTTGGGGAATAGGCAAAGTCTGTCAACGGAGGCAATCCAGCAGTGCGGCTTCGCTCCACCGTACACGTGAAGTATCTTACGAGGTAGACCAAGCAACGCCACCAGCAGTACTCCGTACATGATTTTGATTCCGACAGCGTATCAGACCAAGTGAGGAAGCTGTCGTGGGAATCTATCTAGGTCGCTTTGGATGATCTCGCTGCATTGTGCTCGAACGGGGGACATTACATCTTGTGGCTACGGTGAGGTGTAAGCCCACACTGCATTATTCAGGCTGTCGGACCGAACTCGTTCTGGCCACGAGGTCTGCCGCTTCAGGGCCCTGCCACCGCCTGCCAACGCGCTGCCCAACTCGTCCGCTTTCAACCTTGGGTGGTTCTTCGTGGCACCACTGCACATGACGTTGGCATCTGACCTCAGTTTCATTTTATTTAACCGTCACCTTGACTTACGACCTCCATTAATTCCCGCTTTCTACACCGTCTGTTCATACCCTCCTTGAAACTGCTTGTTCGATGCCTCCGCTGCGACAATTGTGAGAGCTGCTTTCCGCCCCGACCAGCTGCCCCTATTCGATCATTACTGTTCTCACCTAAGCTCTCCTTGGAGTTTCAACGGAACATAGACACAGGGCCCTAGAGGTCTCCCAGTACGGCTCTTCATGAGTCGCAGCGATCAGCATGGCGGCAGAGATGAGCGCTCTCCGCTTATACGCCGCGCCCACAAAAATGACGACATTGGTGAACGGGCTATGAGAGGCAAAGGGCAGAATGCCGGGGAACCATATCAACCGGAAGACGATTATTTCGGCCACACATCCTCGGATGCCATCGACCTCGAAGATTCAGAAAGTGTCGAGAGTAAAAGTTCTCTGTACCTCATCCTCCTCACAGTATGCATTGGTGGTCTGCAGATCGTCTGGTCCGTTGAGCTTTCCAATGGGTCCCCATACCTGCTCTCCCTGGGCATGAGCAAGGCTCTGCTCGCATTCGTGTGGCTGGCTGGTCCATTGACGGGGGTGCTCGTACAGCCGTACGTCGGCATCAAGAGTGACCGCTGCAGAATCTCGTGGGGCAAGAGAAAGCCTTTCATGCTTGCTGGTACGCTGGGCACTATTGGGGCTTCTATGATTCTCGCATACGCAAAAGACATCGTCAGAGTCGTTGGACGATTTGACACGGACGCGCCATATGTGGGCGGTTACAAGGTCGGGACCATCATACTTGCTACAGTTATGATGTGGTGTTTGGATTTCTCGATCAATACAGGTTAGTCCGCCATCCTTGCGACCAGAATGTGGACTGACCATTCGCAGTACAAGCAGCAATACGTGCATTTATCGTGGATAATGCTCCGTCCCATCAACAAGAATCAGCCAATGCATGGGCATCCCGAATGAATGGTCTCGGCAACGTTCTAGGCTACCTCTTTGGCTACCTGAACCTGCCTCGATATTTCCACTTTTTCGGAAACACGCAATTCAAGGTCCTGGTTGTGCTCGCATCGATTGCATTGAGCTCGACTGTCTTAATCAGCATTCTTTCCATCAAAGAGCGGAACCCACAGCTTGATCCCCCATCGAGAGACACCGAAGAAGGGGGAATACTTGCATTCTTCAGACAGGTCTTCAGTTCTATGCGCCGACTGCCGCCTCAGATCCGCAAGGTCTGCGAGATACAGTTCTTTCACTGGATTGGCTGGTTTCCCTTCCTCTTCTACATTACAACTTGGATTGGTCAGCTATACGTCAACCCTCATCTGAAGCCTGGTATGTCTGATACAGAAGTCGAACGCCTTTGGGGGGAAGCAACCCGCATTGGGACACTGGCACTTCTCGTCTATGCAGTTGTGTCTTTCATGGCCAACATTATCCTGCCGTTCTTGGTAGTGCCAAGCTACAAGGCGCAAGACTCGGATTCGGACACAGATAGTTTACCGCCGCCACCGATGACGCCAATCACGCCAGTCACTCCAGTCGGTGCGAGGACCCCCGCAACACCGTGGGGCGACCGACCTCCAATGAGTCGGTCTGGAACCAGCCAGTGGAAGCCGGGCCATCGCCCGCGGAATCTCAGCCGGTCTCAGACCAGTCTGTCAATCAACAGACCCCTCAATACCCCAGGCCTGACGCGGTTGCACACCACTCCGGGCTTGGCCCGGCTGAACCGGAGTGAAAGGTCAGAAACCGCATCCAAGTGGTTGACTATGGTCCAGATCCCGGGGCTGACACTACGCCGAGCGTGGCTCCTTGCGCAACTTCTCTTCGCTGGGTGTATGTGGAGTACGCTGTTCATATCTACCCCTCTGGGAGGGTCAGTCATGGTTGCCCTGGTGGGGATTTCTTGGTCGTTGTCGCTGTGGGCACCATTCGCGTTGATATCCGGGGAAATTGCGAAGCGTGAGGAGCGACGGCGAAAGAAGCGACGGGCGAGAATTGCCAATGGACAAGATGCGGACGAGGCCGACGACAAGGAAAAGGATGAAGAAGATCAAGCCGGGATCATCCTGGGTCTCCACAATGTTGCACTCAGCGCGCCTCAAGTGCTAGCGACGTTGATGAGCAGTGTTATCTTCAAGCTACTCCAGAAACCGCGGAATGAGCCTGGTGATACTAGTGTAGGGTGGACCCTGCGCGTTGGCGGCCTTGCCGTGTTGGTGGCGGTTTTCATAACTTCGCGGATGAAGGAGCCCGGCGACGAGACCGAGGACGAGGTCATATCCCCATGATGTCGCTGCTGAGGTGCACCTTGTTGCTACCGTATGGAGTATACGCCGTCTACGAGGAGCCGGACCAATCAATATCTGTTCTATGGAGCAGGGAAATCATGTGGCAGATCGAAGATCAGCATGGGATTTAGCATCACGCTTGGGAATATGGCGGAGTACCGGGAAGAATGAGCACGGCATAACGACTCTGCACAGCACATTTTGTGACCGACGGCGTGGACTTGAGGAAAGGCAAGGAAAAGTACAATGCATCAGGACTTTTGCAAGGAAATGCTTCGGCGCAATGATTTCATTAGATAGCGTACTCTTGCCCTCTTGCAGCCTCCTGTTCTGCCGTCCCATGCAAGGCTTCATGTGACAATGTTTTAGCTGCTCGGCATCCTGAAGCATGGCTCCATCGACCCATCGAGCAGATGCAGTCTCGGTCATGCGCAGGATTCTGCTGTCCATGCCCTTTTGATTCCAGAGGCAGACGCCATCATAGCAGACGAGGCCGGTGCGGTGTCAGGACCATCAAGACGTGTCTGCGGCCCATGTCGGACAAGACGCTGTCGGCATGAAGTTGCTGGCCTCGACATGTGAACGTGCTTGCTGAGATGATATACCTGTTGAGATCTCCAAGCGGGGCAATGGTAATGTGCAGACACGGACCGGACCCAACATTCAAGCCATCAAGATACTGTCGCTTACTGACCACACGTCCAGCAGAACGTGGTATGCTGCCCGAAATCAGCAGGAGCACAAGGCGGGACCGGCTCACGCAAAGACAGTACCCGTCCCGAGCATGTCCCTCCCCGTAACCTCCAGTCAGCCCGACGTGCTGAGAGCCAAGTGTGGTTGAGTTCGACATGCAGCCCATAGCCCATGGGTGGCAAGACACGACAAGCTCGACAACCTGGAGGAACCGAAGAGCAACCGTGTGGATGAGTCTGGCTGGGCATCTGGAATCGGCTGGCTACAGGCTGTTAGGCTAAACGTCGGCGTCCAAGCGGGCGAAGGTCACGGCACGGGGGAGGGATGGGCAGGATAGGCAGCATATCGCCCGGCCAGCGTCAGTCCGCAACCAATCCGGTAGAATGTGGCCTCCACCGATCATCGAACTGTCCAGGGCGCAAATCCCACCTGGATAAATCGTGGCAGTTACAGAATCGAAATGGTACAAATACACGGCCTGCTCGGCCTGGCAAGGAGGCTGTCTTCTCTCTGTACTCGTCCAACCTCAGCACGGGCGCCAACACATTAGTCCTGTGCAACGTCTCGCCGCTTACACCTCTCTGCGTATATCTCAAACAAGCAGAGTCGTCTGCTCGCAGCAAGGTTCACTACCAACATGGTCAAAGACCTGGCACCCAAGGCGGCCCTGCCGGCGGACTTTCTCTGGGGCTTCGCGACAGCAGCGTGTGTACATCGCCTCCCACATATACGAATGCCTACTGACGCGGAGTTTTCAGCTATCAGATCGAGGGTGGAGCCACAGCAGACGGCCGGGGACCTTCGATATGGGATACCTTCTGCAAGACGCCCGGCAAGATCGCCGACGGTAGCTCCGGTGACGTGGCTTGCGATTCATATCACCGCACGGCTCAGGACATCGCCCTCCTGAAGCAGACCGGCGCCAAGGCATATCGATTCTCCATCTCGTGGTCCCGGGTCATCCCCAAAGGCGGGCGCAATGATCCCATCAACCAGGCCGGGCTCGACTACTATGTCAAATTCGTCGACGACCTTGTTGATGCCGGCATCGTGCCTTTCGTGACTCTGTTCCACTGGGATCTCCCTGACGAGCTCGACAAGCGGTACGGCGGGTTTCTGAACAAGGAGGAGTTTGTCGCCGACTATGCCAACTACGCGCGCGTCATGTTCGAGGCCCTGCCCAAAGTCAAGCACTGGATCACCTTCAACGAACCGTTCTGCAGTGCCGTGCTCGGCTACAACGTCGGTGTCTTTGCCCCAGGTCGTTCCAGTGACCGCAAGAGAAGCCCGGCTGGCGACAGTTCCACGGAGCCGTGGATTGTCGGCCACTCTATCCTGATAGCACACGCGCACGCAGTCCAAATCTACCGCGACGAGTTCAAGCCTCGAGACCACGGCGAGATTGGCATCACGTTGAACGGTATTCCCCCCTTTCCTTCGTAAAGTCGACAAGACTAACGCCAAGTGCAGGAGACTGGACCGAGCCGTGGGATCCCGAAGACGAACAGGACCGGATAGCCTGCGATCGCAAGATCGAGTTCGCCATCAGCTGGTTCGCCGACCCGGTCTACTTTGGCCACTACCCGGAATCGATGGTCAAGCAACTGGGCGACCGGCTGCCCCGATTCACCGCCGACGAGAGCGAGTTGGTCAAGGGCTCGAACGACTTCTACGGCATGAACCACTACTGTGCCAACTACATCCGCCACAAGGACGGGCCTGCCGACCCGAACGACACGGCCGGCAACCTGGACGTGCTGATGGAAGACAAGTACGGCAACAGCATCGGGCCCGAGACCCAGTCGCCCTGGCTGCGCCCGCACGCGCCGGGGTTCCGCAAGCTGATGAAGTGGCTGAGCGACCGGTACGGCCGGCCCAAGATCTACGTCACGGAGAACGGCACCAGTCTCAAGGGTGAGAATGACTTGTCCATGGAGGATATCCTCGAAGACGACTTCCGATGCGAGTACTTCCGCAGCTACATCACGAGCATGGCCGAGGCCGTGGCCGAGGATGGATGCGACTGCCGTGGGTACATGGCTTGGAGTCTGATGGAGTAAGTGATATGCACCCAGTGGCGTGCGTGCAGTCGTGCTGACGGTTTGTGCCACACAGTAACTTCGAATGGGCCGAGGGCTACGAGACCCGGTTCGGCGTTACATATGTCGACTACAACAACGACCAGAAGAGATACCCGAAGAAGAGCGCCGTAGAGATGAAGAAGATCTTTGACCAGTATATCGGCAAGCTCGAGAAGCTGAACGGGCAGCCCGAGGTCAATGGCCATGCTGAGTGAATGGACATGTTCAGGCGAATGGCCGTGTTGAGGTGAACGGCCGTGCTGAAGTCAACAAGGCATAGTCGTAGGCGGCGATGGAGTCCTTGGAGTACGAGGTTCGACGGGTTGTTTGGATAGCACCATAGCATTGGATATGAATACGAACATGACGGCCGTGACTGAATGAAAGTACCTAGACGGCATCGCAGTAGAAGCCGTATCGCCGTCGACTCGAGTGCCTGTTCCATATTCGTATCGTTTTCCCAGGCCAGCATTCCATCCAGGTACTGTAGCTGGCCTCGGCCTCGGCCTTCATTGGTGTTCGAGGCCTTGGGGGTCCCGGTACATAACTTACGCTATGCCACACACAGTCATGCCACGTCCTCGAAACCCATTCCCACGTCCCGCTGCCTTGATAGAGAGCGCTCCCCCATGATCACTATTCCCTACGTCCCCGAGTGACAACAGCCAGAAGTGTGTATCACAGCCCGCGCCCAGTGCAGTGCCCTGTCATCCAGCATGGAAACCCCAACCGTGCCGATCAACTTTGTCCCCGCGAAGTCGGGCGAGACGTTCAAGCTGGGCACCATCACCATCCGGATCATGGAGGACGGGTCAAGGACAGGTGCGTAGGGCCTTTTGTACAGGATTGTGCGTGGGAAGCAGCACGCTGACGCTGACAGGAATCAGACAGTAAGTCGACCACTTGCTTGTTTTGCGCATGACGCTGCAAGACGCCTGTGAAGAGCCCTCGACAATATACCATATCAGAGGGCCACATCGTGTCATACCGTCTCATGCTAACTGTTCTGTTCTGAAGACCGCATAGGGAGGTAAGTCTCCAGACCGAGGAGGCTCAAAGGGGGGCGAGAGAGTCGAATCTGAGTTCCCAGCTCTCACGCTCAGCTCCCCGCTGTTGAGAGCATTCGTCTTCCCTGTGTGAGGGAGTCGGTGTCCATGGGGGATCGATCATGGACATATACTTACATAGCCCGCGCCTCGTTGTACAGTGCCGAGTTCACCGTCCCGCCTCATACTTCAGGGTAAGGCCATCTATATACCCAAGGACATATCTACGTACATACCCCATACCTACCTACCTACCTCTCTACCTGCCTAGCCTGAGGCAGTAGAGGACCGCACATATCTACATACATGTTTCCACCTCCTCAAGACAGGACGCAGCCGAGCCCGAGATGCGAACGGACATGGAGACTAACAACCGCTTGCCTACTCAAGACCCCCGCCCCATTGGCACGAGATGGTAAGTCACCCGCAACCACCTGCCCCCTTACCCTATCCACACTGTACAATATGCGGGACATACTGTACCATATACCACCGCAGCCCCGAATTCCACCACACCCACTCCCTCCCCTTATAACAGTCCGCATCGACATCACCACTCCCTCGCTATGCTAAGAGCCCACGAATGACAACCATAGCACGACGAAACGTTCCTAGTAACCCAAGGCACCCTCCGCTTCCACGCCCTGAACGGCACGACCGTCGACGCCCACCAAGGCGACTACGTGACCGTCCCGCCCCGGGCACCGCACACGTTCAGTAATCCCTACGACGCCGAGGCGAAATTCTTCAACACGTACACTCCGGCGTTTTATATCAACTACTTCCGCATGCTGGGCAAGATGAGCGAGGAGGGGAAGCCCATGAACCCCGAGGCGAATAGGAGGGCTATGGCGGTGAGTGATTACAGGTGTTGCGTGGTGTGTGGTGTGTGGTGTGTGTTGTGTGTTGCGTGTTGCGTGTTGCGTGTTGTGCTGCGGTTCTTCCTGCATCCATGCTTCCTGCGTTCTTCCCTATGATGTTGGCCTCATGTTCTTCCGTGAAACACGCACGCGCACACGCACACACAAGCTAACGGTGGGGGCCCGTAGTATTTCGCCACGATCGGCGTCGCGGACGACGAGATGCAGATGGATAGACAGCAGTTTTATGGTGGGACAGACACCACAGATGCGGCGGCGCGGCAAGGGGAGGCCGGGGCCAAGAAATGATGGTGATGCCCTGGGCGGTCTATGGACTGTGGGGCTCCTGCCTATGGTGCATAGGTACAGCTAGCATCTAGACGGTGTACGAAGGGAGAGGCGTTGAGAGAGAGGCGTTGAGAGAGAGGCGTTGAGAGAGAGGCGTTGAGAGAGAGGCGTTGAGAGAGAGGCGTTGAGAGAGAGGC